GAGCTGGAGCGAGGCAGGCATGATTTGTGGCATAGAAATACAAGACGAGTCGCAGTCGTGCGCATATCACGATGTTCTCGTTCTTTTTTCTCTCTCCTACATTTGCTGTTCTGCAAGTTTGACGATCGATTCTTACAGTATGTAATCAAGCTTTTCGACGTCTCTGCCACGCGCGGGCTTTTGAAAGCTCAACGTGCGCTTGCAGGTTTCTTCATCTCTTAGAGCTTTTCGAACCTTGTTATCCTTTTTCTCGTACACCTTGTACTAGCCACGGTGACTTTATGTGCACTGCAATTCCGTATCTATATAAAGTTTTACTTTTTTCATCGCTCTTTTCATCTTGACGCATTCATAAAAGGATCAATGACTCTTTGAGCAATAATCGATTTTCGAGCATCACTTTTTTTATTTTCCCAATCTATAGAATGAATTTCTTTTGAAGGATTTTCAATTATGGAGATAAATTCACCCGTCCAAAACATCATTATATGCAGATTGTTTTTTTTATCAAATAATTAAATTCCGTGCGTGAAACATTTTTTTAACAAAGAACATTAAATACTATTTATGAGCTTTTTTGATCATCATATTTTCGTTTTTCTATTGATATAAAATATTTTTATGGACATGATGCGAAACAAGGAATCGAAAAAAATATTTAATAATAGTATACTATTATTAAAAGCTATTAGGAAAAACAGAAATGTCCCAGGGCACGAGAAATAAGTGACCGAGGCGAATCCGAGGTCGATTAGCTTTCTTCCCGGTATAGGCCGGTATGCTATTTTACATACCAGCGGTCCGAAAGCAGCATTTTATTTACAAAAAATGTTTGAAAGTGGATGTTTTTGGTGATTTTGGGCCTATTTTTGACCTTTCAGCCTGATTCTCATAATTTGATGCTAATATTAACAAACATTTTCGAAAGGATTAAATTGTTAATCTTGAACTGCATTTTATTATTAATTTTGTGACTATAAGATCATGGAAATCAAATAAATTCCGTCAAGTACTTGGAAAATTAACACTTTCATATTTCAAATTGTTAGTCCACTAAAATTGTTACAATAAAATAATTCAAAACGTTTTTTTTTTTTTCAAAAGATTAAATTTGTGCAAGTATGACAGTCCGATACTTTTAATGTCAAATCGTCAGTTTTTTATAGTACGCATTGAAGCTAAAAAAGTGTTTGGATCCCTAAAATTTCTGATTTTGATTCCTAAAATAAGTACTATTATATATAGTACTATTATTTTCTAGAGGAATTTACGCCGATCTTCTTTGACCTCCTAATTGACATTTTATCGTAAGCTCTTGAATTTTTCTGTAAATTCTAGGCTAGAGCTGTATATGTCTTGGGAGTCACGCAAACTTTGAGCACCATGGTGATTGTTTCCTCTTCTTCGTCAATCAAAAAATAGTTGCTTTTAATTATAGATAATTCTTCTTTTTTTCAGGGAAAACGTTAGCTGCGGTCGGTGCAATCGTTTCTTTATGTTCACTGTACAACGTCGAAACAAAACTTGCCGGTTCACCTTACATAATTATCATGATGAATACATCTCATCTTTCTGATTTTCTCTTTTGAGTTTTTCAATCACTCTCAAAGTGCGATTTCTCTTGTGATTCTGTTACTATGAATCGAATATCAAAATGATAAGCGAATCTTTCCGTTTCACCTATGAAGATGCTTTATTAAATAATATGCTTGCATTCGTTGATAGCTGTCTACATTTCAGTTTCTCAAACTTATTTAAAAGATTGCTTCATAAGAATGGCGCAGACTTTCGTGTAAATTAAATGAAATATTGTCCATTTTGGTTGTGTGTTTTACTGTTAAGGTAATTTACTCTGCGAATTATGCGAATGGAATAAAATATCTCATAATTAAAGTATGTCTCAATCACTCAGAATGGTCAGCATCGATGTAAAAAAAGTAATTCACATTCACATACATATACACACGCACAAGCTGCCCAGAGTGGTTCGGTTTTCACTATAAAAATAGGACCACACTCAAAAGATAGAGTCTGAAGCGAGAACCACACTCACATAAAGACGCAGCACAGCAAACATGGGAAGACCCACCTTAAAGATGCAGGTTCCTGAACCCCTAAACGCCGCTTACTGCTTACAACGTCTCTGGTTTCTGGTTCTAAAACTCGTTTTGGAGCCTACCACAAAGCTCTCTCGAGGAACAAGCAAAAGCTGTAAGGAAATAACCATTAAGTATACGTATTAATTTTTTATGCAAAAGAACAAACGTTTTTGATCCTTTAGATCGCGGTAAGAAAATGAGCATCCCAATGCCCAAACGCTCACTGAAACTCACAGCAGCACTTTTATCTTATATCATAAAGTTCGTTGGCCTTTGAATCGCGTCCAAAGATACGTATATAGAGTAAAAAACATCGGGCAAAAAATCAGAGAGAAATTAAATTAACAAATGGCAAAAAAAGAGAAAAGCAAAAGAAAAAGAGTAGGGGGGGGGGGGGGGGNGGGGGGGGGGGGGGAGAATCTCATTCGAAGCAAACAATGCGTGATGCACTATATATACGGTTGGTATTGTACAGAAGAGCTTGCGCTGGTAGCAGAGCCTCATTTCACCGCAACAAGAGTAAAAAAGTCGGCATAGAAAGAAAACTTAATTAAGTCGTAAAAGCAGCAGCCTTCATAAGTGTGTAGAAAGACAGAAAATGAAAAACCGACAATCGATTTCATTATCAATCAAGAGTAGGTATTAAATACCGAATGATAAAGATGAGAAAATTTTTGGCATTTTCATAGAAGACTCTTCCGGGTTCATGCTCAAGTTTCATAGAGCAGCTAAGGCGAGGGATAGTACCAAGAATATTACTATGTTTCTCCAAATAATTACTAACTGTAACTATATTAGAATGTAGACAAAGCAACGATAAGGGCGAAGAAAAACGAGCATAAACGAGAGGTCTCGAAAATCAAACTCGCAAGCTCGGACAGAGTGGCGTACACACGAGTGCGCGCGTCAGCGGCAAAAGCTCGTTAGAGGCTTTTTTATCAGCTTCTTTCAGCTCGACAGACGCCCGTAACGCACACGCTGCAGAGGAATATGTTTGTAAAAGAAGAAACGCGCGAGACTGCGGCCCAACTGTGTGCGAGCTGGACGCAAAAAAGCGACAACGAGCTTTTGCATAGTGTACACACGCGCGATTGTTCTTTTGTTACGCGCTATAATACGCTTGTTTATAAAGGTACGAACATGCAAACACGCGTGCGTGTGTGGTTGACGTGTGCAAACTCGCTGTGTGTCTCATTCGACGATCGCATGTTGGCCCGCCCGAGGATTACAGTGAGCGCGAAGCTCGCCTATACAGAAGCAGGCAATGTTCCGCGCGTTGCAGTTGACTGCTTTTAAAAACGTTTGCGAGACGAGCTCTGCGATTGCTGCACATCGTTCGTTCGTACTGGTTCTGCTTCGCTGCTGTACAGACACGCGCGCGTTACCCTTAACTCCAGTTTGATTGCATCCTATAGCGCTAGCTGCAAGCTCGATCCAGCGCGCCAAACGATCGATTTTGTCCTTTTTTATTCGTTTTTCGCTCTAGCTCTCTAACTCGTTCGTTCGCTCGTTTGCTTTACATCTCTCCAAGGGGTTATTAAACTTTCCAACCGTATAAATGTATACGCATTGGCTTATTTGGCACAACGAGCTCTGCCATTCGCCTTTTTTCTTTTAAAGTAAATATAATCCAAGAAAGTTTCGTTAAAAAACTTTTCATGTAGGTCAAAAAAAGGTGAGCGTGGACCTTTCCTTTTTTTTATGCATAAGAATTATCGAACTGTTGGTTCTAACATTTTCAGCTTACCTTAAAATTTATCATCGGAATTGAAATAAAAAACAGGTTCTTCAAATGAGGGCGAGTCTTCTCCCTTCTTTGAACTGCACAGTTTACACCTAGGAAATTCTTAAAATTCTGTTTAAGGTGTGGAATTCTAAGCGTTTTACCAGTATTCGAAGAATTTTCTTTGGGAGATCTACACAATTTTAGAGGAAAAAAATTCATTAGAAAATTCTCGTCTTTACATTTTTTTATATAAAGTCGCGAGACCATATTTTGACAAAAAAATAGAGCCCATAAAAAAAATGTTTATCAATTGGTATGCAATGAAAATGATTTTAATTTAAAAAATTTGTGTACGAAAAAAGAAAGAAAAATTTAATAAAATAATTACTCAGTAATGTTTTTTAAATCCGCTTATGAGATAAATTTTTAGAATATAAACTAAATTTGATTGCTTTATTATTAATATTTTATTTCTAGTAGTGATCAACTTGATACTATATCATATTAGTACATGTTTAGTATTCATAAATTTATTTCTATTAAATGAACTGTCAAATATTTCATAACAAATGCAGTTTTATGCAATGAATCAATTCATATCTTCAGAGTAGACCTGCACATATTGCCTCTTCTTTAAAGTTTTTAGATTATTTTAATGTTGAGTGTTAACTTATCTTTATCTACAAAATTTTTAAATGTTCATTTTGCTTCAAGCTATTAGAAAATCAATGTTATAAAAAAATTTTCATCTAAATTTTATGAAAGTAAAATATTGATTTATAAAACATTTTATAAATTATGATTAGTTGCAATGACATAATGAATTAGTTTCTTCAAAAATGTGTGCAATTTGGATATAATAATGTAAACAACCATGACTATGATCGACCATCAATCAGTTCAAGAAATTCCTACATCAATTATCTAAACAAATCATAGTTGAATTAAAGGATGCTGGATTTTCTGAAATACTCTAAAAAATTCATTTGTATCACCAGATCAAAAAATTGTATATATCTTAGCTGATACTTTTTGTAAAACACTGATGCAAAAGTTCATAAGCCATAATTTCCCAGATGATCGTGGAATTTAAGAAATGAGAACATGTTGATACATAGAATGATAAGAATATTTCAAAATTTAAATTAGTAATTTTAACAAACATCATTTTTGTATTTTGGTTAAGATATTTTATTGTATATACCAGAATTCGATTATGATTATTTTTGTAATTTTAATTGAATTCTACTATCATTACTGTACAACTAGGCTTTGCGCCAGTGATACCAAATAAAGAAATAAACAATTATAAATAAAGATATAAATCAAATGTATATCCAATCTACAAATCTTTAAGTTTTCCTGAGATGGGTGCAACATCCAATAGTTTCATACGTTCCAGCTGTGCTAAACGATGTTCTTCGTCAAATGTGATTGGTAGTGGTGGGTAAACTGAAATATTAAATAAATTAGTATTTATTCTGGATTTAATATTATTAAAATAAAATTTGATTTATTAATTTACCATAGTGTTTCAACCAAACGTAGAACCATAACGAAAATGAAACTCCCAATAAAGTAATTCCTAAAACGCCTTTCCAGTCTCCGGATGGTGCTTCCATTTCAGCAAAAGTTTGTCTGAAACTGGCTCTATAGAGTTGTTTCTTATCTTCTATGGACAATTTTTTCCAATCTCCCTTTTCTTTTTCACGGAGAGCCTTTTAAAGTAAATTAGTATATAAAAGTTTATATTGATATTTTGAATGAAAGTAACACTTGTCAATCATACCTGGAGATCAGGAGTTATTTCCTTGTATCGAATAGCAGGCATTGGGAAATCAGCCAAGTCGGTATAGATTGGTTCACCATTAACACCATGGCCTACGACTTCTCTGTTGCCATGTTTTTTATTCACCGTGTAGTAAGAACGTACTTGTAGTTGCTTTGGTGAATTACGCAACAATGCCGCTAAAGCTCTAGATGTTGCCATTTTGATCTAAGTAAAAAAGAAAAAAATTTATGGCATAAAAAAATTATTTTTTTTGTTGTAGCAAAGATTTAACCACAATAGAAGATTTCATCTATCCTAGTAATAACTCTCAAGATATTTTGATTAATAGATAATTACTTGATAAGCATATGATGCATAAAATTATCAAATAATGAATAATTTAATAATAAATAATTGTCAATGACAGGTCCAATGTAAATGATTATATCAAACAAGATTAATGAACCTGGTATAAATGCCCTTTACACATTTTTTTTAAATAAATAAATAAGTTCTGAAAGTCTACAGTAAAATATCAATGTATTGAAAATGCATTCAACAAAATACCAAAAGGCAGAAAGAGAAATAACACATTTTGCTTGAAGGTCAAAGTAGGCATGTTGATAACAATAGATTTGCAAGTTTTTACTTTTAAAAAGCATTAAAATGTCCCGGTGAACAACAATTGATCATGAATTGAGAGTGTGATCAAGTTGTTGGTTATATACAAGCGGCAGTAGATGTCATATGATGTACTGAGAATAGAACACATTTTGGCAAGTGTTGGAATTTTTCGAACACCATGCTCGAACGAGTGATCTGATGACGTTATCACGCAATTTAAGTAGAAAATTAATTTAAATGAAAATAAAAACCTGAGATTATAACGAATGGAATTGCAACGTCTTCTTTGATCTATAAGAGTTTGAGATATACCTGTGTGTCTAGACGCAGAAACCTTAGTATTACCTAATCACTCGCAAGAAGAGAACAAAAATGTCGAGGTAGTTGACTACTGTGCATGCGTCGACTATGCTGTTTCTCACCAGTTAACGACTTAATACTAATCAATTGATTTACCACACTGATCATTCACCTCCGATTAAAGATTTTTGATTGAGTTCTAAAACATACTCACCTAGCTATTGTCAGTACCACGAGATTTCGATAGCAGGCTCGCATGCACCTCCTGAAGAAGGTCGACTAGGGCTGCTTTGGACTGCTGCTAGAGGGAGCAGAAGAGCTCTAATTGTGAGAGATGGCGGCTCTGTCTGCTTCGGCTCTGCAATGACTCGTGCAATAGCAGCTTGTATACGCACAACTATATCTTGATGAACAGTTTACATGGTTAACACAGGGGATAATCCAGTTGCAAGTGAACAAAATAATAGGCCCAGCTATCATTAGTGTTCAAAACAATCGGTAATTAAGTTATCAATTACTATTTACGATCGTTTCAGCATGTGCTGCTTAAACCTTTCGGATGGCTGCTTGATGAAAAATAATAACATCAATACACTCAAACTTTGGCGGTGTTTTTAAAAGTATTTTTTAATTATTCAGTAGAATTTTACTTTAACATTGGGCTAAAAAATATTTCGCAGTAATTATCCCGTATTCTATTATAATATATTATCTGTTTATTTAGCATCAAGTATGGAAACAAATTTAGAAAAAACAATGTACAATGTTGAAAAAACAGAAAAAAAGGCAACAGAGCAACATAAAAGATTGGCAAATTTTATCAAAGGAACTCATGGCCAATTGAGAAATAATTCTAAAATTTACGGGGCAATTGAAGCTTGGAAAAGACACATAGCTGAAAAGGAAAAATTAAAGGTAATGAAATTTGTTTAACTGCACTTTTTCAATATTAATATTTTTTCATGTAAAAAAATGTATTTATTTTTTAGGAATATGCAGAATGTATGCATAAACTTGCTACACAACATTGGACTCAAAACAGTACCGACCTATCTTTAAATTACTCAAGAATCGAGTGGATAAAAAACCAAATTAAAAACTATTTTTTATACCAGGGAGTAGAAAAGTTTGATAATAAAGAAATTAGTCTAATGAAGAGTACATTGCAAGAACAGGAAAATATTGAACTAAGAATTAAAACATCATACAACTCAAAACTTGATATTCTTGATGTTGGTAGTTGTTACAATCCATTTGAAAATGAAAGTTTTTTCAACGTGACACCAATTGATATAGCTCCATATTCTGAAGATGTTATAAAATGTGATTTCTTAAACTTAAAAGTTGATAATCAAAAAACTTTTTCCAATGATGGAGAACTTATAGAGCTTCCTAAAAATTCATTTGATGCTGTAATATTTTCTTTGCTCCTTGAGTACATACCTTGTCCAAAATTAAGATTTTCATGTTGTCAAAAAGCATTTGATTTGTTGAAATATGGTGGGATATTGCTTATTATAACTCCTGATTCTAAACATCAAGGAGCTAATACAAAAATTATCAATACATCTTGGAAAGCTACGTTATCAAAAGTAGGATTCATGAGAACGCATTACGAAAAATTACCTCACATCCACTGTTTGATTTTTCGTAAATGCTTTTTTAAAAAAGCAGCAATAAAACGTATTGATTGGAGAAAAATTTGTCTGAATGATGAAGTGTTTACAGAAAATAAAATATTCATACCTCAAGATTTTCAATCTAGAACCGAAAAAGATTCCGATTCAAATTCAATTAAAGAGAGAGATGACAAGAAAATTGTATCATCATTTATGCAACTACCATTCAATGACTAGTTGAAATAAATGTTTTAATTTGAAATAAATATGAATTATTTTTAAATTTCATTTTTAGTCATTAAAGTAACTTCGACCAAAACTTATGAAAAACAACATTTTATTTTATTATCAGTCATTATATTTTTACAATCATGATAGTTATATTTGTATAAAAGGAATGAAAAATTGGAATCATTTAGTAGCTACTAGAATTAGAATTAGACAAAATATCTTTTAAAAGCATTAAAAGCACTTAAAAAATGAAGGAAAAATTTACATTGTAAATCAAGCTTTCCTGTACATTGTTTAGCAAAATGGTTATTCATTTAAAATTGACATAAGCCATACATTAACTACAATAAACAAAAGCATTTCATATTATTTTTTCATTTTACATTTTTTGGACTGCTTAAAAATAGATTCGCATGATAATTAATGGTCAAGTCCTCATAAAAATTAAACTTAGGCTTATCTTAAAATTTTTAAGTTTCAACAAAAACGTTTCGGTAAAAATTCAACAATACAAAACATTAAAAAATTTAATTACAGTTTACATTTATTTAAAAAACGCTTTCCATACGTAAATCAAATATGAAATGCTGTTGCAAAAGTTTGATCTGTTATATGTGTAGACTTGTACTAATTGTATTATTACATTGGTAACAGAATTCTCAATAAATTCATAGGATTTTACGACATTATTTCACACTCGTCGCGTTCTTACAATATATAAAAGTTTCACAGATTTATGCCTCAAAAAAGTAGAATATAAATGTTTCATATATCAAAATGCTGACATGGTACAGAAAGTACATGAAGCAAATAGAAACGTTCATCTGCACATTTGTCTTTTTTTACATCTAAACGCTTATACATAAACATTTACAAGTGTATACGTAATGGTACACTATTACATTTATTTTCAGCCATGAGTTCATGCTTAATATTATTGAGTGTATCAAGAATGAATTTGAAAGTTGGTCTATCCGATGGTTTTCTATTCCAACAAAGTTTCATGAGGTTGTAAACAGAGTAGGGTGTATTTTCAGGACACTGTAATACATTACCTTCTTTAATGTATTTAACAACTTCTTCATGAGTCATACCATAGTACGGTTGAAGAGCAAAGCTAAATATCTCCCACAAACAAACGGCAAATGCCCATACATCAGATTCAACAGTATACTTATTATAAAGTATGCTTTCAAGAGGCATCCACCTTACAGGAATAGCATCTTGATCATCACCTTTGTAGTAATCTTGGAGATAAATCTTTTGTGAGAGTCCAAAATCAGCGATTTTTACTACCATTTCATCATTAATCAAACAATTACGGGTAGCAAGATCTCGATGCACAAATTTTCGATCCGATAGGTAAACCATTCCAGAAGCTATTTGACGGGCTATATTTATCAGATCCATGTGGCATAATCTTGAATCATTAAAAGTGTCATCATTCCGTATAACATAGCTACCCACGGAACATGATCGCAGATATTCGTTCAGATCACCTCGCCCCATATATTCAAATAGTAGACACATAGGTCGACCGAGAGCACAAACACCTAGTAATTTTACTATGTTTGGGTGATCAAATTCAGCTAATAAACAAGCTTCTCGTTCAAAATCAACTAACAAATCATCAGAAGCTTCTTCTTTGAGAACTTTTACAGCTACATTAGTGAATTCTTCATTTGAAATTAGGCCTGGGGCTTTGGCTTGGAACACGCGTCCAAAAGCTCCTTGTCCCAAATCACGAACATATATAATGTTATTCCGAGGGAATTCCAGTTTTTCCAACTTTGGGTTCAACTGCACACCTGTTTTGTGGTATGAATCATTTTCAGGCAGTTTATTAAGATCAATATTTATTTCCTAAAAATATAGACAAATATTATAAGCAATTAAGAGTGTTTACAGTTTAAAACAATTTTCGTTTTTTAAGTAAAATAATTTTACCTGACATTCTGTTTGGTTGTAGCCTTGGTGTCTTTTCTGAACTCTCTGACTTACAATGACAATAAGTAAAGAAATTATTACAATTATAAATATTAAGCCTGCTACAATTAACGTTAATGTTGGAGTCATAAAGTTCCTTATTGGAAAATTGTTTGTGTTAACTTCAGCATTCATAACTTTTGAATTTTCTATAAAAAATTTTAGATTATTTGAATTTTTGATCATCTCTATAAGATTATTTTACAATTAAATTAATTAGTACCACATAATGGAATGTCGCATATCTCCCATCTAGAATTAGTATCCATAGTAAAACACCATGGCATTTTAACGTCACCACCAGGATTCCTACAATAATTTTCACCCATCTGAATTTGTGGAAATACATCGGGTGGAGATTCATGACTATGTGGTTTTTGATCTTTCCAGTATTGGCAAGGAATACCACTTTTAGTTTTGTTCTCTTTGCCCATATAATATTTACCCCGTTCTCTGTAACAATCATCTACAAAAAATACAATAAAATAAAATATCTCATTTCATCAGATAATAACTATAAAAAATATTTCTTACATGTCACAAGATCCGTATTCATCATTGTTAATGAAGCATGAGAACATGTCATGTTTTGTCTTGTAAATTTTGGTAACTTTTCACATTCTGGTAACCGAAAATGACCTCGTGATCTTATAAATATATTTCTACCTTTATTATCTTCTATGAGTGCCCAATCATTGAAGCAGAATTGAAGTTGAACAGCTAAACAGTCTTCGTAACAGAGAGGCAAACCAATACCTCCACTACATTGAGGAAATGCATACAAGCACAGCATTTTCTAAACGAAAAAACATTTTCTTGCATTTTAAATAAGTTTTAAATTTTTTGAAAAATTACTGTAAATACCTCTGCTGCTGAACGACATGGTTCTTCTAGTTTTTGAATCAATTCTTCCCATAAATCTTGGGTTATTTTTTCATTAAGCCAGCCACCTCGATTGTCACTAGTGTCATTGTACCAAACCAAGCCAACACCAGTGAGATATTTTTTGCAAATTTTCCCATTATAAGGGGCACAATATCCACCAGCAAAGTCTACAACGAAAATTGAAAGAAAATGCTATATGTAGAAAAGGATATTAATTAATTTATTAATGACTTACTTGTGGATGTGGCGGTGGCAATAAAAAATCCAATAATTAATAAAATAACATTCCAAAGCATCATAGTGTAAAATTTTTTCGGCGCATAAATATACTAATACAGAATATCACATTAACTAATTATCCTACGCGCAAACATGATTATTATGCATCATGTTATTCAGTTAAGTGTAAAAAATATCCTATGATGTTTTTGGTTTACTTTTTCATTCAGGCTCTTTTTGGTTTCGTCGAGTTATGCTGCTGTGTTAAAAAACTGTTGCAGTTAAAGATCACATTTTATCAATCACTCGGATGCCTCGTAGCAGCCACTGGGTTGGCCGGTGTAGCCTCAAATTTGTATTAGCTTGTAATAGATTCACGTAAGTGGCATGGATAAAAGACGATTTCTACCGCGTGTTGCCTTTTCACTTATGCATATGACGTTCGAGTCTCGAGGGATGCTGAGCATCTTATACGTGAGTCGATGCCTTCTCGGTAAATGACACATAAAAGCTCCGGGGGCAACAACAAAGCCGGCTGCTGCTCCTGTTTTCTCACAAATAAATGTGTATGCTGCCCAGACCAACAATGAGCGATACGAGCACAACTGCCGGGCCTTGGAAAAGTTACAGCAGGCCCGTTCTTACTGGCTTTCAGTCATGTGCCGCCTGAAAAGATTGAGTAGCTTCTTTTGGTGCCGCCTACGCAGCGCAGCCGTATACGCACCTTGGTTGGTCGCCCGGATTTCAGCCCCTCGATCACTACTATATGCGATTTTACATCTACATATATATAGCATATACAAGTGTGAGTTTATTATACACGCACGACACCGGACGCCGGCCTCTCACAGTAACTTAAACGCTTTACATCCGTCTCATTATGCTTCCAAAATACGTAGTATGTTTCGACTTTTCACTTGTATCGGGTGTCATGCATTTCCGCTAGACGAGCTATAATATAAAGTCTGCGTGCAGCGGTTGCTGCGACACTTCTCGCTCATGTTGCAATGGTCCTGCGTATGTCACCGCTAGCCCTGGAAGCGATAAGGCTTATCTTATCGACTGAGAGAAATACTGAACTATATCATACATATATATATGCACCGCAGGCTGCTCTCAGTGTTCTGTTTGTGTGTGTGTGTGTGTGTGTGTGTACGCCTCTTTCTCTCTCTCTCTCTAACTGCTGCTCGCATTGGAATTGGGGGTTGAAAATTGTCGAATGCGAATGATTCGCCGGATGTTGCATTTTCTAAAAGATAATCCAAAAGATAAGATATAAAAGTTCAAAATAATTTCAACTATTAGCGTAAATGTTTGGTTTAACTGTTCAGAAATAATTTTTTCAAACTTTCATGTAATGAAATACAAGGTACATAAAATTAATTTATACCCCAAGAGATTCAATTAAATTGAAATTTTATTTTAATAATTGAATGGTTACTAATGAGTACATTTATTTTTTTTTTTTTCTCATCACCTCATTCATTACAATTTATGTAGACCATTCAAAAATTACAGAAATGGGTGTCCAATGTTTTAATAACATGAATTAATGAGAATTACCAAGTCCATTCAGATCTATCATACATTAATTTGTTATCTCCTTTTAGATATTATGTTAATGAGCAACAAGGAAATAAACAAAAATAAATTTGTCCATGTTTTCATAGATATATGTCATTACTAACTTTCTAATTATCATTTAATTCATTAAAACCAACATAAATTATTAGTAGATCACAAATACATAAAATGCATAATGCCTTGTTTAACAATATATATTTACAGTTTTGTCAACCAATTAATGAGGTAAAGTACCTGTGTTCGTCAAATAAACTTAGACTCTAATACAATCATATTGATGTCTGCTCCAGCAAACTCTCACATTCATGCATCAATTTATAAAAAAATATCAATACGCATTCAGATAACTAGAAAATAATTATATCATAATACAACATTAGCACAATTCAATATAATGACATGTGCCAATTGGGTTATAATTTACATAAAAAAAATTTATATACTTTCTCCTATTCCATCACTTTCAGTAATTAGAGCTCTTTCCAAAATAACTTTGCCTTCCTTATACTGTTGGTTTTTATCAGTTGCAAATTCGTACATCCACCCTAGCTTGGCTTCGCAGTTCTTGCAACTGACATCTCGTACCATATGACGACCAGTTAACATCACCCTGTCTTGTACCTCACTGAAATTAAATATCAATTAGAGAATTAAATTTAGAATTATAAAAAAAATCTTCATTAACTATTTAAAATAAAATCTTTATACCCGTTTTTATAAAATATATAAAATAGAGTATTCAACAGACTTTGCTGCATTTGTAATTCAACTTTGAAATAAGTTGGAAATTTAAAGAAATTAATTAATTGATGTTGTATACAATTATTTTTTAAAATTTTTAGGTTCTTGAAATTCAGGTTATAATTTTGCAAAGCAATGAAAGCTTTTTTAATCACACAAATTATATTATGTCAATCAAGTTATTTGATTGCAAAATTCTTTTGCTTGAGGTTATTTATATCACAGTTGAATATTATGATGCACTATGCAGTATAGCCCGTGAAATCATTCAAGCGACGTTTTTTATTCCGTACATGGCAATTCATCTCAAAGTCAATAAACAAATATGTTTAAAAAAGAGGGAAAGAGTACATTTTTAATAGTAGTACATGACGTTTGGAGTACGTTCTTGTCATGCACCGACGTCACCCTTAAGCGCAAATAAGTGTAAGTAATACACGTAAAACGGAGCGCGCCAAGGCACGGACATTCGGGCTCAGATATAGCATATAAGATACTTTGACAGACTGATACCTGTATTTCAGATTAACGACTTTGTTGAAGAGAAAAGCGCGGCCAGTGGCCCCGGTAAAACGGGTGCTGATCAGTTGGTCCCGGTTCGTAAGATTCGTGTCGCAGGAGGCACAGGAGAAGAGTCGCGTGCCGCCGATGTGCTCGAGAAATATTACCCCCATCTTGCCGGCAATATGTGCATCGTCGAGAACGTCTTTAGGCAGCCTCCCTTGGGTGACTAGGGTCTCGCACGGCTTCTCTCAAACTCACTCGGTATATGCACGGCACAATAATACCTAAACCTACTGCACGTTGCTTGCAGAAACGTCTATTTTATGAGGTCGCCTATCTGCGACTCAGATGTTCGCGGTATATACCTATGTACACACTGAGTACACTCGAGTCAATGAATTTTACTACAGAATGTATGTAGTAGAGAGTCTTGCAGGCTAAAAATTGTGAAACAGCACCTAACAATTCGCATGCGAATACGATCAAGGCGCACGACTCGAGCAAGAGTCGAGATTCGAGAATAGCTGCTGCGCTCAGCCTCAGCGGCACAGTGCGGCAAGCTTTACCATACTTATATATATAGGTATATAGTTTTATATTTATGCACTGTACAGTGCATACGACGACTGCCGACTGTGTAGTCTTATGTGTAACTGCATACATACACTACAGTCATATGTATAGCCTGTGCTAATGGATAGTTATAGCATGCAGATTTATCCGGTTCCTGACATAACACTGCTTAGACCCCGTTGATCATGTTTTAAAACAAATTTGTAATAATTTTATTATCATTGGAATCATTACAAAGTTCCAATTCTACGATACAATTTCAGTAATAAGAGATGTAAATTTCTATCAAACTTTTCAATCTATTATCTACTTATAACATAATTAAATTTACTTACAATATAAATTGCAAATGTTGAAACCAAGAAAAAAATGTTGCGCCAAAATACAGTAAACCCTCCGTATTCGCGGTAGTTACGTTCTGTAAAAAGGCCTGTATGAATATCAACTTCGAAATATGAAAATTCAGTTACTTAAGTTGGATAATGTACAACAAGAGTCAAGTTGTATGGTTTCGTCTTCAATAACAGTAGAAGATGATTGAAATTATTGGATAAGTCATAAATTAACAAAATATATTTCAGTTGTTCTTCAAATTTATTCTTCTAATGTCCCCAATGTCTCAGAATTCAAACATTTTTTATTATTAGACTCGGCATTTATTTGAAGATAAAGCTAATACTTTTTTACCATACCATATGCATTATGCACGTGTGTTACCGATTTGTGCGCGGTTTTGATATGTTTTAGAACATAGGAAAATAGTTCAGAGACCACCATTTTAGACCCCAATATTGCGCGTGAGCGAAACAAATCATACATGGAGGTTCGTTTACTTTAGGTACTTTACAATAGTCCTAAGGCCTTGAATTTTTCAAGTTTTTTTCGAATATTCCATTACAACCTACTGTGGAATCAACAAATATTCAGTTTTTAAAATAATCATTAATTTTGTCTTAGATTCTCTTGTTCGTTTATTTGTCTCGATGTTATTAGGTATTGAAAAAAACATGTAAACGATTTTTACAAAAAATATTTATTTTTTTCAACAAAGCTTGAATTTAAAAATAATCACTCAACATGGTTCGAAAAACATAACATTTAGAACCAGTTTTACTACAATGTGGTAATGGTATGACCTGGAGTTTTATTTTATTTCTTATTCAAGTTTTTGAAAGCTTTAAACCAAACAATCTTTAAATTTTTGAAAAATCTATACTCTTTAACAATTATTAATTTAAACATTTACATCATTTTTATTCCTTGTTTTACAGCTAATTGATTATTGTTTTCAAGTAAAACTTGTAACAAGCTATTACTTGATGAAAACAGATTTTCAATTTAAATCACATTTGTTGCTTTGATATACTTAGATTGTATTGTGTGCTATAATATTTTTAATTTACTTAATTAAGAATGCTATATCATGATAGTATGATGGACATATCCGGTACAACATTTATATAGTATTTAAAAAAGGTAATATTTTGAACACTTCAGAGAATTATATTACATTTTTAGGTATGTTAGGTGGAATATTTTTCACAGTGCTCCGTATTATTTTAAACTAGTTGAATATACTCATCAATGAATATTTTTTCCAACAATACTTTATCCAAAGCACTAATGAATAGCAGTCTTAAAAATTATTATAATAAAAATCTTTTAATTTCAGTTATTGCAAATTTTCACTTGGTTGTAGAATAATTAATTCTCATTAAAATAACTAAAACAAGAAAATGACATTTTTACATCACACACAAGAAAGTTATAGAATTTCATCAATTCCATCAGTTTCAGAAATTAGAGCTCGCTCCAGGATAACTTTGCCTTCTTTGTATTCTTGAGTTTTTTCATGAGCATATTCATACATCCATCCCAGTTTGGTATTGCAATTTTTACAGTTAACATCTCGTACTATGTGACGTCCAGTCAGCATAACTCGATCTTGTATGTCACTAAAAAATAATTTTATAAGTAGTATTGAAATAAAATCTTGAATAATAACTTCAATTGCAAGGGTTAAACATTTGAAATAGTTTAGTACTAGTTTAAATAAAAAAATTAATTTATAAAAAGCAAAGTTCTACTCTTAAACAAAAATATAATCAAAAATTAATAAAAAATGCAGTTGCAACTATTGTTTATAACAATAGCTATTTTCTTATTTTTTTTATAAATAAATGAAAATATTCGACACGGATAGTTTTAAAACGAGCTTAAAAAAATCGATATCGCGCATTATGCAATTTTTTTCCTTTAACTTGTGAACTGTCAAAATGTTTTTTTGTCATAACTCACCTGTACTTGACGTTAACGACTTTATGAAAGAGGAATGCCCTCCCGGAGCCACCAGTAAATCTCGTACTTATAAGTTGAGTCCTGTTGGTTAAATGAGTGTCGCAGTGTCGACAAGAAAAGAGCCTCATTCCACCCATGTGTTCGACGAAGACGACTCCCATGTTGCTGGTTATTTAAATACCCGTGCACTCGCCTAGACATACAGTGGTGATACGCCTATTATGTCGACGCTTTCTCTTTCGCAACTCTGTAGATCAACGTTGCTACAGTGATTTGTGTATGTATGCACTTGGAGGCATTAAATATGCCTACGTCAGAGAATGTCAAAAACAGAAATTTTTGTATGTGTGCATGCGTATAATATGTAATTTATTGCATTGGTTGGTTGTCATGGACATATCACAATGCTACCGAGAACTGTTCGTTGATAAATAAAGAGAACAATGATTTTTGATCGGAATTATAAAAAAGAGTAACGATATGCTGAAGTGGTTAAGATAGGAAATAGTTGTGGCAGGCGCGCTCACATTAAAGAGATTTCTTTGTTCCCAATAAGATCCCGTTTACAAATTGAGCTATATACACTGCAGATGTCACACTTTCCACACTTTGAGAATGTGCAACGAACTGAGCAGCTGATTGCGCTTTGCGAAGGCCAATCGATGTTTGTGTATGTATGTATATGTATACATATGCGTGTTGCGTGGTGGAGATTCCTCCTATTGACCGCGAGATAGCAGATCCGTCGTGGGCCATGTCGTGTGCGCAATACGTTTTTCGTATTGTTTTTTATAAGTTGCACGAGTTAACATACTGGACAGTGGACATGTCGAGTGAAAACTCAAAACAGTTAGTCGAAATATGGACATGAAGTTTTTAAAAGTTTCAGAATAATTTATCTATTTTGAAAATTTCCTTATCCATATTAATGTACTTATACACACATTAATATTATCCCATGTTTTTTCATGGGATGCTATTGTTGATAAATGATTTTTTTTTTTAATTTGTATTCTTTTTCAAATATTTATAATAGTTTTCATTGATTGATTTTAAAATTGAATTATGTTCCAACATATAAGAAATACATTGCTCTATGAATATGAAAATATTTAATATTTGACATATTTGTAAATCATGTTATGACAGAAACACAATTTTATATCCGTGGGACTATGAAATTGACATTTCAATTTTCAAAACAAACTCATACGGTGCGACGCATGCGCGTAGGCGACACATCTGTCAAGTGTCAATCTCTATCTCTACAGGTTAAAAAAATGTACACACTATACATTTGACATTACAAATAAACAGAGTTGTGTCATGTTCCGTAAATGCTGTTGACCTGCTTGTTAATATAGTGCCTTTCAAAACAAGCATTAGTATTTGAAGCAGTTTTTTTCTAATAAAAACCTTTTACCACCTGCTTATATTATTTAACCACGAAATTATTATATATATTTAGTGTCAGACTCATTCAGCAAGTGAAAACGTGACCCCATACATCGAAACAATGTACAATGGATTTTAAATAAATAATTTTAGTTATTTTAAAATAATTATATTTTCGTAAATTTAAGTCTAATATCCTTCAATATGAAATACCAAGCATCTTCTATGAACACATTAAATGAAGAATTGAAAATTCCTGAAAAGTACTTGAAATGGACGGAAGATAAAATATTAGCAATTGTACACAAAAAATGGGTGGCTGGCTTTTTAAATTTGAGTCCTGTTGATTTTATCACCCACAATCAACTTGATTCAGATGAAATAGCAGCTGGGCCTTCCCTCGATGAATTGGGGCCAGATTGGACAAGAGTTTATATAAAGGTATTATCTTATCAGAAAAATTATTTCATTATTCACATTGATGTAGATCAAAAATAATTGTAATATTTTTTATAGATTTATAGGAAGAGATTTATTAATGCTCGTACTTTAGCAAAAGAACGATGTTATATTACAACCTCAAAAAAAGGACTTGAGTTAACATTTGCTCAAGTTTTGCATTATGTTGCTACAACAAATTATCAGCATTTGTGGAAAGATTATTATAAAAAGTATTATGGTAAATAATTTTTAATAAATTGCCTAAGTTGCCTCTACTATTACATTTTTATTAAAATTTTTTATTTTATTTCCATAGCTCCTTGGACTACATTAGATCAAAGAGAACAATCATATGCAATGGGATATTCTATTAATGATGTTGAATTAATGAAAGAGATAATAAATCGTATGTATGGTTGCCTTATAGTAAAATATGAAGACAATCAATTGACTCTTGTCAAGCAAGCTGATTCAAGTAAAATTCACTGTAATATGTTACCTGCAATTTTTGTGGCTGAAACTAAAACGTCTTTTGTGATATTTTATGAACAAACAGCAAAGTACTCTATACGAGAGTGAGTTGAAGTGATTTTACTAAGAAATTAATTAATAATTATTAAATTTAATTTGGTGTCTAATTAATATTTTATCTAACTAGATGCCTAACGTATAGTCCAGCTGCAATAACTACAAGTTATGCTAAACCACTTTTCCTAACTTATCAACTCCTTAAATTGTCAAGGGATTTGCGTGATTGTGGACTTTTGCTTGGAGAGATTACACTCAGTGATATATTACTTATGGATAATTTTAATATACAAGTAAGATTAAAAAGCATAAGTAAAAGTTAACAAAAAACTTTCATTATATTATATATTATATTTATAAGGTTTTGCCAAATTTAGAAGACAATATTCATGTATTACCGGAAATAACCAATAAAGAAAATTTCAAATCTAGTGATATTAACAGTATAAAAAATTATAAAAATTTAAACATTAGTGAGCTCTGTGAAATGTGGGTTCATGGCCAATTAAGTAACTTTGATTATTTAACTGCACTAAACGATTTGGCTGGTAGACGTTATGGTGATCCAAGTTGTCATCATGTAATGCCATGGGTAACTGATTTTTCTACTCGAGGAGGTGGTAACTGGCGAGATTTCACTAAATCAAAATTCAGATTAAATAAAGGTGATAGACAACTTGATCTGACTTTTGACACAGAATCAGAAGAGGTGATATGTTTTATTTATAAATAATAAAAAGACCTTTAAAAAACTAATTGAAAAAATGTTTTTAGATTGGTTATCATGTATCCGATGTTTTATCAGAAATTACTTACTATGTTTACCTTTCGAGGCGGTATTCACGATCAATTTTATGCAAGAATGTGAGACCTTTATGGGTACCTGGAGAATATCCAGCATCTATTTCACGATTGTATGAATGGACTCCTGATGAATGCATTCCTCAATTTTTTACAGATCCAAGTGTATTCAAGGTATTCATTTATTTAAAATATTTATTATCATAATTATTTTTTTATCTAAATTTATCATCTCAAAGTCGATACACGAGGATTTACCGGACTTAGAAATCCCTAGTTGGGCGACATCGCCTGAAGATTTTATTGAGAAACACAGAGAATGTTTAGAAAGTTCCTACGTTTCTGAAAGACTGCACCACTGGATCGATCTGACATTTGGTTACAAGTAAAAACCTATTATGCAAATGCAATTCATGTCATAATTTGTTAATGTTTCAAATATTTTTTTTTTTAGACTTTCCGGTCAAGCCGCGATAAAATCGAAAAATGTCTGTCTTCATCTAGTGGACAATCACACAAATCTTTCAAATTTTGGCGTGGTACAATTATTTACTAATCCTCATCCGCAAAAAATCGTTCCATCTCCGTTTTGGTCAAAAATGCCTCCAAGATTGCGCAATTTCTCCGTCGATGAAAAACTGATAACAAGTAAGTTTTCGTTAGAATAAACACCATCGATACATGCTATGAATAGTACTGCATCCGTGCTAAATTATACTAAAAATTAAAATTTACTTCAAGGTCTTGACGAATCTGCTAAAGGAACCAATGACGAGCATCGAAGCTCTGGCGACGAGGAAGAAGCCGCTACAACTTCGAATCCTACCCGTGCATCGCCTCTGGCTTTCACTCGATTTTTAAGTAGATCTAGAAGTTCACTGCCTCTCATTGATGACAGCAGCTCCAAATCTGAAAAACCGAATGAACAGCCCATCGTTTTACCTAAAGAATATAATCCGGTATCGACTCTCATTCAAGTAGAAACGAGTCATGCTTTCTTTAACAGAGTTAATCACAGAGCTTACAAACCCAAGCTTTCTTCCAACAAAATCATATCTAATGTGAAACAAGCAGTATTGACAGCTCGATTGCGAGAGTCTCAGATATTAGGATGTTTAATTATCGAAATATTCCTCGCTGAAAAGTTTCGAGCTACGTGGAAAGTCGAAAAAATATCCTTCGAAGACCGATTACATAACAGCCTTAATTTAATCAAGACTTCGCCAATTTTATTACCTAAGTGCGTCAAAAATGCTGTAATGCTATTGTTGAGGGTCGATGCATCTTCAAATAATTACAATAGTGATTTTTCCGAGACTCATCCCTGCAGCCGTAAGATCTAATCATGCATTGGTCAAGTATCTTGTACTTTATAAATATTTATAGATTAATTTTTCAGGGCCAACTTCGCCAGAGCAGTCTGATATGAGCATAGAGCGAGATCCTAAAGTCACTTATATGGGACTTCCTCCGCCATCGGCGCATCAACTTTTAGAACCTGTACTGTCTGGACTACTATTTCCTTCAACGAAATCGTTGCAGTACCTTTACAATGTCGTAGAAATGATTCAAAATTATAACAATTTGAGTAGTGAACTCGACCGTGCTACACAAAATATCGACGATGAAAATTGCCAGGAGTACACTCGAATCGTATTTTTGAGTAAAATAAACGAATGCAAAGTCAAAGCGATTGCCAATGAACTAGAAAAATTATTGCCCAATGCCAGTATTGCTACTGAGATGAGTGTTCAACTAATCGTGCCACACATCAGACAAATTTTTGAACAGCCTCTAAGCGTTGTTCTTGCAGCCTGGCACTTGTTTGATCCAATAGCGAGGTACGTCATTTAATTGTAGTAGTTCAAAAATTATTACTGATAGTTATTTATTATTTTCAGAGCCATTGGTCCTAGAGAAACAGCTAAAGTATTTCTTAAACCGTTGATGAATTTGTACGATAGAGGCTCATTGATGGATCGCTTGGAACTATCAAATAATTTACCAGCGAATTTGGTAACCAAATTCAAGACTGTACGTTTGTATCATCGTAGTTTTTTACTCAAACTGATAGTTCGTCTTGGGTTAAAATGTTTTTTGGAAAATTTCATCACTCCTTTAGTAGAAGCTGTCGGTGGTTACAGAAATCATTTGTCCGGCTCTTTGAATTCTAATTTTGAAAAAGCAGGAATTTTAAAGTGGGTAAAAATTTTCTTTACCAAAAATTTAAAGAAAAATAAAAATACGTTCCATTTTTTAGAAACTGTCCTTTGACTGTTGAATCAAGTAATGCGGATAATGTTCTTTCACCTCTCGATGAAGATTCGTCTGTTGAATCGGAATTCATACTCTCCGGTCGAAATGCATCCACTCCGAATAATTCGAAGAATAATACAAATCGTTCGAAAAGTAGTGAAAATGAAGGTATGAAATGAAAACCCAAGTCAATCAAATCATTTTTTCTAAAAGTATTGTAATAAATCATTTTTACATAGAAATTTTTATGATGGAAACAGAAGATAAACTTGATACTCAGGTAGTCACCGCACAAACACCTCAAAGTCTAGACCTCAACTTAGAATTTAACGTAGAGTTAGAAGATTTTACTAACGAAGTTAAGGCATCAGTTTCTTCTTCAGCTCGATCACCTGAAATTCCTATTCCTCCGAAGGCATTTGACGGTTCATCTAATAAATTGGTACCAGAGTTAAACAGCATTTGTTGCAAAGTCGGCAGTACTTCGACGAGTGAAGATATTCCCTACTCTACTATTTACGAAACGCCGATCCATGATTCGAAATCAGATAACAGGTACAGTATAGTTAAACGATTGACGAATTAGCTTTGCAACTCATTCATAATATAATATTAATGGTATAATTATTTCAATTTTTTTTAAGTTTTGGAAACGTCAGAGATGATTCCGTGGCCAGTAGTACTGTCGATCCTGAGCCCTCGTTTGTTTATGTTCGCAAAGAAGATATTCTAAATAAAAGGGACCTGTCCGGAGCAAGCGAAGAACGTCAGCGTCGCTTCAATTCCAGTGAATGCTCGGCTTCGGAAATGAGTGCAGAGTCAGTAATTTGGCTATCTCACAGGCTTGGGCCTGTACTCACAGCTAGGCATCTTTCCCGAAATCTGTTAAGAATGCTGACTTTGTGCTATTTCTCTCGAGAAAATCTCACACCCTTACCTTTTGATAGCGATACAAGTGACGATAAAGAGCCAACTGTTGGTCTCCGACTCTCTGGTGATGCTAATGCTTCAAAGGTACTGGAGTGCCTTACGTCGATTGTTGGTAATAAATGGTTTTCCACACAACCAATTTTTATTTGTTTTGAAGAAATAAATAAAAAACGATAAAATTATAATTTAGGTTTGTACGGAGAACACACAATCGTTTTACAATATTTTTCGCACATTACTGAGCTGGTGGCACAATGTAAAAGAAAACTAACACCCAATTTGGAAGGTGGACTGATTTCTTGTATAGTTTTACTTATTCATTTGATTCCATACCTTAATGATTCTTCGTTAATGGATGTTATACATGTCAGTATATTCATTGCAATTGTTACATTTTTTCATCATTTTGAATTTTGAAACTAATCGTTTATTTTTGAATTTGATTAATTCCAGGAAGTAATAGTAAAATCAATTCTGTTACCAACAGTACGAATATTATCAACGAGTAGATTTTCATTTCCTAATGGATCGATGGCACGATTCGTATTGGCTAATAAGTACCTTGAAATATTGCTAATTTTAATCATCCGATTGGGAAACGTCATGGCAAAAAATCACCTGACTGTTCCTATTCAAAGATTCTTCATGACTTTTGAAAAAGTCTATAATTTTAATACGGGCGAAAAACATTATGACGTTGAAGTTCGTACTTTGAGAGATACGTCTGCAAATCAGAAAAAAAACGAAACCGATGATTCAACATCCCCTTTTAGCAATGAAGAGCTGAATGATCCTGATTCCAAAAAGCTTAAAGTAAAGTAAAGTAGTAATTAATTGTACTACTACTTGTACTCGTCGATAACAAAAAATTGTATCTTCCATAACTTTATTCCGTTATTTTACAGGCTTTAAAAGAAGTAAAAGAAGTATTTTCAGCTTCATTAGCTCATAAAGCTTATGTTGCTTTCTATCGCCTTTTAAAAGATGAAATCATGGACGAATTGGTAAAGAATCATCAGCTGGTTCGTGATCTATTCCATGAATTTGAGCAAGAATTACTTTTTCCATCCTCATCAAATATAGGTGAGCTTTTTCCATTAAAAAAATGTTTTTCACACTTTATTCATATTGATATCATTTCTATTGTCATAAATTAGCTACAGAGAGTAAACAATTTCTTGAATACAACGTCAAAGGTTTTGGAAGAGCAGGTGGTCTTGGCATAAAAGTCAAAGTACAAGTAAGTTCAAATATCTTTTATTAGTATCATCATTGACTTTATACTAATGTCTCAAAATTGAATAGGATTTTATGACTACAAGATGTCCATCAGTGGATGATTCGGTGGTTCGGGAACCTAGTCCTTTTTTAGCAGCCGGTCGGCAACTCAGGGGTAACTGGTTAGCGTATTGGGAGCACGAAATCGGCCGATCAGACAAAGATACTAACTTCAACATAAAACAAATTAAACTTCAGACGTTCACCGGTCACACAAATAGTGTAAGGTGCTTGTATGTACTAGATAATGAAAACAGTTTCATGAGTGGAGCACGCGATCGCACAATCAAGTTGTGGAGTTTACGAAGTCAAGTAAGAAAAAACTCCGTTTTTATGCCATGAATCGTTTCTAAAATAAGTGGAAAAAATTGTCAGGGTGACGGCAGCGTATCCTCTTCCTGCCAATACACGTACAATGGACACAAAAAGTCTATACTCTCGTTAACTTTTTTGGAGTCGTTACGCTACGCTGTAACGTGTGACGGTACCATACACTGCTGGGACCCGTTTATGGGTGCTTTCTTAGGTTGTCCTGAGTCCCCAAGAGCAGTGCCCGTCAATGTCCTAGCAGCTAGTCCGGCGCCGTCTACGAACATTCTCGTAGCTACAACCGACATTACATTGAGAGTTATCGACTGTCGTACCTTTCAATATGTCAATGAAATGAAGGTATCACTTGAATTTTTATTTTTACAATTATTTATCAATTTTAATGATTTTATACTTGGGAATTTTTAGGTATCTATGAGTCCTACAGGTCTGATCAGATGCATAGCTGTTGCACCTAGTGGACATTGGGTCGCCCTGGGACAAGCCTCTGGCTTTTTGACTATATTAGATATTCGCACAGGACTTATAATTGCATCGTGGAAAGGGCATGAATGCGAGGTAAATTATCTAATGAACAAATTAAAAATGTTATAATTAAACTCTTCTTTTTGAATATTTTCTCTGCAGATACTTCAATTAGAGACTGTTAATGAAACAACAATTATTAGTTCTTCTCTCGATCAAACGATAGCCGTATGGAGCGCCATTGATGGAAAATTAAAGTTTTATCTTAAGTAAATAAGAAACATATTTATGCATTTCCTGTTAATATTACTAATGGGCATTTTCATTGTTAATTAAATTTGATTTGCAGGGGTGTCACGGAACCTATTCACTGTATGTCAGTTTATAATCAGCAACTGATATCAGGCACTACAGCCAATCGAATTGGTGTGCATTCCGCTCTAGAAGCTTCTTCCCCATTTTCCTTCTCCAAGTTGCGACAAGATGCTTTCAAAGGAGTTTTGACGTCCATGGCACTTCTGCCGTTGAATAGATTATTGTTATTAGGTGCGGATAATGGAAATATTAATTTGATATGTTAAAAAACTTTCCATAAGCAATTTATTGTGTAAAATATGTTTTTATTAAACACTATTAATTAAATTTTCTTTTATACACGACAAGATATTAAAGTTTCTATAAATTTAATATAACACTTTTTTAATCAAATTCTAACGGTTTAAACCTTCGTCATCTAGAACTTATATCCATTCTATGTTTTAGAATTTTAATAGCTAGTGGCGGTGAGAGTTCGTAAATACTGACATCCGCTAAAACTTCTTTCGCTACATTTTCTTCTTCGGTTTCTAAAGCTTCCAGTAAAAGCATAGCTGAACCAAGCAGCATATTTAGCAGTGAGCAGGATTCTGAAATCCTATTAAATAATAAAACAAGATCATTATTGAAAGCCATGTACAATTTATAAAAACGACATGTAAGCAATACTTACAAAGGAAATAGAATTTCAGGTTTACTTGTATATAAACCAAAAGATGGATACAAACTTTTCTTGATATCAAATGTTAACTGTGAGGCGCCGCCTGAGTTAAATTGATTTCGAAGAAGTAATTCATCTAAAATGAACTGCAAGAAAATATTTTTAAAATTCAAATTCTTAATTTCATATAGTAATTATGTATGAAATTACTTGATCCAATTGCATAGCAAAATCTTTCCAGGCTTGTTTGAATAACTCTTTTGCCAGAACTTCATCCATGATATGCAATTTATTATAAATTTCTTGAAACATCGGTTGACCAGTAGGTGTAATTGAAAAAAATGCTATTTCTTTTTCCCCAGGCATAGTAAACCACCTAAAAAATTTTAAATTGGTGCATTTGTTTTCTAAAAATGATTTATAATTTTCATATGATTCTTACTTTTCATTAAAGTATGGTTTACTTTTTATTTTGATACTTGTAATTGCTGTATCGATAATTTCTTTCATCAATTTTTTGTGTAAACGTTGCAATAGACTTACAGCTCCATCAAAAACTGTAATACTAACATCAATATCTTTCATTAGATATTCAGAGAAATCATTTTCCAATTCATTATTTGCTGACTCCAGTGCTTGTACTTTATAATCTTGTAATTCCATATATAGCTACATCGAGAAATAATTATAAATAATTCAATCAAATAAAAATAATTTATTTTCAAGCTATTTTACTACTAACATGAGTAGCACCCCAGTCTTCAAGTACTTTAGTAACATAATGCACTGTGTTTAGAATGGAGGGCACAAATGATTGAAGAGGATCTTGAAAATGTTCATGTAATAGTTGAAGAATTCTTACTCTCCAATCATCGATCAACTCCAGCTGCAAATCTAGGAATTGGCATCTAAAAAATATTTTATTCATTGATTATAGTACAATCTCAAAGTTCCCAATTAATTTGATTTAAATTATATAAATTTATTTAAAATCATTCATCCTTTACCTGTGACTTAGCTGAGGTAATTTATTATATCTGTCAGAAATACTTCTTAAAAGCAGTAAAAATTTTTCAGCACATTCAGTTATTTTTGAATCTTCTTCAAAGCCTACTACTTTTACCCAAGCATTGGGAGAACTGAAAATCATATCCATTTTTTCTGTAGCACCTAAAATAAATCATCAATCAGACCAAACTAAGAATAAAAAAATTATGTAAAGAATTTTGAAAGTATTATGCTACAACTTACATTTCCTTTCAATAGCTAACCATTTAGATAAAAACTGAGGTTGACTAAGCACAAGAACAGTAGCATGCTCTGATGACGGATACTGATAAATGCTTCTAAGTTCATTTTCAAAATTGATAGCCTCATCAACAGTGTGAGCAAACAACTTATCATCATATAGAATAGAATCCATCTCAGAATATAATTTATTCACAGCTAATTTAGCTAATGACCTTATGAATTCAACCTTTACATCAGTCTTTTTCAGATTAGTACCATTAGCTACTGGTTGAACCATTTTTTCAATCCAATCAATATGATCCCTCAACCAAGCTAATAATTGAGTAAAATACCACTCAGGTTTGTCTCTTCTATTGGTTTGTTTTGTACATTGAAAATGATACCTAAATCTTGTTATAAATGGTTGAACAAGTAATGTAACTGGTAAACATACTTGAGGAAAGTGACTTTCCAAACCTGTAGTAGATTTTATAACCAGACTGTCTCTAGGTAAAAAAAAAGCACAGTAAGAAACATATTGAAGAAAAAATTTTTAAATTATTCAATTTTAAGATCATACGGTAGTTGTAGATAGAATAAATGTTCAGTAACTATTTTGAATTCTGTTAATGTTGTTGAACTATGAGTAAATTGAGCACCAGAATTATTTCCACAAAACGGCCACTTTAAAATCTTTAAAATTTCATTATATTCTCTGCAATTTTTTTTATAGAAAAAATAATAAAATATTTTTTTGAAGTTCAATCTTGCATTAATAATTACTACTTACATTGTTAGTTTTTTCTCAATTTGATCAAACCAATATTGTACAGTATCTCGCATATAACTTTTCAAATTAGTACACAAAGTGAGCTCAATTTTTGTGTAAGTATCTTTTAAATAAACATAAGAAGCTATACAAGCTTCATCAATGTTTGAGCATAGAGATGATTCTAAATCTGCACTGTAATTTAGAAATTCAATTATAATAAATACACAATTGAATATAAAGTTTAAATTTACCTTACACCTTCTATACATTCAATGAACTGCATGTAAAAAGCTGACTTTTCAAGATAAGAAATGTCATCAATGAGAGTCTGCAATTCATCTGTTTTATTCTCTTGTTGTAAGCATTTTTCTATGAGACTACAAATATTTTCACTCTGTTCTTTGATTTCATCAGTTTGCTTCACAATTTTGTTAACATCTTCAACAGCTGCTTGTATTCTAGAAGGTGCTTTTGAAGAGGCAAGAGACAACTGAAATTATGTTTATTAAATAAAAATAATAAAGCAATAAAATAATCATTAAATTTTCATGATATTTATACTGACACATTCTTCAACATCACTTTTCTTACTGTCAAGTTTTGCTTGAAAGTAATCAAGATTCTTCAAATTATTTAAAGAGGAGCCAAATTCTGCATTGAACAATTTAATAACCTTTCCTTTAACGTCCATTTTAACGAGATGGTAGGATTACCTCAATAAACTCAATAAATTATATTTTCATTTCGAAAATCTCAACGAAGTACGGTAAAGCAATGTGTAGCTTAGCATCCATAATGATATCAGCTAAAGTTGAAAGTCAGAGTGTTTTAGCATTTGACATTTGGACTCGGCACGGTGTACAGACATATGTAGGCACAAAAATTACCATACTGCGAATCTTTTTGCCACGTACCACGTGATCATGTAAACACCTGTGTAATTTATGAGCAGACGACACATCCACCCTGACGTTTGTGCACGGTGAAATTCGCGCTACAATTTACAAACGCGGCAAACGTTGATGTTGAAATTTTAGTATTTATAAACAAAGACGTTTACACATGTGGCCAGGTAAGTTTTACAAAATATGCATCAACAGATGCTGTTAATTTTGAATTTGAAAATTCATAAAAGCTCGTGGTATTTCAGGTGGCGCGTGCGGCGTTATAAAGCTCGCATCTCTGTGCAGTGTGTTGGTACAGTACACATACACATATCGAGGTGGAAGCCCCGATAGGGTAAGCGCGCTTCAATCGATTTTTCCCTCGAGAGACAGGAGGCACAATCTTGACTTACCTACACCGTGCTTACGCTCATTAATGTAGTATCTCGCATACATACGTAAAAGTAGAGCAGGCGCGTTTACTGAAAGGAAAAAAAAGAGTCATATAAAGCTCGTACTCGGCAGGAAGCACAGTGGCAGTTAACGCTGATAAGATAGAATTTATACAGGCATAATAGAGACGGCGTACGATACAAGTCCATGTGGAAAAAGAACGACGATGATTGTTTTTGCGCTCATCGTCGGGAAGAAGTAACGAGCGCAGTCGTTATCAGTGGCACCGGATCGTCGCAATCATGGACGAAGCCAGGAGCGGTGCAGCAGCGGTCGTCGTGGAACCGACGAGCAACGACTTCAACGTGACGACGACAACGACGAGTTCCTCGGCCAATTCGTCCTCGCTAACTACGTCCCGGGACGCAATGGAAGAGCTCGAGCGCAGCATGAGCGAGCTCGACGTCATGTCCGAGGAGGAAGGACCCTCGGGCGAGCGATGGGATCCCGTGGGGGCCACCAACGGCGACGAGGACTTTCTCGATCTCGAGTGCAAGCATCGCTACAGCATGGAAAAGTAAGCTCGCGCAATAAGTACCATATTGAATTTTTACGCGTAAACAGCCCTGCGTATGTTTGATGATTTCTGCTTGTGAAAATAAATCCCTACACGCGCTGGTGCTTCAGTGCCCATTACTATTCCAATGATTTCATGCTATTCGAATCGATTTGCGTGCTAATTAGAAATTTATTGATTTCAGTCATTGCGCCGATTTGGAAAAGCTTCGAATGCTCGAAGAAGAACAAGAAATGTTGAACTCATCTCTCATATCTTTAACTACACATTTTGCTCAAGTATGATGAGTAATTTTTATTCGTCGGCTATTCTTTCAATGTTTTTTTCATTAAAAAATTTCATCAGGTTCAATTTCGCCTTAAACAAATATGTGATGCACCTACGGATGAAAAAGAAGAATTACTGAAAGAACTCGAAGAGTTCGCTTTTCGAGGAATCCCCGACATACAGAGTAATTTAATTTTTAATTCTCAGTCATCAATGCCGTCGACACCATCTCATAAGCGAGACGTAAGTTTATACTTTTTTTATTTTTTAAATAGTCATTTGGTCAACGACTTAATAAATAAATTTAATTGACGATAGTCCAGTTTACTGGATAATCATGAAACAGAGAAAAAAATGGAAGAACAACGGCAAAAACAAAAAGAGCTGATCAACCAGCTCAAGTCGCAATTAGAGGATTTGGAAAAATATGCTTACGAAACCGGCGATGCAGATTTACCTCAAAGCATCATTTTGGAAAGACAAAATTTAATAATAAGTGAGTCGCAATGGTGAAATCAATAATAAGAATTTTAATGTAACTGAGTAAATTACTTTTTTTTCTAGATCATCTTAAGGAAAAATTGAACTTCAACGTAGAAGACTTAGCAAAGCTTTCGGGCGATGACCTCAAGTGGCAAGTAGATTTTGCTATCAATCAGGTAAGGTACATTCATTAGTTTTCATGTGAAATTATCCAATAAATACATTACGTCAATGGTGATTGTGGTTTTTACAGATCGTTAGTCCTTTAAAAATGAAAGAGCAGCTGATCACGCAGTTGAAAACGCAAATAACCGATTTGGAACGTTTTATTAATTATCTTCAAGGCGAAGTGAGTTCTGAAACATTAGCTTGCACTTGTGCGTGTCCTGTGCACATGAACGGAGCGACGAGTAAAAGTCACCGAAAAAGGGCCTTTAAGAGTGCTTCCACGAACGACAACAGCAGCACCACGAGTTTAAGTACTTTTAGAAAAATCGTGGCCCTCTTGCACATGTACTTGATGTCACAGATGGGCTGCGATAGTTCCTGGCAAGCCAGTCAGCGCAAAAAAAAAGATGGTATCTACGGTTGGCGTGATTTAAGAACACGACTCGACATAGCCGTCCAGTATGTCCTCGAGATCGTTACCGAAAATCAGGCAAAAGCACTAAGCCTGCCTGAGGCTGAAGCGAGTACGTCCACTGTCGTCGCAGTCGACGATAGCTCCTATCATTCGGATTCGGAAACTCGTCATTACGACGCGAGACTAACTACTGCCGTGAGAAAACATTTAGCACTTTGTATCAGAGATCTCATGCAGCATGGAGCCTCTAATGACTCCAATACTACCAGTTTGGTACCCTTCGTTGCCTGTTTCGCCACTAGATCTCACAATCCTAATAATTCTATGCATGCCTGGGAAATTATTCTCAAGTACTACGAGATCAAAAATGGCCATATGTACAACTCCATTCCTGCTTTGAAGCTTTCACAGAGTTTTAATTTGGATCTTTGTGCTAGTCAGTATGTGAGTTCCAAACAAAGCCTCCTAGTTACAATTGGGAACATTATTGCTTTGCATTCACCTTTCAAGAGGAGCAATGATTCCAACTTCAAAGCATTCATATGCGCTGCTTTAAAGTAAGATTTATTCAAAGTTTCACTACTTAAAAATAACATAGAATCAAATGACTTTTAACATTATTCATTTTTTTCATAGTGCTAATAAATTAGTAACTTGGCTAAAACTTATACTCCAATGTCAGTATTTGCTAGAAAACTACTACATGCCTTGGAGTTATATTATCAAGACTGGTAAAAAACACTTATAATCATGATTCAGTTAAAATATTCTTTTATTTGATTTTTATACTTTATAATTTTCAGGCTTTAAAGATGCCTTTCATACCTTGGATAAACTATCAAAATACAAATTTGATTTGCCAGTTGACTTGGCAGTTCAACAGTTCCATAATATTAAAGAAGCATTCTAATATAATTATGAAATAATTCTGCAAAAGTAGAATTAAACTCTATTAAAATTGTTATCATCTAGTTATTACCATCATTCTTGATGAATATGAACCAACAAATTAGTTAATATACAATATTAATATGGTATTTACTCAAGAGTAAAATCAGAGTTGAAAATGTATTTTGTTAAATGGTTGCATATTTTATAACTTTTTGTGTATATTTATTTTAGTGTTTCAGTATTATTTACAAAATTTTAAACAATGAAAATTGTCAAACAGAATTGAAAGTGTTACTCAGAGCTCTTCAACTGTACATAATTGTCATATCAGTATTATGTGTCGCTTGACCATTGTCTGACTCATTTATATGTATATTGCATATTTTATATTTTATGGAATAGTAAAAAATTAAAGTACTATAATATAAATATATATTATATATATACAAAAATTATATTTACAAAGTATTACGATTTTAACTAATCATAATTTAAGTTGTTTCGCCTTTCAATATCTCTAACTTCTATAATATCAGTTTTAAGATGTAATTTCATAATTTCTCTCCATATATCCATTCTATGTTGTCTGTCTTCAATTCCTAAACGCATTAAAATATTTTCATTCAGTCTTAACAATGCTCTTCCAGTAATATCGTGCTGAAAAAAGCCAATTGAATTAAAATCTTCTTAATATATATTTTTCACAACAATAATTTTATGATTCTTACATATAAAAATTTTTCATGATATGTTTGGTAGTAGTCACTGCAGTGTCTTCTTAACCATTTTTGAACATCCAAAACATTCCAAAGATACACTGGTCGAGGACGGGCGGTTTTGTTCTAATAAATGTTTTGAATCTGATTAGTTTAACAGTAAAAAAAATTAATTGCTATTTCTGATACCTTTGACTTGTTGCAATTTATTTCTTCTACCATTCTAGAAGTTTGATTAATTGATTGATCTTGGGTTATTTGCAATCTGTTACTCCCAACAGAATGAATACACAATCAAAATTTTCACAATTTAACATTCGTCAATAGAAATGAATAAATAGATTTCACTTCTTGTCACAAAGTAAATATTTTTGGATACAAATTTCACAATCAGTCTCGGAAAGGTTTTGTTTACTGATTAATGCAGTACTTCTACAAAAAGTGGCTATTTGCTCTTACTATAATTGGCTGCAATATGCATATGAATAAGTGCATTAAAATTTTCTCTGCATGCTATAAAACTCAAGGATGTCCTAATGTATAAGTTAAAAATGTTGAAAGTTACAGAGTTGAATTTATATAAATTAATGTTTACCTGATTCAAATTTTTGTAAAACTCCTAAATTCGAAATATGAGTATTGCATTGCATTAAATACATCAAAATAATTGAAATAAGAAAAAAATGTTTAAGCCCGAAATAATTTTCTCGCCAAATTTTACGTTAAAAAACAGAACTTTTTGTTCTAAATTTCGTTTATTTTTTATTCGAGATGAGCCCATGACAGGTAAAATTACTGTTGAGCGGCATTAAGTCTACAGAGCAGACAACATTGTAGAAAACCAAGAAGTAAATGACGCCGCGGCTCTGCTGAATCAAGATTCTGCAACAAAATTAATACAGCCAAGCCACTCTTTTCAGTTTCTGATGGTGAATTTAACTGTTGTTGTAACTAATTATTAGTTATATATAAAATAGAAATCGATAAACTGATGTGCAAGTATTGAAAAAGAACTTCATTAGTATAATCAACGAAACAAAGTTCCAACCCAAAATGTCGAACAGAAGCAATAGGAGAGACGACTATGATAGGGACGACTATAATAAGAGGGATGATCACAGAAGAGACGATTATCGAAGAGATGACTACAGAAAAGGTCTTAATAACATTTTTCTATCAATATTATTTTGCAATTAAAATTTTTAAAATAAACTAATGACATACCAAAAATATTATCATTCAAGTTTTTCGAATTTTCTCAAGTATGCTAGAATGTACCCTCACATAAAAACTTGACACTTTAAAAAACCGGACTTCAGTCATATGCTTTAATTATTAATAATAATAATTACCATCAATGCTATGCATTTTTTAACCTCAAAGTTCAACTTAGCATCCATTTTTAACGTTTGAATTAAATTAATAAAGTATGCACACTTTGTGCTACTTAATAAACTTCCGGTTATTTAAAACTCCTCCTTTTTAACTTGATCTGATCTTTGCCAGTGTTTGACGTTATCAGGGTCAAGTGCATACAGAGGTGAGGACAGGCGGAGAGAAGTTGAGGATGATAACTCGAGGACAAGGGACAGATCTCCGCACAGATCTCACGATCGCTACGAGTCTTCCAGTGGGACCGACAAAAGTTCAGATAAACAAAAATTAGCTTTTGGATTTGACAAAAAAGGAGCCTCCAGCGAGCCAAAGAAAAGCGGTGGGATTCAGATGAAGCTTGGTTCATCTTCGGTGAGTAGAATTTTCCTCATATTATTTCATGTAAATTAGTTCAAAATTAATAAGGAATATCTTGTTATAGAAATTCACTACACCAGCTCCCTCTAAAAAGCATACTATAGCTTCTGTGTTCAATAATGATGATGATGATGAACCAGAAGAAATGCCAGCCGAAGCAAGAATGCGAATGAGGAATATTGGTCGTGATACACCTACATCTGCAGGACCTAATTCGTTTGGAAAAACAAAACAGGGATTTTGTGATTCAAAGAAGATATTTGAAAAAGCTCTCAAAAAAGCAATGGAAGAAGCTGCTGATTAATTATGACTTTCTCATCATAAAAACATTTCTTGTAGTTTGCCAATATAAGTATCAGTGATTGTGTTAATACTAAAAAAAATTATTATCGATGTTACTTATACTAATTATCATTTAAGATTTATATACATTAAATTATTAAAATAATGAAATTGAGTGTTTTAGCACCTAAAATATTTATCCAATTCAATTGATCATTTTTTGATTTTTACTTTTCTTTATAACTATGTATGTATCTTCATTAGTGTTTTTATAAGAGTTATTTTTCAAAAACTAACAACTTTTGTTTTTTCTTTCTTTAACCATTGGTTCAATAAAATAGATATTTAGACATTTTTCAAATACAGTCAATTTAATAACTAAATTATTACTTATGTTAGTAATTTTAATGTATTGATATTGTAATAATAGGTAGGTATTGTTAAGTAATAAACAAAACATGATGAAGATCTATTTAATTTTTTATTTAAAAAAATTATGCCAACTACTTTCTATTTTGCTGTCCTTGACGCATATCCTGAAAATAAAAATTTTAAATAATTGAAATACTTTTCAAGAGTTGTGGCTGTTGAAAACTTAAGAAGTATAAATTTCACAGCATGATCTAAATATTTGAAAATCTATTTTGACTGCTTTAAGTAATTTTGTGCTTGTGATAGAAAAAAGATATATTAAGCATATAAAATTAAATAAATAAGCTTACTCTTGGGAAATTCCTCACTGGTGGAGTCCTAATTCTTCTGTCGCTCTTTGATCTATTGCGAACAACTTTAGAGTGAATTGCACAAGACACGCAGTAGTGCAATTTTGCATAAAGCTTTGGCAAAGTGTAAGATTGGTATACACTAGCATCAGTGATATCACGTACAGCTGCAGCTTCAACCATATTGCGAATCACAAATTTCTTGATTGCTTTATCCTTTGGTACGCATCTGGCACAGTTAGTGCATCGCACAGGGTTGACATGCCCACGGCCATTTTTGGCACGTCCAGCATTTCTGCGTTTTCTCGTCTGCAAATGAGAACTGTTGTTAATTCTCCATGGTACCAAAGTTCTTCTGACTTAATTATTTATGAATTTTTAAAACCACTATCTACAGTTAATGAGAATTCTATCCAATAAAAATGGATCAAAAGAAAATTATAATGAAATCGACTTGAAAAATCAACGAATATGCCAACAAAATTTTAGTTAAATAGATTTTAAACATTCATTATTTAATACTTTTTATTACTTGAACATAACGACACAAATAGGTATTGTAACAATATAACCTAATCTAAAAACACATGGTTTATAATATGGCATTCAAAATCAAAATTAATGACATTTGTTTTAAAAATCATATTTATCGAAATAAGAAGTGAGATGAATATAAATCAATAAAACATTATAAAAAATGTATAATGATAATATAATTTAAAAAAATGTTTTTTGATTACCATGCTGATCTCTTCAATACAGCACTTGTGGGATAAAGTATAAGTGCTGTAGCCAGTAGCAGCTCAACGGGCTCGATCGCCGCGCGCACCTATAATATGAAAGAGAAAGACATATCCGTAAATCCGTTGATAAGTTAGTGCTCGCTACATATTATCGGCTCTTTTAATTTTCATAACTAAACAAATAAAGAAAGATGTATAATACACAAATACTTACTTATACATCATACAAATGTAAATAAAAACTTTCAAAACTATTTAAAAAATTAATTGAATTTGAAAATTGGGTTGAAAATTATCAGTTCGATAATGAATATTTTTTCTATTAACTGAACTGAACTAATATTAATCAATTACCCATGCTAAAATATTAAAATAGAATATTTTTGAATCATCTCCATTAGTTTAAAAGAAATCATAAATAGTATTAAAAATAATTATGAAATACATTAAAACCATAGGTTGATAGTAATAAAAAAAATATATCATTGAGAAAAATTATTATATTTATTTACAAGGTTTACACTATTTTCGGTAAAAATGAAGAATTGTATTTTTGATTTTCATTCAGTATACTTTTTTCAAGAAAGCGCTTGTGTATTCTAGAATCATACTAAGATATACTGTCATTTGCCATATATATATGCGTATATATATGTATATAAATGTACACAATACGTACTATGTACAATGATCGTACCTTAACCAACCGACGAGATCTATAGCTAATATGATGCACACATTTTATAAAGCCTACGCGATTTCTGTGTTACTGAAACATTTGACAGGTTGACTATCTTTACCTCCGTTTGTACCAACATTTTCTTGTCTCGAATCATCTGACTGATTCGTGACAGCTGGTGCAGAGACACATATAGCGAGCAAATATAAATATATATAAGGAGAAATAGTCAAGTTTTGTTTTGATTTTATTCTTCGAACGGGAGTGGTAACTGTCACTGGGCTGCTGCACCAAGTCATCGCCATTGCTTTGCTCTTGGAGAAAATTGCATTCTACGCGACGAGTAGTTTTCTCGGACACCCTTTTTACTATCGGTAGAGCGCGATTGGATTGAAAAAATTTTTTTGTGAAGGATGACAATGGGCGATGAGACTCCAGTTACATCACTCGTACTTCCTGTCATATTGCGTCCCATATTGGCAAAGGTAAAATTTTTCATGATATTTATTCTTTGTTTCACAAAAAAATGTTTTTCCAAGACTCAAAATTTACATTTTTCATCATTTATTTTGTTCTAAGTAAAAGTTAATTTTGTTTCAAATTCAGAAAATACTTTGATCTACAAAGTTGATTGTTCCATTACTTGAGGTAAAACTTAGCAAAAAGAGAATTAATTTTTTTTGAATAAAGAAAAGTTTTACATTTATTTTACATTCATCTATGTTAGATGGTCACCTCAAGTGATATTTGATCTTGTAAATGTTTAAAATTTATTGTTGCAGCTAGAAAGACAGAATGTAGTCGCGGCCCAAACACTTCGTAAAGCTCTATCCAATGCTGAACAAAATTGCCCTGGAATTGCCAATGACTTGGTTATGGGTTTGGTTCGCCAGGCAGATCTTAATATTGATATGAATGAAAGTGTACTTCGCCTTCAAGGAGTTGCTTCTGAATATGATGGTATATAATTTTTTGCTAGTTCCAGAGCAATTTTGTGTGTACCGTATGTAACTAACTGTATCCATTAAATTATTTTAGTTGTAGAATATCGCCCTGCTCGCTCAGAAAGTGCTTTCCAAGAACTTAATAGAAAATCTGCTTCTCTGAAAAGGATATTGAGTAGAATTCCAGATGAAATTACGGATCGAAAGACATTCCTTGAGACTATCAAGTATGTTAATATTTAATTGAATAAGTATTAGCTTCAGACATTGCAATAATGTTAATTATTATAGGGAAATCGCCAGTGCTATAAAAAAACTTTTAGATGCTGTTAATGAAGTTACTGGATACATCCCTGGAACTGTTGGTAAACAAGCCTTAGACCAACGTAAAAGAGAGTTTGTCAAATATAGTAAACGTTTTAGTAATACACTTAAAGAATACTTCAAGGAAGGGCAGTAAGTAATAAATTTAAGAATGTCATTAGTAAAATAAAATATTGTTGTATATTTTGATTTTTGTTTTAGGGCAAATGCAGTATTTGTCAGCGCTCTATATTTAATTTTACAAACAAATATGATACTATTAACTGTTGAGGATAAGTGTGAATAGAATATTGTAATAATAATTATTGCAATGTATTATTAAAGATGTGCGATTTTATTAACAAATGACGTTTTTACGTATAATATACGTGTAGTTATAGAAATTATTGAAAAATGTTAAGATTTTTAGCAATTTATAAAAAAAATTTTACATTCCATAAAAAAGAAAAATAAAACATGTATAGATTTTGTTCAATAAGAAGAAATAAAAATTATTTATTGATAACAACTTGATATTATAAATGCACTGCAATTTTACACTGAAAATGGTATGCCTTAGCTATCTACATCTTTTTCATGTAACTTGCAACATGACGCAGTAACTAAAGAGAGGTATAATGAACAATGAACACTGTTTGAATGTTCAAGCTCTTTTGCTGTCAGCAAACACTCTAACAATACTGCCTACCCCACTGACATTATAAACTTTTTCATGCCACACCAACAAATGTCCACTGCTTCCTTCACATGGAACTTCAAATCCTCGATAAATGTACTTCATAAGAACATCTAATAGTTCACGATCCAACTGTGCTATACAGTCATCTATTTGGTTAGTCTTTATGCTCAGCAAAACTTTCTGTGTAAGGTTTCTTGCATTATCCTAGAATGAATAACAAATAATATAATTGTAATTGAAATCAATCTCAGAATAGTACAAGATATTGGATGTTAAGATGGTTATCAAGTTATCTTTCAATATAAGTCATAACACAGAACAGTGGATAAAAAATAAATATGACTCATTCAGTAAAATATCTACTTATGAGTGCATATAAAGATACTTATTGAAATAGTTACCTTAACCTGCTGATTTTTGCAGCCGAGTGGCGCCGATTTGAGTACGGATATAAGGGCTTCTAAATGTTTACCCGTGTGTAAGAGTTAAGGAAAAAATTGGTCAAAAGGCATTGAAAGAAACAAGCTATAAGTTGAAAATATTTCAAAGGCCTTTAGGCTATTTAGTCATAAAAAGGATATTGGCTAAGTAGCGTAAGTATCTCGTTGTCGTCGGGTCCCTGTGGTCCGGTGAGGCCGGTGTCGGGATCCTCATCCTTGAAGTTGTGCTCATTGTATTGGTCGACGTCAATTTTGCGAAAAGCCGTGCCCGACGTGTCTTTGATCTTCCTATCGTCGGACTTTGACATTTTGGCGACTGGCACACACCGACACACGCAGCACTGTGCTGCACTGCACAGCAGTCAGTTTATATGGGCGCTGCGCGTCACGACTTACCAGCCCGCACCATTGACCATTCAAGCAGCGGACTGCCCCGAGTCACACACAGTCGACACACTTTGATATCGTTGAAACGCATACATACGCATACTTTTGTAGATACACGAAGCGCAGGGTTCACGCCCGCCGCCGTTGTGAATGTTACCGTTTTGCAGGCGCGCACTCCACGCGAGCAAAGCTTTTAAACCCTCTGCTCGCTCGATGAATGTTAAACAAATTAATTGTAAATTTTTAACAATTTACATATCTCGAGAAAACACATTTAAATTGATGAAAAATTGAAAACTTGTAAAATACTCAAACAATTCAGTCCAACTCATTAGTAGGCGAAGAGGCTCAGATTTTGTATAATGATTTTCTCGTATCAGTCCTGGTTTCTCTACACCCAGTAATGCGTTAAAGGGTCAGAATGAATCCATACGATATTTTTTAGATAATGTCGTCAGCCGGAATCCAACTGTTTACTTCGTCGAGATCTCTGTTAAACTGGTAAAGCTCCAGGAGAACGAGCTTCCTTCGCTTTCTATCTTGTCACCGTCTATAATCGAAGAACCGAGGGAGAAAAATTGATAAGTATCAGGTGGAAAATAAGAGAACCAACTTTAATAATAATTTTAAACAGATAGAGCATTGATAAAGAACTTGATCATTTTTGACAGCATACTTAATGCTCAAGACGTAATCAAGAATCCTTGAATTAGGAGTGTAATTGGTATCCATTTGGCAGAAGAAAGGACTCTATGGAGAAGATTATTATTCCCATGAAGATCGCGTTATTGGATCAAAATTATCACGTGCACTGAGAGGCAATTCATATAAACCGCTAATCGACTGAGTAATATAACGAGCGCACGCGAGAAATATTCAAAAACCTTCAGGTTGACCAACAAATTAGAGCGGAGAAAAAATGTATTTTAAAAATCGCACAGTCGTTGATACTATTCTGCTTACGGCCCAATTAAACTAGGAAATATGAAAATTTATGAGCAAATTCTTGATGATTATTTTAGATATGATTTGTCAACAACCTAGTACCGATGAAATTAATCACAAAATGAAAATTAGCTAGTATTGACCCGCCTTTCACGTTTTACCCTGCAAAATCCTGCACTAATAAGTAAAAAATCTAATAATTTCGACAATTAGGTCGAAGAAAATTTTTTGAATGTTGACTTGGGTTAGACTGTACGTAGACCAAATTTTAGTGGAAGTGAAAAGTCGAGTGCTTCGAGCAAGAACGTTTTCACGCAATGACAGATTTGATGAGACGATCGTCATGGCAAGATGCTCTTTTGGTTCATTAGCTGACGCCATTCACAGTTTCGTTGCCTTTCTTTCTATTATTTGTCCTGTGTCTATTTCGCACTCAAGATTCAAGAGTCAATATAAGCTTGAGTTTACGATTTTCCCCACTTTTATGTCAAAGTCGTTGTAAGCGAGAGCCGTCATCGACAAAGTAACAACGTTTAGTCGGTCCGAGCGCGCAGCATTGGCTGCCGGCCGTCACTTGTTTTGTTTTATCTCGGTTTTCAAATTCGCGCTTCATTCAATTCCGGTCTTGATATCGCATCAAAACTGGTTTAGCTAACATATTAAGTGTGTTTATTATAAATTTCACAAAATATTTTTCTTGGACTTGCTTCTTAATTTCATATAAAATTCTGATATGTTTCTATGTTAACATAATTGAATCGTTTACATTAGTATATGACATAGTAAACGCGCTTACTTATTTACGTTTCAAGTTGATCAATTATCCAAAAAAGTTTTTTTTTTAAATTAACAGTGATCTAGTAATTTATTAAAGCATTACGCAATGAATACTTCGATGCAATCTTTATCCGATACGTCGTTCGATGGCAACAGAAGCTACAACGATTCAAATCAGTCCAAAGATAATTGTGTTTCACTAATGATAACTCATTTGATTCGCAAAGATGAAAATATCAAGGTTTGGGGTGTGCCTGTTAAATTTATAAAAATTGTTGCTGTTGTTTCTAATATTGAAGTTGACTCCTACAAACTAAAATACGAATTTAGAGATGAAACTGGTAAGAGACTTACGAGCTTTGCAACTTTTATGCATAGATTATTCAAAAATAAATAAAAATTTAAAGTAAATATAGATAACGAGTGCTAATGAAAGAAATAATAAGAGCTATTATCTTGAAGGCACTAAATGTAATATAAAACTTGTATTATTCCAGGACAAATTGATGGTTTCAGTTATCTTTCACCTTATGCTGATCATCCACCATGCGCAGTCAGTAAAAACTCTTATGCAACAGTACATGGAAAATTGAGAAATATAAATGGACAAAACTGTCTTTATGTTTTAAGCATACAGCCTTTAGAAAATCTTAATGAGTTGTTAGCACATTTGATGGAAGTTACACTAATATGCTTGGAAGGAAAACATGCTGCGTCAAATAACAATAAAAGCCAAAATCAAGTACCCTCTACTACAAATGAAAATCCTGATTACAGTGGTAGTGGTCAATCATCAGCAAATAATTATCTAGATCTAGGTAAAGAACAAGCACTTATTTTAACGATAATTGAAAGCAGTGAACAAGAATACGGAGCTGAAAGAAATGAAATTAAATCCAAAGTACCTTTGAACATGGTTTCTAAAGTTGATGGCATTTTAAACTTTTTATCTTCAGAAGGACATATTTATACTACAAAAACTGATGACTTTTTTAAAAAAATATAGAATATTTGATAATATAATCAAAGATAATAATATTAGTGACAATAAAGTTGAAGTAACTTTTATTGATTAAATATAATTTTCTACTATTGCTTGTAGTGTTTTGAACCAATTTTTTCTAAAATTAATTTTTCCATAATATTTGTTGACTCATAATGTTTAAGAGCACTGAACTCGATAAATAAAATAACAAATACTTTGCAGAAACTATATAATTTTATTGTATTAAAACCAATGTAACTTCAATAAAATTTTGAATACTTAACAAGATAATAATTTATTTGTACACTCACATTAAATCCAAACTTCAAGTCAAATGAACAACAATAATATAATATATATGTATATATTTATAGATAATTTAATAGAAATTCTTTAAAAGAAAAAAAAAAAGAAATATTAACTCACAATCACTGTAATACTGATAGTGTAATTGCATTTTGAGTGGTCAGATTTAATATTTCTTCCCACTGAATTTCTTCATTGCATTGAAGTGAATTATTTGATGATAACAAATCTATTTCAGAAATTTTTTGACACGGAGTATTTTCTAGTTCAATTAGATCCTGCAAAATGATTTCAATTTCTTGATCGGTTGATGTTTCTACACTCTGTGTCGCAATATCACAGGCGATATTAGTTTGTTGTGGTCTTAAGACTCTCTCGGCATTACATTCATTCGATATTCTAGATTGTTTTAATTTTTGTATCCAATATTGCTTTTTTGCTTGATTCAATGCTTTTTTAAGAGCCATCTGAAATCATTCAATTAATGGTTCATACAATTAGAAACTTATAAAAACAAACACGAGAAACTGATATGAAAATTAAATAAGTTGAAATAATATCAACACTTGTACTGTTCGTACTTACTCGACAAGCTTTCAGTTTACTTGAGCTTATGGTTTTTTGCCCAACAATAATCTGCGATCTACCGGTTTTTGGCTGCAGCTTCTTTTTGGCTTTGGTTTTAGTTTTCCGGCAAACTCGCGATAGCAATTCGGGTCTGCCAGCTCTAAAGAATTCGTGTAAAAACTCGTGTATACAGTAAGGCTTATTTACGGCATCGAGCGGGTTGATCTCGCGATTGAAATTTTTGCTCAAGTCGTGACGGTTATGCGAGTTGACTTTGCGAAAGCCGTAAAGATTCAGTTGACGCACAAAACTCGTGATGTTTGTAGTTTTGAATACTAGATTGGGTTTGAGCAAAAACTCCTGATGAAAGTCCTCGTAATTCAGTAGGATTGTCTCGCCGCTGGGGCCCCAACAGATGGATTTGCTGTTGGACTCGTTGACGATGTGCCAGAGTTTCTGCGGGAAACGCAGGGTCGGCACGCATTTGCCATTGATACCACTGTTGTTCTCTTCGTCATTGTCGTCCGAGCTGCTGTGGCGAGTGCCGACGACGGTGGCGGCTACGGCAACGGCTGGTGGTGCTGTTGTTACTGCTACTGATGGCAAACTCAAGTTTTGAATCGGTTCGTTTGTGTCTGTTCCAACGTTATACAGCGTGACTTTTTCTTCACACATCGTTTCTTGGAATCTTTTAAAAGTGTCGTTGATACGAATCAAGCAGCACAACTTTAAGGCTGATCAAGGCCGTTCTTCACTAGTTCTTCGAAAGAAAAAAAACGAACATCGGTTGTTAGTTGTCTCGAGTTGATTGCAACGGCACCCTCCCCCCCCCCCTTCCCAGGGGTTTTAAATATTTAAAAATTTAAACATTCTATGATGGCCATTTGAACCTTTGTAGAGTCAAGTTTTTTACACTAAAATTATTCAAGCAGCATTTATAAAAATACAGGGCATACCAGTAAAACAAACAAAGTAAATAATTGTAGGTTGCATTTATTCTTTTTTTTTCATTATGTGTATTGTGTGGTTGAACTTTACAATGATCGTGAACTCAAAAATTGCAACGATATTTTTGGATACGTTGAATTTCCATTTAGTTTCAATGACTTTCGCGAGTGAAGTGCACTAAGTTTACATTTAATTAGACGAAATCTTATGACGCTATAATATATGCTCGAGGCTTGAAATTTTTACTTTTTAGGTATTGATTTTTAATTACACATTACTTTTAATAATTATTTACAGATTATAGAAAATATTTTTTCATCTAATTTACAGGTCATGTAACTAATCTCATACCTCGACATTATCATTGAAATTTACGAACGACTGTTACATGGCAAAGTATGTATATTCATATCATTAAAATTAAATTTTAAAATTACGTTTGCATATTAAAATATGCAATACTTAAAGAAAATTTCCAAGTGCCATCTTGGAATTAATATATTCAAGAACTATATTTTTCGCTAGCTTTTTCAGATCGCTTCTTCAGTATATAAATGTTAAAAAATGCGTACAGTTGTCATTCGTCTAATGACTCTGACATTAAATTGAAAAGAGTACAATTTTGATATTTGTTAAATGCTAATACTTGCCATCATTACATTACGGTTTTTTAAGCTCATTGCATTGACTCGTCAATTTTTCTACAAGTTATTGGAAATTAATGAATTTTACTTAATGCTAATGTAAGATTTATCATGTACAATTTTAAATTTATTATATACATAAGAGTTAAACATTTTTGTAATTAATTTTTTCCATCTAGATAATTTCGTTGTATTTTTATAATTAATTGTAAGGTTATTTTATGATTCGACTAGTATTTTTGTGTCGCTACATTTGTGACCACTAAAAGTTCAGTTTAATTCATTTAAAAAAATTTTTTACAAATTGAATTTATATATATATATTTTTGCTAGTTTCATTGATTTTTATGTACTGCTTTCGATATGCTCCTGAACATTTAATTTTCACCATGATTTCGACATTCTATACTATTCATTTTGTAGGTAGCATTCGTTCTTTGAATAAATACGCGTAATCATCAAGTCGATTTATCGCATTCGTCGATCAATAATAATGCCAGTTTTATGCGTATTTTAATGCGACTCTCTAGCCTGTCAAGTCGGCAAAGTCTGAAGGTACTCTCTGACTGCAGCTGGCGACGGCAAGAGGTAACCGTCGGGATCGAGGGCGTCGCGACTGCAGATCTTAATGGGCCCGGGCGGTGGTCGGGGTAGTGAATTTATCTGGTTCGGCTTATCCTGAGCTTTTCCTAGCCTCTCGAGGACGTCGACGAAACGTATTCGATCGCGAGGCTCGGTCTTCCAGCAATCTCGCATTATTTGGCACACGTACGGTGGGGTGTCATCCGGTGGTATGAGCATGATTCCTTGCAAAATCAACTTGATTACCTACAATTTGTACGATAATTTTCATTGTTAGGATGGTAATTATCAGCAAAAGGGTAAAAAAATGGTCAGTTTTACTAATGGGACCCTTGTTTTTTGAGAGCGTACCTCTTCATTATTGTGTCCGTAGTACGGCTGTTTTCCAAGCGAATAAACTTCCCACAGTACAACTCCAAAACTCCAAATGTCACTTTCAAGAGTGAATCGTCCATACATGACGCTCTCGGGTGACATCCATCTCACTGGCAGTAATCTCGACCCACCGATCTACAAATAAGGAGATCATCAAGTTCTGATAGCGATAGCTACTGGACACCTTAATCAGACCAAAGAGCTTAATTACCTTGTAATAATCGCAAGTATAAACGTCTCTGGACATGCCGAAATCGGCTATTTTTACCACCATACCCGATCCGACCAAGCAATTTCTGCAGGCCAGATCGCGGTGAACGAATCTTTGCGCTGCGAGATACGCCATGCCTGAAGCTATCTGCGTCGTTATCCAGTGCAACGAATCCTGTTGTAAATTAAAAGATGAATATTTTAATAAGAATATTAATTAATAATTATTCGTTTCTCCTGCTTACTTTGTTTAACGGTGGCAATCCGGGAGTAGGAGTCCTGAACGTTGGTGAGTTGGCTCTCAAGACCTCGGCTAAATCACCGTAGGGCATGTATTCGAATATCATCCACGGGCTGTTGATCGAGTCCCGCTCCACTACACCGATCAAAGACAAAATGTTCTCGTGGCGAAAGGTTGACATTATGTCAACTTCGCGCATAAAGTCTTCCTCTGCCTCGCGACTGGCCGTATCTTTGAGCACTTTGATTGCTACAATGTCCCGCGAGTCCCCGCAGATCCATTCCCCTGAGGAAAAGTCCATTGTAATTAATATTTTTGCATAGATTGAATTTCGCACGTTTTATAGAAGAAAAATATTAGACGTTTGCGAGCGTCACGTCGATTATTTCGCGCAACTGCATCGTAGTGGGTTATTTTGTTACTTTTACTACAAGCTAAAAGTGAGATTATATTTACGTACCTTTGAAGACTTTTCCGAAGCAGCCCTCGCCTATGTCTTGTAGAAAAACGAGCGACTCTCTCGGTAGGATTGGCACTTCCGGCGAGGCGCACGTAAAGTACTGTGGATTTGGTGTGTATTTGTTAGCCAATAGTAAACTCGTTTTTAAGTTCATAGGCGTGGCCTGTTTTGACAAATCCACACAATGTGTATTTTTAATAATTATTCCAGAATACTAAGCATTTGCATTTTTTTTTAATGAAGAAACAAAGAAAAATAATCTGTAACCATTACGATGCGCGATCAGTGTTCCGTCCCGGGCAGACAGCCTCTGCCAAGGGTTCAAAGATGCAGATTAAAGTGCTGTGTATTATATTTATATGCGCGTGTTAATAGTGCAAATTCTAGGAAACGCTAATTGCGATACGCAATCACTAGGCTGGAATGTGCAAAGCGTCAATTTTTTTATTGATCAGGAGAAAAGTAATACAGTGTTCAATACACAAATGATTGATTCCGCGTGCGCGCAAGGAGAAAAGTGAAAAGTCATTTCGCTTCGTTATAATATTGCTCGGTGATTGATTACCTCGAGATTGCTTCGCTTGGACTTGGCGTTATAATTGCGTCGTTTGCAGTAGTAGCTTATGAGGCCGATTATAAGGGCTAAGACAACGACGCAGCCGATGACGATGCCAGTGACCTCCGGAACTTTCGGCTCTAGACGCTCTACCTGCAATATTTTAACAATCCGTCAGTCCGATCATCGTTTAAAGCTATCTTAGATGTTTTCTTATAAACATTGAATAATTCATCATCGTTCCATAAGCAGCTCATAATTACATTCAAAAGCTGTAATGTAGCCTAATCTATGTAATTTGTTTAAACCATAGAAATCTAAATTTTACCTGCTTGGCTTCGGGAAGTGCCGTGGTCGTATTGGTGACGTTTCCACTCGGTGGTATGATGTTGTGAATCGGTTTCATATCCGGAGGTACTTTAAAGGTATAATTTGAGGGATTAATTTTTTCGCTAGGCCAAAAGGCCCTAATAAAAGCTGTTGAGATAATAAGAAATGTATATAAATACCAGTGACGCGAGGACACTTGAGATCGAGAGTAGGTGGCGATCCATCGTGCGGGCAGATGCACCTGCTGGTGTCGTTCTCCTCGTCGACTTGACAGGCTGCATCTGTGCCACATATCTGCGGCCTATCCAAGCAGTCCAAAATCTCGGCCGTTTCCGGGAAAAATTGTTGCTGCGTTACAGCTAGCGGTGAGGCCGCCTCGCTACTGCCGTTTCTCATCGGCGATTCTGCAACTGCACGATAAAGCATTCCTTTTACCGATCCATCGCAACAAATGCATAGAAAACATTAATATTTGTACAAGAGCCAAATAAAAGAACTTGAAAGCTCGCAAAGATCTTTGAACGGCGATTCGTGTAAAATCGTCGCGAGACAGCTCTTAAAAAGACATTGCGCTGCAGCTTCTTTATTTAAAGAGCTAGAACCGCGTGTGCTTACATAGACGCGGTTTCCGTTATAAGTGTATTATGAGATCTATTCCGGTTACAGTACGAGCTGCAAGAGTAAAACTATAACATAAATAATGATAATACACATAGCTAACGTCTGCCCAATGCGTGAGGTAGCTCATTTATATATAATAAATATAAAATATATGTACACATATATAGCCGTGCATGCAGGATTTCCTCGTCGAATTATAAAAGCTCTAGCGAAATAATCCGTAGGCAAATTCACCATTTTAGGCTGGGCGTATATCGACGCGGAGTCAAGAGAGATTCTTCCTCGCGGTGCATACTATTTGAAGCGAATATTTACGTATTAATATGCATTCGAGAATCTCGCAAGTTTATTTGGCCTTTTCTCAATTTTTTGTGCTCCGCTGTATGCTGCAATAGCCTGCACCGCTGCCGCCTACGTCGTCGACGACGATGACGACGACGATTGTTATTCTTGTCCACGTGGACAAACACTCTTCGACTAAGTGCAAGCACTCGTTTCTCGATCGTCGTTATTTGAGAGTTATGTGCACATTTGCACGCACTATTGAGTTTGGCTTGTTCTTTCTTCGATAGCTGATTTTCGCATGCTATGCCTCCGTGCAAGAAACACGCTGGTCATAAAGCCTCCTCTGACAAAAGGAGTTTACAATATATGAATTCTCAAATTTTGCTTGGCGTGAAAATTAACATTTATTTTCATGTAGATATTTTTCACGTGATTCATCTATACAATTGATTGAGATGTAAGTTTCAGTGAAAATTCTCAATTCGAATGTTTCAATAAAGGTGTACAGTGTAAACACTACAACCAATTTTTCCAGTACAGTTCACAGGCACGTTTCTCTCGCTAGCCTTTCTTCCCTTCCGCACTCCTAGTCGACTTCATTAGATCTCGATTCGCGACTCAGCTGCCCCAGATATGCTAATACCACTACTGTACTGTCCTAAATAATGTATTGCATTGCAAAGCAGTGTATATATGTACGTATGGATCGCGTGAGTATGAGTGACGTTGATATACTTTTTACATCCGCCTCTCTCTCTCTCTCTCTCTCTCGTTCTTAACATCGATTTTATGCATTAACCGTGAAATACGATTAATTTTCACGAAATTGAATCTATCGATGAAAACTGCCCGAAATTATTTTTTCTCTCTAGAGAGTAACAATATTGATTTGTGCTTGTGTGCTGCGCTTTAGTAAAACTTCTATTATTTGACACAATTCAAGTGACCATTGGCTATATCTTATCGATTATTTTGCATAGGACCAGATTTGGAACTGGTTTTCAAAACTAAACGTACGTGTTACTGTGCCTACTATTCTTGGGGGCCTATATTAGATCGATAAATTATGATTTATTTCATATTCAAAGTTTTGAATCGGTGCATTAGGAACTTCAATCAATCACAATTTTGAATGAACTAGATTTCATTTGTACCATTGTATCATTTAAAATTACATGCAGCTATTAGGTTAATAATACAATTAATTTTTAGTAAAATTTTAAAAGTTACTCTTCAATTCTATAGGATTAAAATGTTTAGAACTATAAATCATAGGCAGTACTTCGTTTAAGGCAAGATGATAAAAATCTTGCACAATATTTGTGTTCGCATAATCATATGTAGGGGGAAAAAACAAGTTATGGTATGATTTTGTCGAAAACTGAAAGCTTTATCGCGGACGAATAAAAAAGGTAATCTAATCTAGCCTCGTGTTCTCAATCCCAATTTTTCTTGCGTGCAGGGGCTTAAAATGCCCATATTTTTTTATAGTAATATAACGTTGCGTTCGTACAATATGTGTTATAAGCGCCAGCGACGAATCGCTTCTAGTCCAAGTTGTTTTTTTTCTTTTAATGCTTTTGCAGTTATCTAAACGATTATGGTTTACGAAAGAGAGAGAAAATACACCAACACCGTTACATGAAAGTTTAAGTCCGTGTTCCCTGAACTTTTCAGTATAAAAGTATTCGTATATAGGTATAAACTTGACCGAGGAATTAATTTGTGGCTAGTTCTTTGAATTTCTCACCTAAATTGTGCGTCTTTATGCGATACTGTGTAAATAAATTCCAATATTGTAGGTTTCACTGCTTAAAAAGATAAAAAACAAAAGTAGCTAAAAATTGCAACTTTCGTGTACTTTCCCTAATTGACCTAAGCTAACGGTGAGTTACACAGGCAGAAATTTTTAAAATATTTGATAATAAATTCAAATATTTTACCAGTAACGGTGATTTTGTATTCATTCATACGAGTCATTTATTCTAGTGAAAGATTCAAAAACAATAATCCTCAGATTTCATACATGGCACACTTAGAGTACAGCTAAATGCACAACGAGCCAGTTTTAACACTATCGCTATCGCACTTATAACTTAAGATTTTCACAGCGCAAGTCAGCGCAACCGCGATAGAGAATTTACAGCTTTCGCAGCGAGAAAAGTGACTCATTGCCACCGCGCAGTAAACAATTTATTTGTGAAAAAAAACAACAACAACATTCGTTTGTAGTTTAATTTGTTGAGCCGACAATTGTGTTGAACGGATTCGATTAAGCTCGAATCGAAAGATTTTTGGTCCCGTACGCGGTCGCGTGAACGCCTGCCCATCTCGCGTTTGGGGGTACATTATTGTGGTGATATTGCGCGCAAACAAAACAAAGAAGGGAAAGTGGCTGACAGTTGGATCGACGATTGTTGGCGCAGATATCTAACTAATTAATTAAAACGTTATTATTCGTAAGAAGTCGAGAGCTTCAATCGCAGACTCGGCACGCGGTAAAAATACCACGACGATATCGCGGCCAGTCGTGATGCTGCATTTTAACCAATGCATGCTAGTGCGCATAAGTACGTATTATTTATGAGAAAAAAATGTCTTGTGCCTGCGGTGTCCGAGGCAATAACATACTCCTCGGCGCCCGCACATCCTCTTTTCTTTACATGCGTTGCAGTTAATGCGTATCTAAATAGTCGGAAGAAAAAATGTGCACTTTTTATCGTCCTTTGTCCGTGCAAACGACTTTTTTGTCGTTTTTTGCGTTGCCTAGGCGGCCAAGTTTGAACGATAGTCGTGAATTATCGCGTCGAGGCCACTCACCCTGCGCAAAAGGGCTTTGCCTCCGCTCTTCCAAGTGAATTGGATTTTCTATGGTTCAGTAGGGTTTTTTAATTATATAAATATAGAGTTGGAGTACTTTAGCCGGCATTTCTCTTCGTACGCAGACGAATGAAGATTTTCGAAGGAGCATCGAGGAATATTTTTAGATAGCCTCGCGGGAACGTTAAACGTCCGACTCTTGATTTTTCGAGCGCGCGGAAACGAAACGGCCACATACAAGAGCAATGAGTATTATATAAACGTTTAGAGACTTGGATCGCGAGAGGGTGACTTGCTCGAAGAGAGCTTGGTAATCGGTATATCGAACGAGTGCGTGGCTGTTGTGCTCTCGGATTCCAGTGGTTTTCGCGAAAGGCATCGTTGGATTTTGGAAAGGTCAAGACGCTGTGGTGGATAAGTTCGCGATGCTGGTGGTACATACGTGGACGCGCGCGAGGCATTAGCCGATCTCGCACTCGGGAGCAGGATGTGCGCTGGTCAAAGCTCGATATATATATCGTATACGTACACAATACATATTGTATATGAGCTGAGCCAAGTTCCGCGGCTTGCTGCGCACACAGAGGCGGCATTCATCTGCCATCACGGGTCTTATTCGTCGCGTGCACAAACATACACGCAAACGCACACATACACATTAGAGTGTACGAATGGCCGCAAGAGCGAGAGAGCGAGAGAATATACAATATATTCTATACTGTAAATGTAAGGCGAGCAACGGGTCAAAGCGTTATCTGCACGCGGTCAGCGGACCCAGACAACGTGCTGCTACTATAACTTCTCGCTCTCTCGCTTATAGATTCATATACAGTCGACGACTCTCGGCCTGCATATAATTTTAACGTATGCAAGCCTTGATCTCGGGCCTAGATTAACCACTATCCCGCACATGTGTAATGTATGAAAGCACCGAGTGTATTATGTACAGCCAGATGCACGCATAGGAGAATTTCGCACTTTGAATGCCGCTGCTGTGCAGTCTACTTGTATTGGAGGCATAGAATAAACCTACCAGGAGCGCGAAAAAAGCTGCCTTAATCTTGTATACTGCAGCGATTATGCCGCACGGAGCTTTTTAAATTGACTACGCTCTGTATACTTGAGCGATTGTGAATCGTCCGTTTGGATTACACGCGCGGCATGCCTAGTTTAAAAAGTTTCTCTATACTTTACGATAAGATAAGGAGGTTACGCGAGGCCACAGCCTCTATATCATCCCTTTCGGACATACTCGTCGGCGACTTATTTCGTTATTGACAAATTATTCATCGCGGAATTATTTTCAACTTTGTTTTGAATAACTCCGACAACTTTTTCTATCGTCTTATCTAGCCAATTAAAAATACAGTTCAAACGAAATATCAATCGAGCCTGCCACTTTCATTTTTTAATTCGATTTGTTGTTGCGTAAATATTTCGCCCTCGCAAGCAAAATCCCGGCGCGAGAATCGCATAGGCAGTTATAGCGATAAAACTGATCCATGTGAGTCGCACGTGCTGCGTTCGATCCATGATACCGATCCTCCATATATTGTTTTTACACCTTAACATTGTATGTAAATTTTTGCCTACAGATTTTAAGTTAGCTTCTTGACTACGTTCGATCGATCAGTCAGAGAAATATTACTAGGCATCTTCGAGAGACTGTCAGCGATGATCGAGTCGATTAATAATTCATAACAATTTTAATATTTTTTGATAAAAATTAAGGCACATAATATTGTGCCTATCTACGTATTTTGTGTACTCGCGTGCGGACAATGTCATAGATCACGCAGAATCTCGAATCACCGCATTAGCAAGTTCTCCTTATCGCGCTCTTTAATCTGCACAGCTCGATACGTTTACATACACACACACACGCTCACGTACACTCGAAAGTGGTGGTAAATCAGCATTACGTGATGGTTCGTTTTCGCATTAAGCGGCTGTATACGCGCTGTACTCACTTGGCCGATGTATAATCCTTTTAACTGATAAATATTGTTGTATATACTCAACTTACTTCGTGACACGAGGACACACGATTGCGGTGCGCTTTCCCGAAACTCGCAAATTTAAAGTTGTTATTTTTTCATCGGGATGATATGAATTGTTCATGGAATCAATTTTTTTGAAAGATTCATAACTGATTTTGTTGAAATAACAAGTGCATGTGTTCCGATAGCCAGGCACCGAAGTTGACTTTATAAAAATAACAGCGCTAATATAATGCATAGCTTTGTGCCAGCGCTGCGCAAGAAAAAACATTGATCCAGAACTGAACAGATCGTAGATTAGATCATATACTAAAGACCGTCTGTGAACATGTGCATGAAACTTTAAACACAATGTAATTATACTGATTTTTCTCTGTTTGAAACATTTAAATATTTTTCTGATCAAACGCGAGGTTATAGAATCGTACAGTACATCGTGCATATTACAGATACCTATGCTCGATTCAACATTATGTAAGACATGATATAGGCGGCAAGCGATGAGTAGGGAAAATTAATCGATTCACGACGGCCGATGACGTCGATATTTTTCGATTTTATTGCATGCGCGAATATAAACTTGAAAACGCGCATTCTCATTTATGCGTTTAATATACCTTCACTCGACTCGAAAGCTATGCGTCGGATTTTCGATTTTACGCGGCACAGCGATCATTTGTCTTTAATGAGATGCACTTGGTAAAAGTTCGACTTTCCGATCGGCATGTGTACCTTCAGGAATTGCAGTATATTGCTTATACGGATGAGCATATAACATTCCAGATACATAAATTCAATGTACACGCATATTTAAAATAATTTGTTCGTTCACTTCATTTGTGAAATAAAAAGTAATATCATTCGAAGGAAAGATATTTTATTTCTTATCGGAGCATGTATGATGAAAGATTCTAATTCTGTAACTAAATGATATTGAATAGTGTTTGAATCTATCGCACACTCCGAAAGCCTATAAAAAGAATCTCTTGTGAAGTATAGTTCTTCTTTCAAACAGGGCAATAAGTTATATGAGTACGTACGATGTGCGCATTTGTATTTGTGCATACGAGTATGCAGTGTCCCTGAAAGGTTTGATCGTAAAATTAAAATGTAAACTTGCTTATCTATTTACGAGTACCATTAGATATTAATTCGGGTTTTCCGAGCAAAAATGAGTTACGTAAAGCGCGAGTGAAAGCAAGGCAGGGCATATGAAATAAACGACATTATCTGTGAGCGTAGAAACAAACATAAACTTTTTGACGATAATGCCACGATATATACGTACGAACTTGTGGATCATTAGGATACATTTGAATATTTCATTGAAAGCGCATTCTCGAAAAGTTTATGGGTATGGCATATACAATCAGAAAGGAATTGGCAAGAGCATCAATCCAAGGTTTTTGCGCTCATATCATGCATCTGGAACTATTTATTTTCGCTTTGAAATTTAACGATTTCAGCTTCTCAGCTTGAGGTATCGTATTTACGCGAGATCCGATTAATCTCTATGACGCGCCGTAAAAATCAGCTTGTGGGTAGACGCGATGCTTTACAAATTTGTGTGTGTGTGTGTACTTGAATTTGTAACCGACAGATCTTCGAGATGGGCTCAGCGGTTGCGATATCTCGAACGCAAAAGTTTTCTCATTCGTATTATACAGTTTTCGCGCATATACTCGCGTGTATATATGCAACGTTGCCGTTATAGTTTTGCTAGAAAGTAGCACCGTCTGCCCGTCTATATGCCGCGAAGATTAGATTATATGCATTTTTCATAACTTGGTATCTTGGTACATATAAACGCGTCCGAGTTTATATAAGATATGCAAGATATGTCCGGCGATAATGCGGGGAGACAATGAAAACGTTTCTAGCGCTCTGCGTAAGCGTGCATGAGAGCTACTACAGATTTTATCGATTAGAAACGTAAAATTTAATAGGACGCTTTATAACGGGAAATTCTGTGGGTAGATTCAATCATCCGCTGAACTTGCAGATAAAAATGAAAATTCATGATGTCGGCAGTTACTATATTTATTTCGAGGTCTTCGTAAATCTATAAAATCGCGCATCGCAATAAAAGACAAAACAAAAAAGGAAAGCTAAACACGAATTGGGAAAACGATTCAATCGTTTCTATAAGTAGGCGCAGTAATATAAGCTCCTTTCAGTTCAAACGTAGCTCTTTTATGGTACATTTAAAAAAAAATTAATATTCCGCGCTCTTGTACATATAATAGTGATGTTGCACTGAGTATATAATATATCATTTTAGGGAACAAGTATGAATGATTGTAATTGTATAAGTATACACCAAAATTTTGAAGAGTCGAAGAATTTGATACGAAGCTTTTAAAAATATATATAACTTTTTAAACGATCATTTTCTTCAAATTAGCCATGTCGGTTTTAATCTTTTATAATTGTATCATGTTAATATACTAACGATTTTTAGTAAACACTGTATCGATTACTTTGTGCAGATATAATATGTACTTAGCATTGAAAAAAACTGTAGAAAAATAAATAAACGTTCGTTGATTTAAAACCGCTGCGAATTCATTGGCAAAGAGCTTTTTCATAGAAAAATGCTATTTTTATGTATGACTACTATTATAAACTAACTAAACTTTTATTATTTATGAATTAATTATAAATCTTCAATTGAAGCTGATAAAAAAAGGTTGTGCTGAGAGTACATTGTATTCTGAGTACATATAATTCGATCTTAGGCAAAAAGCTGAGAAGGTCAATGTACGGACATTTGTTTGGGAATTCAATCGAATTTACAAAAATGTAAATGAAATTGTCCTACGATGCCTGGTTCAAAATCTTGTTTTCGAGCCCATCACAGAGTTTCCTCAATGAGAAAGCCAAAATTTTTCAAATCTTTCACACAAGCGTCGTCTAAAATGTCTGAGTTTTTATGGTAGAGAGAATAAAGTTTATCTCCAGGTGGTAGAGTAAGAGAAAATAAGGCCCCTAAAAATTTTTATCAAACTTTTTTTTTGAAACGTGATGAGATTTTAAAATTTGCCCATTGATGAAATTCAATCATCCATCTAGCCCAGAAGGTTTCCAAATTTGCACAGAGCAGAGTGTGTACGTTCAGTAGCTATTCAGCCATAGCAGGCCAAAAGGTAGGCAACAGACAAATGTCCAGCGATAATTAGGATTAATTGTGTCCCGTTACAGGCAGCCTCGTGCGCGACATACATAATATTGGTTCGTTATCGCAGCTCGTACAGTTAACATGTACTGCCAATCCCATAATCGTTTATACCGAAGTAAACCGCGGGTGACGATAATAATAAACAGGAACGATTGCGTAATGCTATGGGTGCGTGCGAAATGCGTAAACGCGCGCGGCTGGCCCCAAGTATTTGCAAATATTCGTGTGTCTGCGCAGTTATGCACAGTGTGCAGGTATTTATTGTTGTTCATATGTGTGTGTGTGCGCGCGTATTTATTATTGTGGGTGGCTGAGCTGTCGCGCGCTGCAACCCTGGACAAATCGACTGTCATACATCAAAAATGTCCCGCATGCATGTACAATCTGTTTTCAAGGGAACTGTATGGACACGTGACGACGCAGCTGTGCGACCATCGTACAGGATAGTATATGCGCTCGCGCTACAGAGAGAGAAGTACAGAGTTGCTTCTTTTGTATGCGTGTTTCCCTTTGCTGCAGCGCACCGCGAGCAATTCTCTGAATCGATCGTCATATTTTGCATACAATGCCAACTTTCCGAGCTGTGTGATCGTCGTCGTCGTCGTCGTCGCTCTAGAATGACTTTTTGCATTTCGCAATATATTGTTGTCCGCTGCTGGTGTACTGCACTGTACTACACCGTTGCTGCTGCTGTTGCTGTTGTTGTTATTGTTGTTGTTGTTGTTGTTGTTGTTGTGATGCTACTGTCATTCGGGCGTTCGGCTGTTATTGCAAAACTCAGGAATTTCTCTATCGCTTGAACTCGGAGAGACAGCTTTCGCTTATAAGAGCTCTCGTTTTATTTTGCGAATCTCGAACACCGAGTATTTTGCGCGTCAGCCTGAGCTCCGATGATACTGCGGCGATGATATATGCAATCATTTTTACTACAAACGTACTATATACCAGTATCGCCTCTTCTTATGATTGTTTGTACAAATTCAGATCGAGTATCCGTTTGAATGTTCATTTCAAAATTTTCTTTTTCTCCTTTCACTCATATGTACGTAAAAACTTAGGTTCGAAATAAATTTTCATTTTACAACGAAATATTCTATCGCTCACGCCTATACCCGAGCTCATTACCGATCAGGACCAGATTGAATGAAATGAAATATATTATGCTTTTATTGCAATTTCAATTGCCTTTTAAGCGAACATAGAAAATTTCATCAATATTACAATTTAATCAATGTTAATTAAAAAGATTTATAACACTTACAAAATACTTACATACGTAAAAATACAACTTAGAATATTGTTACGCACTATATTTTAAAAAACTTATTATCATCATTATTTTGAATAAATTTTGGGTATGTTTGAGGGATATTATTTTTTTTTTTTTTTTTTTAAGAAAAGGAGAGATTAATCAATAGCATGTGCCTACCCGAAACAGACAAGTCGAATACTCGATCAGGCATGAGTCCTTTCCTCGAAGGCAGTAATTTCAGCTGCATAGGATTTTTTTTCCTGCGACGCGTTGGTTTAGCCATGGAAATTCACGCAGCGCATCACGGCAGCGAATCAACGGTAACAATTATACGTAGACAATCAAGGCTCGGCTTGCGTGTGGCCGATTTCACTGTGCGACGACGATCGGCACCTTTGAGCTATGCTACCGACGTGGACGCTCCCTTCATAGTTGCACCGTGTGTGCGCGCGCGGTTGTTGAGCAGGTGAATTAGCAGCCATTCGCTAAATGCGAGACGCGTGGAAAATACATCATTTGACGTTTAGTTGAACAGTTATTTTTTATTGAACCTTTACTGCAATTTAACATGTACTTGGCGAGCAGCACATCTTTTACTTTTATTTTACTGGAAGCTTTTTAATGAGAAAAAAAGTCGATCGGATATTGACTACTTGTTGCCATTTTTCACAACTTCACATCGGGCACACAGTAAACTTAAAATTTTAAAAATCGCTTGAAACTCCGTGGTCATAATTATTCACAATCATTCGCTGACTTCAAGCACACTTGCCACTTGTTTTTTAACCAGAAAAAAATTCAGCACTCCTAATTCAAATTCAAGCTGCATACACTTTTACACATACGCATATAGAAAAACGTTCACAAACAAACGGTGGTCGGCTGCTGACTGGTAGCTGCCGAGCTCGGCACCGCAGTATCCGCGCGCGTAACGTCTTCGAAGGCACAGCAGCAGCAACAGTCCGCCTTCTCTCTTCTCAAAGCGGCTGCTCTTCGCGCTTTATCTTCCTGATATCTTTCTCTCGCTCGCTTACGCTTTCTTGCTCGTATAGCTTGTCTCTGGCTCTATAGGCATTCATGAGCATATACACGATGATGTTTTTCTCGTGCACTTGCGTAAAACGCCTTCGTATTATGATTACCCTGTATATGCGTGCGTGCAAGTTTGCACTCGATGATTATATACGGCATCGCACCTGGCCATGATCGATAAAGATCCAGGCCTCGAGTAGTGTCTCGAACGATTTAATGACTGCCAGAAGCCCTCCTTATTACGCCATATAAGTAATGTATCAAAAATACTGTTAAAGATACTTTTAACGACGCTTGTGATGTCGCATTAGGCAACACGATTATCTAAAATTTTGTAGACAATCAAAATTTATCTTTTTAAAAATGTGGTCACTTAAAAGTTTAATTCTATATTTAAACGAATTTGAAGTTGAAATTGGTCGAAAAGAGAACAATATTCGTTTTCTCTTTAATTAAATTATCAGATCTTGCAAATCCAAGGCAAAATTATACATTATTACTTTATGCAGTCTTTTCAATGTAGATAAGTGTTGTACTAATACTGTGCTTACTTCTGAAAGGATCAAAATATTTTGTCCTAATATAATAAGATTATTAAAATAATGTATAAAAGTGTTTTATACTTTACCACAGTTATAATGAATGAACATTTACCACGCTCATTTTTTTCTGCATACGGATCTATGGACAATGAAATATCTGTCAATGGTAGAGCTTGTTGAATTTTCAGGAAACGGAAATGTTCTTTCACAGAATCAATGCATTATAATACATATATATGTATGCACTGCGCTTCCCATTCATAAAATATACTCGAATAAAAGTTTTCGAATTACGAACTTTTTATGTTGAATGAGGTTAATTCATTCAGATAAAATTTTAAATTTATGTTACATATAAGTGCCCTGTAAAATAATTTTGAAATAGAAGATGCGAAATCATAAGAAACGAATCGTCTTGATGTTGGTTATCAAGTCAAAGGTCACACAATCAAAAAGTATGAAAATGTGTTGTGAAATCAACCTTTCGGTTGTGACTGTTTATTCCACTTAGCTAAAATCATTAGCGTCTATCATTCATGTGGTTTTTCTAATATCATCTTGCAAATTTTTATAAATTATCTCAGAAAAATATAAAATATAAATATGTTCTTAAATATGTATAATTTGTTCTTCAGCCTTCAATATGCTGTCTGTTACAAATTATTTTTTTTTCACGAAAATGTAGCGTGCATTGAACCACGATTCGCTTGTTACAAAAATATTCAAAGTTATTTTGTAAGTTTAAAGTCTACAAAATTCGCTCATGGTTAAGATACTAATTTTTTTCAACTCCGTCGATTTCTCATTTATTTTTCAATTTATCGAACAACAAGCTATGATTCGATTAATTACCTCTTGTCAATTGTTATTAAATAAGATTATTCTTCACTAACTTCGACTTTCTCATTCTATAAATGATAAATAAACATCGGTCAAAAATATACTTCACAATTTTCATCGTGAAAGCCACAATCACTCTTAGCTTTGCAATAAAAAACTTTACAAAAACTTAACAAAAAAAGGTATTTTGATTGGTTTTTCCATTGAACTTTCGTCGGTCTGTCAGTTATGTCAAAATGAAATACTTTGCACAAATTTATACCATCGCATTTTGTTGAACCCACCTTAAAAAAATTTCTTAAGCAAATTGTGTCAGTAAAAAACTTACAACATTCGAAGTTGCAAAGATTATGTTAACAGCTGCGTTGAAATAATTAAGTTAAGAGTTGATTTTCTAAAAAAATTTTATAGTCAAGTTCAACAAGTTTTATTATTGAGACTCGCTTATACGTAAGCTCGTTTAAGCATTGGCTCTCCTTTGTATTATGGTGTTATTCACTTCATTCTTCTTGGCATGCTTCGAAGAGTGTTTGTTTTGGAGTGAAAAGTATATACAGTACATATAGGGGGTTAAGCCAAGTACGAGTGCGTGCACTCGCTGCCTGATATCTTTGTCTCTCAACAGTATATGAATAGGTGTATTTTTGTCATGCTTGAAAGTAAAAAAGAAAGAAAAAAGATTCATATGAAGACTGACTGATGCATCTTGAAAAGGTTATCGTCTATTTGTTGCATTTAATTTAGTTTTTACTTTTATGTATTAACCACTGTGTGCGAACGAAGGAATTGGCAGCGGTTTTTATCTTTTAGTAATAAAATCAAAGGTAAGTGACTGTTTTTTAAATGAACCAATATTTATTATAATACATATTAAAAATGTAGTATAAACAGTGGTACAGCCCAGTACAGCACTGAAATTGTTAATGCAGCGATTGATTAATTTTTCATTGATTTTCCAAGTTCCAGCAATTATTCAACCTCTTTTAGTATTTTTTAATTACGATATTTAACATGAATAGCTTTTTTTATTGAAAGATCTAACTTAACGATTGTTGAACAATCACATTATTCAAGTCACGCTACGGATGAAAATCGATATTTTAGTCTATTGACAGCTTCTAAACTTGTATGATTCACTAGTTTGCTAGTTTCTCTTCAATTGCTCAATGTGAAATGCTAAGAATTGAATAAGTATAAAGAAATGATTTGATTTAGGGCCTTTTATATTCAGCAATGGTTCACTTGTCGGATTACCGGTCATCTAGCAAGATACTTAAAGTCAGTTTGCAGAAGCGTAGTCGAGAATTTGTGCTTGAAAATTCGCTTCATGTTATACCATACTTACTTGATCCTACGAAAAAAATTTTCGAAAGGTTTGAATTTTTAAATATTATAAGGTAGAGTCCTAATAGAGTTGAAGTACTTTTATATAACTATTGAATTTTATCGTATCAAGAATTTGGTGGCTTACAGTATTTACTATTTCTGTATTGGCTGCAATTTTATCAATTATTTTAATATGGAATAAATTTCGATCTTCTCCAACATTGACGTACCTTTACATCGATACAGAAAATACCGTAATTAAATTTCCAAATTTTTATCTTTGCTTCGGCGATTCATACCTGAATTTCACAACTTTTAACTTTAATTCGGTAAGATTTTTAACTTTTTAATAAATACACCAAAAAATCAATTACATCGGATAAATTTATCGAATGCATATTTTTTCAGAAACAGAGAAATGCTCTTCGATCTTTATATAAATGGAAAGACATAAATTTATTTCCTGACAATGAAGAGTTGAAAAATATTGATTTAGAAAAATTATTTTTGAAATTAACACCCGAGTGTGGTGATTTTTTTAATGAATGTCAATTTGGGTTAGTGCTCGGATCTATACTTTTGTTACTGTTACTTACAATTTAAAATCATATTATTAAATCTAGGAATGTTCCATTTTTATGCGGTGATTTATTAACGAATAAAGTATCTACGGCCAACGGAATTTGTTGCGAATTAAAGAATAAAACAGTTTATAAAGCTGATCGATTTTGGAATTTTAAATTCCGCCCACGACAGTATCCGATAAGGTAATTATTTAATTTCTTAGTAATTTTAAATTCCACACAATAAGTTAAATTTACATTCGGCGATGGAAGTTTTTTTATTAGTGGAAAGTATGAACTTCCTCCTTTTTATGGCCATTTAGTAAATTACAATATTACTGGCACGACATCGATCGAATTAAGCCTAACCATCACATCTACGTCAGGCAGTGTTCAATTTTTACCACAAAGTCAACGTAAGTGTGTTTTTGAAGGTGAAAGCTCGGAATACACGGATTGCGAGAATACACAATATAGGGCCAAAATGAAAGCAAATTGCGGATGTGTTCCTTGGTTTGACGCAAGCAGTTTGCTTGACGTCTGTTCGATTAACGAGTATAAATGTTTATTGGAATTTTTTACGCGCGAGGTACTCTGCACAAAATTTTTTCACTTAAAAAAAAATTATATTTTCAATATATGTCATCTTTTTAATAGCTTTCAACAAGTAACTGCTATGTACCTTGTGAAAATACCGCTTACACGTACGAAAAATTTGATCTTAGTACTTTAACTGTTCGTCCCAGTGAGATAAATATTAAAAAATGGCCAGTCGTACGTTTTCGTCGCGTTACGAGATTTGGTTGGCTGGATCTAGTTGCTTCTTTTGGTGGCATCGCTGGCTTCTTTACTGGTTACTCAATTATTGCAACCTTTGAATTCGTATATTATTTTACATTGCACGTTTATTGCGGCGCTGTGTTAGCTGTACCAAAAATACGATTCAATGTGCGTCCAAAATATCAATAAAGGAATATTTTTGTTTATTTATTGTCCCAAATAATTGATAATATTTTGATTTTGTTGAGCATATCACAAATTTTCTTGGATAATAAATTGCATTATAGGCAATCGTAAATATGATAAAAAAAATATGCTTATTAAAGACTTTGAATACAGTTTATTATCAAGTTCATAGCTTATGACGAATTTGGCATAATTTTTTGTTTTCGTCAAATTCATAGGGAAAAATAAATAATAAACATGAATTATAAAATAAATTTGTGTATTTATTTCAGATTTTTCAAATCCTTTGTTTCACCTTTTGCCTAGTGTTACATATTCAAGATATTTTTTGACATTCAGAAAAATCGATTTCAGAATGTTGATTTTTTTCGCTTTTTAAGATTCTATTAACAAAGTCGTTCTAAAAGATATATACCCAAGCCGCTGTAGCACACGAGAAAATTTATCAAGCACTTAAACTTTTTTAATATCGTCGACCAAGTTTATTAATTAATATTATATATAAAGATAAATGTCGTACCTTTGCGTGATGTTAAAGCAGTCATGAAATTCTTGCAATTATTCTCTGATTTAAAAAACGTAACTTTGGCTATGTGTTTAGGCTTTTGAAATATAAAAGAATGTATGATGTCGGTATGGCGATGTTTTTAAGTCATCCCCGGCACCTTGGTATTCAAATTCGGCTGATGCTGAGTTTTCTCTGCATCATAATGCACAATTAATGAGCGTTAATTTTCCGATAAATTCTATATTTTTGGTTGTAATTCCCATAAATACATAGCGATAAATTGTAAAATAATTATAGTTGAGCCACAGCTTAGATTCTCTTACGAATTGATGCAGAATTTAAAGCTCATGCGATGAATAATCGTTTCTAACTAAATTTTAATAAGTACTTATAATAGTCTATGGGTTATTCTGGTCCCTGATCTAAAAGTGATGTAATGAGTATTAGTAAAGTATTCTTTATTCCGAAGTTGATTGATAAGTTGATCAAATTTTGAAGATTTAAATTTGACTGTTCATTTTGAAAGAGTCATATTTTTGTAATCGCTACTCTAAATTTTGTTTCTGAGTTTAAATAAAATGATAAAAGTAGCCTTTGATTCTTTTTTGCGCTAAATATTCTTTCAAAAGATTTTTAATTTTTTTAATAACTCAAAATATAAAAACATTATTCCCGATAGTTGTTGTTACTTATGCTGTGTTGGACATACATGTCATCAAGTACTTCATCAATTAAATATCCAATTATCATAAGTTGTTATAATTGATGTTCAGAAACGGTTTGTTACTTTGTACAAATGATTAATTTTAGATTTCAGTGCCTCGTTCCACTGAACTGAGGTGGCGATGCTGAAAATTGGAAAGATAACGATTTCTGTTGATTCATAGACATAATAGTACTTTATAATACAAGGGCTATAAGTAACACTTTACGGCACGCGGTAGTTTAGGGCCCGAGCGCAGCGAGGGTCCAAATAATAACCGTGCAGAGAAAGTGTTCCCTGTGACCCCAGTATCGTACTCAATTTTATAGCGCTGAGCTAAGTTTACATTTATGCCTCCTTTTCCGAGTCATGAGTTGCACTTTCTGGTACCGCGAAGTGAGGTTAGTACCTGTGGCACCGCAAACGACGTGGTGCCGTAAAGTGCGACTTATGCCACCGAAAAGCGTGTCATAAATGTGACTTATGCCCCAGAGTGCTATAAAATGAATGTATTTTTTAGGGCTGTGCGAGTACTCGAAAAAACTCTAGTACCCGAAAAAACGCGAGTACTCGAATTTCCCCGACTCGACTCGAACTCAAATCGTAGAGTAAAATCGGTTACTCGCACAGCCCTAGTACGTTTTGCCATTTACTGGGCATTGCAATATCATTTAATCGTTGGTCGATCGTGAGAATGGCGCGGTATATCTGTTTGTATCAAAATACATTATACATAGTACAAATTCACTAAGAATCTTTGAAACACTCGGACCTTATTATATGCGTTTTTTAGTTATTAATCAAGTACTTTAGTATACAAACTTGCCCAACACTGTTTTCCTACATCTAAGTAGATCATTTAGACAAAAATTTATCAAATGTCTATTATTTAAAAGCAAAATACTTATTGATTTTACTTCATCGCCAAATAGTTTTTATGATAAATCTAGAATCAGTACAGAGCATACAGTTGCATGGAATGTGTACTGTAATTGCCACTAGTTATACATATATTGTATATTCTTTCATCCATTCAAACTGTATGTATATAAGTCGCTATATTCATCGAGCTACTGCACTTACATCAATTTTATGCTAAAAATTATACTTTGCTATACATTTTTTTACATGACGCCCAAAGTTTTTTAAATTCATTATTAAGATAATTTTTCATCGATTTTAATGATGATAGTAGTTCACACATTCATCAAGACCAATGAGAATATATAACGTTTTTTCGTAGTTCGTGAATACTGCATACATTATTATTTTGATCTATTTTAATGTCTCGAAAAGCTTTGCAATAGTATTAAAATGTAGAGTAGGACGAATAATCGCAATTTTTCTGATATAAAAGATGCTCAAGCATATTTCATTAGCTGCCTTACGAATTCTGACTATGCATCATTTTTGCTATGCGCGGTCTTTTGCTTCTAGAATGCCGAAATGATTATTGACAATCTGTATATGTTTTTGTCAAAAATAACACATATATTGCTCAAGTAAGTCTTCTTACGAAATGTTTAGAATAAAATGTGTTCCTAACGCAAAGCATCGAATGCGCAATCGATGTCAATGTGTGTCAATTTTTAAAAAGACCGTTCACTTAATTTTTTATATTTTATAAAATTCTGAACAGACATAAATTTTTTAATTATTATCTATCTTTTACAAAATTGTTTTGCAAAAAATTCTCATCTAGTCTGATGTAAGTTAGATTTTCGTCCATTAGATTCGAGGTACAATCTTTATTATAATTTGATTTTTCAACAAATGAACGCATGATAGCATCTGTAATTAATCTATATTGTAAATATTGTACAAGCGTCTTAATTGTGCCCTAAGTTTATTTTATTGTGTATATATCAACATGATTTCTTTATAATGTATAAAGGGTCTTAATAATATATACTTGAGTTAAAAATTGGTGGTTCAAGGGCTATTTTAATTATTCTTCCTAAGAAATAGTTTCCGATTATCACACATGTATTTATACGTGAATTAGCATAGTGAGAACGTGTGCTCATGCGAGTTACTTTAACCTTTGATTATTCTGAGACCTGCCCAAAAGCTTAAATTATTTAATCATTTCATCTAAATAACACAATGATAGTATTTACTAGTCTCAAAGTAAATAATTACCAACTTATGTATCGATGCGAAAGCAATCTCAAGATTATCTTATTTTTTATGGAAAATATTTCCTATGCAAAAATTACATTTTTGCAATTATAAATAAAAATTCAAAATAAGTGATCGTGATAATTTATTGGTATGAGCTAAATTGTGCGCAAATATTTCTTGCGTGGAAGACTGACCGGAAGAAAGTGTCGCAGAAAATTTGAGTGATAACAAAATAAAATTTAAACACATAAATTTTCTAAATACATAAGTTTCGATTTTTTACCATAACATAGCACTTTGATTTCTTAATTTTAGGGTTTTCATGTTAAATTACAATATGATTATACGATATCATTTTTTACGGCAATATTGTTATTTTATTCATGAGATTTCGATTTCGTTGTGCCGTATTTTCTCTTTGGCAAGTTTAGGGTATATATTATAGTTTGCATGTATTTGAATTAGGTGTATACTTTGTATACACGTAAGTAGTTAAATACATGTTATAAATAAAAGTCTTAAATGAAACGAGTAACAAATTTTACTATGAAAAACAAAGACCCTACCGGAGGGTCAAAAATGTTCTACCCTTCAACTAGAAGCTGGACCCTGAACAAAAGTAATCTTATCTCGTACTGTAGAGTTCAACGAACCGATTGATATTGTATTATAATTGATGCATACTTTACGCGTTAAGCTGGTGTAGCAATATCAGTCAGTTTTTTATATTTGTTATACATTTTCGAATCACCTTTTGCAAGAGGCCACGCTTGTTTTAATACTATTCATGTGTATTTATAATTTTTATTTTCGATTTATTTTTATAATACAACCTTTACAGATATATTCATCTTATTAAGCGATATCACGCGTAGTGAGTTATTATTTTATTTAAAATTTTTGTAGACAAATTTTATAATTTTTATGCCCTTAAGATTACGCTAGGCACCGATGCCACGTCATAGCTCCCCCATGGCTGACGTATGAACGAGCTATATACATTATACATATTTCCTAATATATCTTTTTTGTATTTATACTATATACATATTTTTTTTATATATGTATTATACTTGTTTAACGCTCTAGTTAGAGAAATAAAGTTACAGAGGAAGCTATAAAGTTGTCCACGAGAGGCTGCATGCGGTAGTTGTAGCAGGACAGTGCGCTTGTCCCGGACGGCGTGGCTAGGAACGGGCGTGCGAAGGCTGTTGCTCGCCTTGAGGCTGCTGCTGCTGATTATTGTTGCGATGATGGTGTTGGTCGACCGCCAGGTCGAGGTGCTCTTGACTATTAGAGCTTGGAGTCACGATGATTTGCGTGCGCGTGCCCAGTAAAGCTGCGTTTTCACCCGAAGTCTCGTCCTCCTCATCATCGTCCTCCTCGTCGTCCTCTTCGACCTCGTAATCAGGTTCGCGTCCAGCCTCGTTCTCCTCGTCTTCGACAACGGCGTCTTCGATTTCTTCCTCATCGTCTTCATCGCAAGCCCCGACCCCTTCTTCTTCTTCTTCCTCCTCGTCAGCCTCTTCAGAGTCGATAGGATAATATTCGTCGTGATGATCGATCCCTTGATCTGTAAATACATCAAGGTTTTCAAATATTAACTCTGTTATATTTTATGTACTATGATAATGCTCTAATATGGCATTCACGATCAAATCAATGGTCATCGTCGTTAATTTTTTTGTATTGTAAAGTCAGAAATTTTTTAAAAAGTGGTCCACTAAATGAATATTTGAGAACCAATTAACTCTTATCTAACTTATAAAAAAGAGATGGACCTAAAAGTGAAGCCAATCTATTCGGCCTCTGATTGGTCGACTGACTTTTGACTCGAGTGGAAACGTAGTAAAGTGACATCTACGGTCAAAATAGCAACTTTTTCGAAACTGACTGAAAAATGTACGCGCGCGAAGCGCGCCTGAAAGTTATAACCTCAAAATACGAATGAAAAAATTGACGCGCGCGAAGCGCGTCTTAAACGTCTAGTAATCGATAAAATCCAATTTTGGTCTTGAATACAATTTGGTAAAGTTATAATTTACGATAAAATTTTTATAAAATTAATTAAATTATCTGTGTGGAACGTTAACCGGTTATTAATCCCGTTATTAAGAGACGTTAAATTTCACGTATTTTTCATCAGATTGCTCTACTAATTACCACTGATGATTGAAGTACCATTTATAATTGGATTTTCATTGCTCTTTCCAAATTTGGCCTTAGATTTCGAAAAAAATTCAATCATCACAGCGTGTGGGAAAATGGTAAAATCTACTACCCACGTGCTATCTCAAATGGTAAATTGTAGATTATAACAGGAGTAGTAGTAGATTGACACGAGTGCAAAATTGACAACCATCTCAGTTACATTAATCTTCCTTGTAATGTGCGGAAAGTCAATTTCAAGATCGCCATCCGTACGAGAAAGTAGCATTTTTCGCACACAATGATGAAATAGTACATTACGCAACGAGTGCGGAAAGTAGGTGTTCCCACGAGTGCAACGTTTGCCGACCACACGTCAATAAAAAGTGAGGCAGTGGCATCACTAATTTCGTATTTTAACAAACCAGTATAGGAAAAACCTTTTAAGTACGTGTAAAAGTTTTTCTACAACTGATTTGAAAATTGTTATTGTAGCACCTAAATCTACTTTGACAAAAATCAACAGTTAATTTCATTAATTTACTGCATTAATTTCATTAATTTATTAAAATGAAATTTTTATCAAAATAAATCATAGATCGTGTTAAGTTTTTTTAAGAATTGATTAGTTTATCAAAAAAAGCGTGAGTATCAATTACCATAAGCATTCAAGCTTTAAAGATAATCGATTCCAGTTGAATATGCAATAAATAGCTTAATCGTTAGACATTTCACCATAAATGGGTTGGAGTCTGTAAAATTTAATTCGTGATTCTTCATAATTTTCAATATTTTCTGAGCTCATTTATTGGGGAAATCACGTGCAAAACAAATGTTTTTGCACTAGTAATGACCATAAAGCGATTTTTAATAAATTGAGAATTAATGAATAAATGCTGGATGATGAAAAAATCAATTCTGTAGATATTTTTGATACAAAATGTAGCTGAACACAAAAAATTTTCAAACATCTAAATAAAACTTGGGACTAAAAAATCACAAGCTTGCAACTCGGTAACTTACTGTGAAATGACCGTTTTGCTATAACGACGATGTAGATGATCGAACAGTATTTGGCGATGCTGTAAAATGCATTTAGAGATACATGTGTTTATATTGAGTGTATAAAATATATGCTTCAATGGAATAAAAATTTCACGAATATTCGCCCATACAAGTTTTTTTGTGAGCTTGATGCTATGAATGTGTGAATTGTACAATTATGATATGTAGATATACTCAACAAAGTTTCATAGTAAACAGGGTTCTCTTATTATACAAAACATTACTCTAGCTTCACGTGCAATTATTCTGATTCAAAATGTTAGAGTTTGATTAAAAAGTCTTCTTGCCTATTAGAGGCTTGTAATCGAAATCTTACTCCACCTATGCAGAACTGTGAGCAAACGTCTTCACTGACTTTACGAAGTTGTATTTTCATATCTTTTAATTTGTCAAGAAGCCACTTTAATATTGCTCTCTGCCTCGCTATAAGGGTCTTTCCTTTAAAATATTACTTGGTCACGCCAACTTTGAGATGAAGCTTGGCAAAAATCGAAAATTTATCTTGATAAGAGAAGAGAAAGCAGCGGCGATGGCGGCAAAAAATTCAATCCTAGCGCAACTTTTCTCTTTCGTACTTTACCAGGGTACAAAAGCTTAATTTATGTCGAAAAATTCAAAGCCCCTTTCCAACACTGACCTTTTTATATTCGAGATTCAAAGCGAATGCTTTTGTCACGAAAAAGAGAAGAGCATAATGCGCTGCGCGCAGTCCGTACCACTGTATCCGCTACAGCATATGATATAGCAATGTGGTGTATGGGCATAATAGTTTGCTGGTGACTTTTGCCAACTGCCAGCCACCTCGTTTTTCCACGTGTGAAACTTTCCTCATCGATGAAAAAGGGAAAGAAATCAGATATAAATTCCTCGATTCTAGCTAAGGTCCGAGTTTTATGCTTATACATTTCTGCCTGCTATTGTGTACGTTGAGAGCGAAAAAATATTTATACGAAAAATTCAAGCTCGTCTAGACTTGACTGTCGTTGGAGGTAGCATGCGCAAATATAAAAGTAATCTAAAAGCGACAGACTTACCGCTGGATGGCTCCGTATTTTTCGGGGGCGAATCCGGGATTGCTATCGTCGTAGAGTAAGACATACTCCGACCTTCTTCGCAGGCTATTTGCTCGCTAGCCGTATTATTGATACAGTGTGAAGGAACCATAATCATGACGTCGCCTTCTCGGGCAGTTACAGCTAATGAGTTCGATGCGATCGATTGGCTCGTTGGTAATAAAGATTGTTTGTTACTGATTCCTGTCATCTCTATTGGAAGCACCAGGTGTGATGGAATTGAACTAGATAATTGTAAACACTCGTTAAAATCATCACTGCGATAAAAAAGGAAAGAATAATTATTGTAATGCTGAAAAGATGTGATAATGTTTGAAAAGTTTACCTTAAAGTAACGCGCTTCTTAACGCGGTTACTGAGATCCGAGTGTCCGCGGTGTATTTGTCTAGGTTTGGCATTCTTGTGGCGAGCCCGCGAAGAATCGGACTCGCCGAAATTACCAGTAGTCGGAGAGCTCGGCTCGGAAAGCTGTTTATCCACCAGGATTGGCTTGAGGACGAAACTGCCGTTGCCGGATGAACCGGCTACGTTGGCGGGTAGTGGTCCTTTCGAGGTTGCACCGTCAGCACCGCTTCCTCTGTTCCCGCTACTGTCGTCCCCGTCGCTTCCACCACTCGTGTGATTCCCTTCCGGCATGGGCAGGGCCCGAAGTCGTTTGCGATCTTCCATGTACAGATCGATAAGCCGATCGAGTTTTACTTCGATGTCATCGACCTATTTAACGTATTCGTTTGATTAATAAATTTTTTATTCGTCTTTTAATTCCCGTTGAATTTTTTTTTAATTTCTGCTGTCCGACATTTTTAATTAATGATATAATATTAAACGTTTAAAAATCATGTTTCTATGAATAACAACAATTGTATCAAGTAGTGAAAGTTCACATTAGTCAGACAACGAATTTACTTTAGGTACAGACAAGCAACTGTCATTTTAATCTATCGTCATGCTGCATCATATTTTACTTGTTTAATATTAAAAATTGGAAACATTTTGCCTGCATGAATTTGGAATCAACACTCACCTGCCTTTCAACTTTAACAATTCTGGACGCTAAACTTATTCTTGAGGCATAAACATCTTTTTTTGTGGAACCTTGTTTACCCAAAATTTGATCTATCCTGTTTAATTAAGAAAAAGACGATTAATGTTGCATATATGATGAAGATTATTAAGAAGATTAAAAGAGCATATATGTGAGCTCTAATAATAAATATTTTGCGAATAAAGCATTACCAAAAAAACACATTGCATATGTCCGAAAGCTTGTAATAAAAGTTTAAAGATGCATGGAACTATATTCAAAGTTTACGAATGACTACATTACTAGACTACATTAGTTTCTACATTATAGGATTAGTAACACTATTTTAATTCAACTTTAATTACTTTCTACAATTGAAACAGCTACGAATATTTACAGCAAATAAAAAGGAGAAGGATAATTAGATAAAACAAAGGGCTGGAAGATTTCAAGTTGGCCTATGTGAATATGTAGATAATGTATGTATGTAATAATATTGACTATATGAGTAACAATAGTAAATTTATTGAAGATTAAAGCATCGATAAAAATTTAGGTTTTAAGAATTAATAAAGCAAATCGTTTCCAGTAAGTGGGGTTTAACGATTCACACACGTGTAGCCTACTCATAAAACAGTCATTGCACATTACATTTGCAACAACACTGGATAACTAAAATATTGTTATTTAAAAAAAAACTTTTTACGAAATACTTGAATAAGCAGCTTTACCAAAATTCGAATTTACGTGTGTTATCAAATTTAACTATTTATTAGATTTAAATTTAAAATATTGCAGTGTAAAAGCTGTATGTCGCGGTGTGATGCTATCATGGATAGAAGGAAATGTAAATTTTATCTAATAAGATAATTAACTGCAGTTTAATAGAAACACATTTTTTGTAAGAAAATAAAATTTTTAATTTCTTGGCAATTAATAATACATGGCTATCTATAATCATTATAACTGAAAATTATTCAACAATTGAAAGAAATTGTTGCAGACAGTTACAAATATCATTTAAGAGCTAATAGAGGGCTTATAAGTTCTTATATTGGGTCTGGCTATTCAGGGGAAATTCGTATGTACGAAATTTTGAAATTGGTAAACGAAACTCCAAATAACCCGAGATAAACCTATTTTCGTGTACGAAAATCAAAAATTTCGTGCATGAATTTTCCCTGAGTCGCCACTTCGTTTTTTATCTCTATTTATTGTATTTGCTGAAAAAGTAAAAAACATTGTTTTTTTTACAACGCTTTTAACAGTTTTTTTCAATTCCCATTTAGAAGTGATTGAATCATTTGTATGCACAAAAACAGTTAAATACAGTGTTGCAGTAGCATAGAGCTTCTATGCTAAGCATTGCATACACGTAAGCTACCTAATTTCATTTAATAAACTATTGACCATGGTCGCAACCAAAAACTAGGCACAACTTTAAATACGTGCACATATAATTTAATAGAATAAGTGAATAAAATTTAATACATATATTAATAGTATAGTACTATAATAGAACTATAGTATATCGGTCCCCACGAAGAGTAACACGTTTCCATTTAAATTAACGCACAAACGTGTTACTCTTCGTGGGGACCGTCGATATATAATACATAGAACTATTATAGTAATTTTTTTTTAAATTAAAATTGAAAATTTCTCAAAAAAAGTCTAAAATACCGAACGAACGTAGTGAATGAGATTAAGCGCTAGTATTCTATTAAATTGTAAGCGAAAGCAATTGAAATTGATCCTATGTCTCATTTTTGGTTGTGACCATGGTCAATAATCTATTAAATGAAATGAGACCACATAAAACTCAATTGAGTCAAGTGAACCCTCGGAATTCTACGATCGGTAGCTTACATGTATGCAATGCTTAGCGTAGAAACTATATTACTGTAACACTGTATTTATCTGTTTGTGTGCATAAAAATAGTTGAAGTACTTTCATATGGAGTATTGGAAAAAGCTGTTAGGACAGTAAAAAAAATTCACTTTTTTAGCTTGATACTATAAATAAAAATAATCCTCTCTATTAGCCCTTAAAAATACAAAGTCTAGTAACATAATATTGTGTATTACATTTTCCTTATCCATGCAAAAAAGCTTAAGTGGATTTATCAATATTTTGATTAAAAAAACGATCAGCTCGATGCTCGTCGTCGAGGTATTATAATCAAAATTCAATACAAAAAGTAAGGCAAGTATAAATGTTATATATGTAAAAATATATATTTCTTTATATATAGATAGCACGACTGCACCTGTGAGGTATGTGTACCTGGCGTGCAGATTTCGTACGCGATTCAGTAGATCGGCGTGGCCGGAGCTGTATTGTTCAATCACGTCCTTGACGTCGTAAGGTTTCAGGGCTTCCCTGAACTTCTTGCGGGCCACGAAGTATTTCAGCTGCGATCACGCCCCGCGGTTTCCAGACACATTATTATATTGTTTGCGCTTAATGCGGTTTTGTTTTAGTGTATTTATTTTGTTTTTTCCATATGTTTTTTTTATGAATTACTATGGTATCTGTCCTAATAGATTACTGCTATCCTAGCTATCATTGTAATAATTTTTTTTTTACGAGAGAAATGATTCGAAAAAGTTTTTGCTTGCTATACAAAAATTATTTTTTTTTTATTGATGAAACAAATCTCTAATTAAAATTATTATCTCTCGAAACTTGCAATAACAATGTATTGACTTTTCATCTCACTTTTGTATTTTTGCGTATGATCAATTAAGGTAAGAGAAAGACCACTAATTAAGATAAATACTAGAGTAAGAGAAGTCAAATTATTTAAAAAAAGGTTTAGTCATTTTTTTTAGTTCGCAAAATCAAAACTTAACGCCCTTGCAATTATTTTATAAAGATACGAGTTAATTTAAGCACAAAAGCAAGCACTGACAAAACAATTTTCATTTGACAAACTGCAAAATTCAGAAATAGTAAGAAAAGGGTCTTGATTGTGATACAAGAAGAAATAAGATTTTTATTTTCAGTTCATGAATAGAAAATCGTGTAGTATTTCGGTTAGTCATTTACAACTATGTGAAATATCAATTCAGAAACCTCATATTGTCAAAGTCTAGCAATTAGCCGAGAATTTTTTAAAGTAGGATGATGAATTACTTAAGTTTTTAGATATTTTTGACTTAAAAGATACATATAGTTGATATAATAGTGAAAATTTAAATGTAATTGGAACTTTTTTATCGAAAAATTATCTTGAAATACAATGAATTAATAAATTAATAGAATTCGTGAATAAAATGCTAAGATTTCGAAAAAAAAATGAATTTCTCAAATAGTATATTTTGCACCTAGGGAGTGAAAAACTGGAAAGTCTCAGAGCCCGTGTAATTTATCATCCGAGGCGAAGCCGAGGTTGATAATTACGTGCTCTGAGACTTTCTTTTTTCGCTACATAGGTGCAAATACAATTTTTTGTGAATCCCCCAGCCTAAAGTAACATTTTGGTTTTGCTCAGCGGGAGTAAAATGTTACTTTAGGTTGGGGTAGCACAAAAAAGATTATTGTATGTCAGTGAGGATGAAAGTTTTGAACAGAAATGAATGGATCTGAGATTATTACGAAATTATATAAGAAGTGTGATTTAAATAGCAATGAATAGATTTCTTTTTTTTAATTTACACAAGAGCATTTGGAGGGTTATTATTTATTTTATAAATTCCTACAGTTTTTATTGGTTGGAGGTCGAGGTTGTCAGTCTAATTTGTAGGGAACTGAAAGATAGTTATAAGAGAGAGAGAGAGAGAGAGAGATTTAAATTTCGATATTTTTTTATTCGATACTTTTAAAGTTTTTCTTTTATATTTCTGGTTTGTACTGCTGGATACCACCACAAGAAAGCTAAGTCTAATAACATCTCAACTACAAACCATTTAAATTGTCGAGATATGTATGGAATCAATGGTTCAGGAATCTATGAATTCAATTATAGTTGATAAAAACCGTGAAAATTTAATCATAATGCAAAACAATCAAAGCAAAATATATTTTCTTTCAAAAAAGCCGTCTAGTACGCGACAGCATGATACAATAAAGTATAAATTCATATTAATAATTTAACTAAAAAATTAAATTTATTCTATGCAAATTAATTTCTTCGCTTATACGAATATGGAGTGGAACTAAAAAGTATTTCACGCAAGTAGAAATTTTGAAATGATTTGAAGAAGGCGCTAGGATATCTAACCAACACTTGCTATGATTGTATAAAAATAAATAAGTATGTTATATACACATATGTACATTATACAATGCAGCTATATAGAGCTATAGAGTATAACATTCCATAGGGAAATCGAGATTCGTGATTATGCGCGCAAGCTACACAGAAGGAGGTCATGCGACTAAAGTGGCGATGTCGATGCTTGACTCTACAGGAGCAAGTAAGGCGAAGAACGAGCTTGCGACCTACAGTCGTCGCAATATTTTTCAGAAACTTTTACTTTTTCCCGCTTTCTCTTTTTCTTTCTACCTCTCTCTCTTTTCCTATTCCTTCAGTTCGTTGACGTCGTAGTCATTGTCTTTAAAATCATCGTTCTAGCACGCACATCACAAATAATACAGATACATAATGTCGATATTGAAACGAAAAAATGAAAAGAGCTCTTATCGTAATCAGGCTTGAGAGGAATTTAGAAGGCGATAGAAAAAGGCAAGATACTTATTAAAAAAAAAGGAGGATATTTACAGAGATATATTAGTGTGAATTACGCGAGTATAGTCTAAGGTTTTAGTAGAGAGTAACTGTGTATGCGAGGGGGATACCTATTATGGACATTTTTCACGCGACTCAGAAGGTCGACATGGCCGGCGCTGTATTGCTCGATCACGTCCTTTACATCGTACGGTTTCAGTGCCTCTTTGAATTTTCGCCTCGCCACTAAGTACTTTATCTGGTTTGATAGTACGATTCATAATAACAAAAACCGATTTATTAATCTTACCAATAGGTACATAAATATATTGATTCATGAGATTTCCAATGAGATTTCCATCAGTAAGAAATGATCAAAGATTTCTTCGAGTTTTACTTTTTTATTTTTTCACAGATATTGCGTCCCCAAAACAAAATCTTGTTAATCATTCGTTTTGAAGTAATTTTTTAATAAAAATTACATATAATTATTTCAATGGTTATACAAGTTTTTTTTTCTTGCTAGAGTACTTAAAAGTTTTTTTTATCAATTCATCAGTGTAAATGAGTTTCATGATGTTTTTATTGTTATCGACCTTATAAATATCTAAATAAAGTTCGTTGTTGTACTGTTTAATTGTTGTTTATTTTTCATCATTGGACACGTATTATTTGTGTCTGATAAATAAGTTTTTTTGTCGATCACGGTCATCAAGAAAATTAATTGAAAATTCTCTAGACGTCTGATGCACTCTTACATTGTTTCAACCGTGAGGGTTAAGAAGAAAAAAAACAAGATTCGATTTTTGATTAATTTTGTGTTAAATTATTCAACATTATACTTTGTGCAATTTCAAACCCTCATAGCCAAGGTGATCAAATGACTAGAGAATATTTCCAAAGCATTTTTCAATCTCTGAAACGATAAATGTTTTATCATTCGTGACGTTTACAAAAAGGGGCAAAAATTGTCGGCTCTGAACTATTCCTATTGAAAAATGAGAAAAGTTCAAGTAATAAATCAAATATTGCCACTCATTGAAAACGCAGTATCATACTTTCATGAAAAACATTTATTGTTTTATTTATTATAATTTGATGAAATACTTTCACGTTACACACTTATTTATAAGCGAATTATTTACAGAGAATTGTTTTTTTATCAAATATATAACTTCTTTTTGTGTGCAATTCGTAAATTAATTTGAAATTTAATTAATTTAGTGATATTGGGTGTTTTGACAAACATTCATAGGTGTTGAATAATGTTTACTCACCTTGCGTATGGCCCTGATCGCGACTTTATGTTGATTAGTTAGTTGTCCGCCAGTTGAACGGGGTTCATCGTCTTCATCTGCAGACAAAATCAGAGGTATCTCTATTATTGAAATTTTTTTCCGAGAGAAAGCGATTAATTCTCTACAACTTCGCGTGCATTACTTTTACTAAAATCAGTTCTTTCTATTCATTAATAAAAACGTGGTATGCTGTGTTAACAATAATTCCTTCAGTAATTTCAATGGAATTTAACCAAAAAGTCTTTCAATTAATATTTTTGTTTCTTAACACTTATTAACAAGTGAATTGCGACAATCTTTTTGTGAAGAATGTACTAAATACTACAGTATCCTGTGTATATGTAAGCATCAACTTCTTGTCTTGAACTATAATCTAAAAAGATATCTCTCACTAGTGCTTATTTATTAATGGCATCATTTTTCTGTAATTGTCTCGTAAAAAAAATTTTTTTCTGATATTTGCCTGCGCGAGTTAGTGATTTCTCGAATTATTTTTAAAAATTATTTTTGGTGCAACTCAAACAACTAACTACTCTTCAGTCGTACATCAATTTTTAACGGTTCCTTTAAACAAATAATATACCTTCTTTTTAAAGTGGAGATCGTTTATCAGTTGAAGTTCATTCAAAGCCTACATAATTATTTTTGTCTGTACCGAATTACAACAATGATTCAAATTTACTTTATTATCAATTGGAACCGCGCTACCCTATTCTTTTATCATCCCATCATCGAAACAGTATAATATTTATTCAAATTTTAATTACTGGTGCTGATGATCCTACATCTCAATCTTAATTTTTTATATTATTTTCATAATTTTACACAAAACAAAAAAATTTGAATTTGAACCGGACACAAACCAGCGACAATTCTCCTTTATAATTTTTCTTAATTATAGTATAGCTTATAAGCATTGCCTTATAATGCAATTAAAATTTTCAAAAATATTATTCTGTTCCCTAGTAGTCCTTTTGGTAACGCTTTTTTTAATAAAAAAATGGCGGAAAAATGTCGCATTTCTAGCAGGGTTTTGGTTAGGGTTTGATGAAAAAAAGAGATACTGCGTTTACTACCGATAAAATAATTAATTTGATTTATTCAGAACGCGCAATAAAAAACAATGTCAATACAAGAATAAATCCAACGGGATTCTTTTATACTTGTTAATAAGTTAAATTGTGAGTTATTTAACTAAAAATTTTTCAAATATAAAATAAAATCAAATATAAAAATAAATTAGTATTGTAAGTAAATGAATTTATTTTAAAACAATAACCAGTATAGTTTTTTTTGAATTGTATTACATCGCGTCATTTCTGTTGAAAAAAATTCATTTGCAAGTAGTGTTGCGATAATCGTCGTTTTAAAAGTACCGAACGATCGACACTAATGATGGTAGAGAAATAAAACCACTCGAACTAGTATTCGGAAACAAGCATCTTGCTGGATTTGCATGATCAAAAACTTGACTGATTCACGTATACAGTATGCGCTTACACTGTTCTATATACATGCACTTGAGCAGTTCAGATGCACATATATATATGCACTTATTCGAGAAATTGTAAATCCGATGACGATGGCTTTTCAGCATTCTATACGGGGGGAGAATATATTTCTTATTATCACGCGATGCAATAAGTTTCGTTTAAGGGAAGAAGGTGGCAGTTTGCCCGTGACTATGCTTGTATATACATCGATATACATGCATATATATGTGTTCTCTAACACTTAACCAAGCTCGCGATGCGTGCGCCATCATAGAAAGAGATGAGAAATTCCAGAGCAGTGCGAGTGCCCATCACAGTAATTAATTGCATTTGTACGGTATACTGTGTAATGAGACAGCCATGCGATAATTGCAGCACCAAAATTGTGCCTTGATTGTTCTAATTCGTTTTCTGAACTTATCTTCTTATTGGTTTATTTAATTCGTAATTCGTAATTTAATTTTTTGCTCTTATCACTGTCAAGTTTTAATTCATTGACGTAATTTTAATTGAACTTGAACGTTGAAAATGCAATTTGAAATTTTTTTTGGCTATAGTAAGTTCGGATCAGTTCGAAAAATGTACTTACTGTGATAAAAACTAATGTTAGATTATCCAATAAACGATACGATGCCAACATATAAAGTTTTACTCTATGTGCTAAAAACTAAAGTAAGCAATACGAGCATACTAAACTAAAACTATCAGTGAAATAATATGTATAGGTTCGAACCGAGGAAAGTGGAGCTCGAAAGTACTGCAAGTCACCGTATTTAATAAGAGAAAATTTCAAGTTTTACGTTGAAAGATCAAATTTTTTATTATAATAATTGTAACAAGCTAGTTAAAAATCCAATTATCAAAAATAATTGAATACTTCTGTGTGTTCAAATAAATATTGATAAAAAATGTTGTTGTTAATAAAAAGTCGTATTTCCACCAATCCTTGGAACGAGCCTTCATTAGGGATTATGGAACATTTGAGCTTTTAATGAATATCAAGGACGAATCTTCAAATGTGCCATAAAAGAAGAAAGAAACTGTTGCTATCGAGGAGTGTTAGGTAGACCAAAGAGACTAATACTTATACATAAGATTGTATGTATGTATATAATAGGCAGGTATTTTATATATTTATATAGAGTATAAGCGTGCTCGGTAACACGTATTTCGTACTCTTCTCAGAGGTCGGAGACGCGTTCGGGGAAGTCGGCGATCCAAGGAGTTCTGGCAGCGGGGGCAGCGGGGAGCACAGGCCCGCAAGGGCCAGCGGCAGGGTCGACGAGGTTTCACCTAATCGGCCAATCATCAGCCCGTCGATGCGCAGCTCGCGCAGCTCGAGGGTCGACGAGGATCTTCCAATCCGATACTTCATTGCTAATTCATCGATGATAGTGGATCCAAAAACAATTACTATCATCAACTTTCTATTTTTTCCTTCGGTTTTCGTCATCTTCTTGACACCAGCAGCATATATTCAATCCATTACACTCTAGGATTTTTTTGAATCTATCGTTAATTTGTGACCCGATAATGAATAATTTGAGTTTTGTCATTAAAGTATTATCAAATATAAAGTCAATAAAGTTTTTGATCGAAATCCTAGAGTATTATGATTTACACACTGGTCAGTAATCTAGTTAATTTGTTTAAATTCTTATCGTCATTGATTTTTTAATCCACTCCAATTATTTGGATTTTATAACTGAGGATCATCTAATTTTTAGGGTAGCGAGGAGGAATATTTTTTCGAACATGAAATTGGTTGAATTTATGAGTAGTGGGCTCTTTTGCATGGTTAAATGATTACACTCTAGGGAGAATGAAAGGAATGACTGACTGGGGAATTTGTATTAGCAATTACTCGAACACACCAGAACGTTTTATCCCAATTCCAGCAGTATTCATATATAAATTTTTGGTATCTTTTATTTGTTTTTTTTATACGACTTATCCATGATATAAGAACTCTGTAAACATTTAATTTAAAACTTGATAGTATAGTAAAAATGGTTTAGCTATAACTACAAGCTACTTCTAACAATTTTTATAATCTTTTTTAATAATAAAACCGCAACAAAAACGATTTTTCATTAATTACAAGTATATACTCGATTACTTTTTTCTAAAAAAATTTAACATGAAGAAATAAAATAATGAATAAGTGATATTGGGCTATTTTTAGCTGTAAGCGTAGAAGCGTATACAGTATCATTTCTAAGATATGTGATATTCAATTTCTACACACAGCTCTATCAATACAATAATATAAATAGTAGAAAATGTGTATTCGCTATTATAAAGATGCAAAATATTCTATACTATCAAAGTAAATGAGAGAACAATTCCAAATTCAAATTCCAATCGGAACATTTTCTATATGTGTAAACTCGCTAGGTTTGCTAGATTCACTGGATTCGCTGAATAAGCAAAATTCAATTTCCGATTTACATTCGGATACGGCCGAAACTTGAATCGCGTTACTACGCAAGGAAAAGAATCGGCCGTATTATCTTCAGCCTACCTAATATGTAAGTGGGAATGTAAAAAATTTACGGTACGAGTACCATAGATGCTGTCTTATCGAGAAAAGTCGCGAGTGAATTTTTACTAACTACTTCTGGACCGAACGATAAAACTTTTCTCCGCGTGATTTTTGTCGAAAAATTTGCCCATTAGAAAATCTTTTACTACTCACCGTCAGAGTTTCTCTTCGACAAGGCTGTTTCTGTGACGGAATCTTCCGAGTAGCTTGGGTTCAATTGTCTACTGGCGTTTATATTGCCCGGCCCAGTAACGACACCAGTTACAGTCGTTTCGTTGCCACTATTATTATTACCAATTATGTTATTGTTGCCAGGAGGCTGACCACCTTTCATTATGGATAAAAATTTAGAGTTTAATTCCCAGATATAGCCATTTGTCGATTACTTTAAAACAACGAGAGCAAGCGGCTTGTTTTGAAGTGAACTCACCTAGATTTTCCGACGAAACGAGAAGATCTGCAAAGCGGGATGATGCATTTACTCGTTGGCCGTGGTATCCTTGATGGACGAGCTTGTGAAGACTAGGACTATGCAAAGACGTGCTCTTGTGGCGCCGAATCGTTGGAAGCCGACTGACAAATGACGCGTTGTGCTTAAAGCTAGAAGAGGGTCGACTACTAAAATAGCGAGAAAAGATTTTTTTAAATTACAATAGGATCTTCTTAACGCCTTTTTAGCACTTTTTGTTTTAATTTCAATTTATTCAACGAAACTGTGTTTATTATTTGTTGATAATTTGTAAGAAGAATCTAGGCGTGTTAAAAAAATCAGCTGCGATGGAAAAGGTACTTCATTAATAACTTCATCATAATGATAAAGTTCATGTAAGCATTTTATTTAAATATGACCATTGGAGATTAAAATAAAGCCTAACATGTTAAATGTACAGCTTCTGAAGAAAATGAAAAGCTTAGAAAGTATATTATTTGGACCAGATTAAATAACAATTTTAAATTTTACTCTCAAAGTACGTAAGTGAATTACAACTTTAGATTCATTAAAAAAAATAAATTGATTAATTTTCTCTACAATGTATTGTAATGCATTTTCAGCAAAAAATGTCGCGATAGAAAGCAGAAATAAATTATCAAATTATAGAATGTACAGCATATATAATATATATGCACCATATATTCATTGCCCGTAAATTCAGTGTATATATGTCTTGCAATAAGGCGCTATAGGTAATGCATCTACAAGCAGGGAATTTCATAAGCGTTTCAGCGTCGTTGATTGTGTGAAATGAAAAAGAAAAAAGCATATATATTATGAAGAGTCTAGACCTGGCTGGACTTGGCAACGGAGCTTGATGAATTTTCCAGGTCGCAACGCTCATGCTATGCTCGTCGGCTGCGTAACACCTCCAAAGCGCTTGAATTAAACTGGCAGCCGGTTGTCTTCGTCGAATCATGTGCTTCTGGCGCTGTTGTTGCTGGACTTTCAAGGCAAAACCGGAGCCCAGAATCCCCTGTGCACATTTTTTTTCATTGAAGGTTTAATCTTTTTACGCTTTACTGAACGTTTTTTATTGCAGTATGAGAATGAATTGTATTTTTTAACGCATCTTTTCGAACTAGCAAAAACGAGTAATCCTTTGAACATTCCACGTTTTATTGGAAAGAAATCCTCAATTGAAAGTATTAAACATTGTTTCGAGTTTCTGAAGTTTTGTCGGAGAAATTATTTTCAATAAAAGTAAATTAATTCAAGAGATGTACGAAATCAATATTTATCTTAATCATACTAATATGAGTTAACACTTGAATCCAAGAAATAGGATGCAGTTGATAAATTATGAATTACTTACAGCTGGTAAGGCGAAAAACGATATTCCAAGAAGAGCACAGAAGGAAGCAATAAGTTTGCCCGCCCAGGTATGTGGCACTGCATCACCGTACCCCACAGTACATAGGGTAATCTGTAATAATTCACCAACTTACAAATTGCTTATACGTCGTAAAGGTGTTATTTGGATATTTTCATTGTAATGAGAGTTCTTTTTTAAAATGTAAATTTTTTACAATCGCTATGAATTATTCATCATATTATTTTTCAAACTCACCACGCCCCACCACAAAGCTTTGGCAAAGTTGTTGAAATCTTCATGCTCCTTTTCAAGAAGGTAGATGCAGAAACTGGCAAATATCAGTCCCAGAAAGCCTATGTAAAGCGTAGTGAAAAGTTCCTGCGATAAAAATTCATAAAAAATAATCGATTGTTTATTATTCTTCAAAGCTTGTTAGTGCTAGTTGCTAATCTGGAATTTTTAAATAAAAGCTATTGTGAAAATCGTAGAAAAGTCAAAGGTTCCTATTTTTCAAAAGTCAAAAGGTGAACTTTGATTTAATAACTATTGGAGTTTTTGGCGAAATTTGCACAAATTATTGTGCTAAAATATTTTAATAAAATTTTATTGATCTAAATGTTATTTTTTCAATATTCCCTTGCATGTTCAGTCGTATGATATGTGAAAATAAACTTTAAGTCGGAGATGCTTAGATTTTTCTTATATTTTGTTACAATCTTAACATCAAATAGAAAAAACCCTTATCCTATGAAGCCTAGAAATAGTATATGTATGCATAGAGGCTAAAAGAGAGGAAAAAAGTGCGCGCGCGAGAGAGAGGCTAGTGAATGAGAAACGGCAAAATGGGTCAGGAAACGCAAGCGCGGATAATCGTTGCGACGGCTAGGTGTGTATGTATATGCAGTCTGTGTTGAGGTTGTTGCTGCTGCATGACTGCACTTGGTAGGTAGCAAAACAACCCCCGTGCAGTATGCATATGTCTATAGACTTGCGCACACTCACCCACACATTCACTCGGTGTAGGTAGACTTGCTACCTTCGCCGTGCAAATGGGTCGGTCAAACCAGTGCTCTTTTCACTCGGCCCTATAGCCATCCCGCCTGTATGCAACACAATTTCCGGATAATGGCAAACATAGAAAGACCTCACCTTCGTTATCCCTGGCCTCTCTTTTTTTTTATCAGAAATATAATTCCACGACGCGATTGTAGGACTGCCAAGCATTGCACGTGCTCGTAAAGATGTCAGCGTGATCGGCGGGGGAGTTCGAGTGATATGCATGTTTGTTACTCCATGCACGCGATACCCCTTTGTCTTTCTCGTTCTCTCTCTTTCTAGTTATGTCTTAGCTTCTGGGTCACGCAGTGAGAATTTCTACTAATAGTCAAAGTGCAAAATGCACGCGCCCACACATTAGTCATACTGTTTTTATTTCTTTTAAAATCGAATAGACTAAATGGAAGTGTTCCACGCTCGATTCGATTTTACTTTTATCCGTTCCACCAAGACTGTTGATTGATTTATTCCCTCTAACCTGTAACCTCCGATGAAATTTAAATTATTTTTTTCGTTCCAAGACTGCCATAGTTATATCATTTGTCTCCCGCAGAGAGTATGGAGATTAGTCAAGAAAAGAGTCAAGGTTGACTTTAGTTAAACTTGATTGAAGTTTCTCCGTACTTGTTTCTCTTTTTATGATTTAATTACGTAAATTCATAGTGAATCAAAGTAGCAGTATTAATTACTTTTACACATTTATGTAACAAAGAAAATATTTTTTACAAATGCAAATGTACGTACAAAAATGATAAAAAATTATCTAAATAATCAGCCTTGCCATGTATTGGAAGTCGCGTAATTTATGTACATACTTCCATTTTTATTCTGTAAATTCATATATATTATGATGCATTTTTCGTGTCTGGTATGTAAATCAATTCTTATAAATATGTCAAATTGTTTGAGCAAAGTTCCTAGACGCAACATTCCTTGCAAAAAATTGAGCGTAGTTATTTGTCAATTACATGCATCGACTATTAAAGAAGCATCAAATTTAAAATTCCACAAGTATGTTGTTTAAAACATCATATTTTCTCAAATACTACTACACTTCAAACAAGTTATCGTGTGAGAGCGTATCAGTGGAAAGGACGAACAACCGCCATGCCACGATTCTTCTACGCTCAGTTTAATTTAAAAATTGTTCATTGATATACTATATTATTATTATAATTATTGCAATAATTTGCTCGACCTATGCTGAATTATACGCCGACAAATCACGAACACGAAGTTGAAATAATTATCCATCTGAAATCGTTAAACGCCAAGTTATCAATGTCAAGATATTTTAGGACTAAGTTGTACTTATAATTTCAATTTAAATCACACAGATCTAATTTAGAAAGTTATGAGCTACGTATAGCATAATGAGATTGATTTTTTTCAAGTCGTCATGTAAATTTCAGGGGGTTAAAATATCGGGCTCTTATTTACCAAAAAAGAGCTTAAAACAAACTGAATGAAAATTCTCCAGAGCATATAAATTACTGATAACTAGCGTGAAAATTAATTGAAGTTAATTAATAGGTTATTTATTAAGGTAGACGAGGAGAAAGTTATGTTTAAAGCGATCGATTTTACCTCGATGGTACGACGTTTTATTATTTTCTTGAATTACAAATTAAATACCTGCACTACTAGAACACCAGAGTTCGCTCTGGTACAGTTATAGGTATACACGTGTATGCAACACATCATCGACCTGTTTTAGTAAAATATTAAACTTTTTTCACATTTATACATCGCTTCAAGTTCGAATGAATAAAGATTATTGCTATGGTTTTGAGGTGCATTTCTGACTACTACATCACGTCCTTGACTTCAAAGACACGTATATTATAAAGATTAGGATGTCGTGCCTCGAATAATTCTATAGTCAAATTATTCAAACTGTATTAGTCGTGCTGGGGTTCGAGTAAAAGAGGACGAGCCATATGCGCCTGCTGCAGTTGAGCGGCGCTTATACAGTAATGAGAAGTCAATTTAGCGCTAATTTCACTCGAGCTAAAACTTTTTGAATGAAATGTAGTCTTTGAACGTGAAGCACGGTGCTCTTTGCGCTCTACGCCCGAGTGTCTCGTGTGTACCTAGCAATTGTGAGTCAAACTGTCCAGATTTTATTGTCATTTTGTTGTTGGCTTACTTGACGATGAGCGTAGACGACGCTGCCCAAAAGTTTCCAAGTCCCACCGCGTCGATCTACTCTCACCATGCGTAAAATTTGAAAGAAGCGAAGGCCACGAAGTGCACTGGCAGCGAACACCTGACCGCTGCTGCGCATCGCAAGCACAATGGTGCTCGCGATTATCGTGACCACATCTGAAAAAGAAGCAGACATGTTTTTTTTTTTTTTTTAATTCAGATAATCTCAATCTTTACGACAAAATTATTCTAATATGCACATATTCGCTGACACTGCTAGAGTATGAATTTATCGTGTTTCATTAGCATGTATAATATTCAATTGTAAAGACATACTCGCGAGAGCCGGGTGAAGTTTCTTTTAGTGCTTCGACCTAAGAGGATCAAAAGAAAACTTCAACGTTTAAAGAGCTTGATAATCTTATAAAACTGACTGAATTATTACTATTAGAAATAGATTTTTTTGAACTTTACGTTGACTTTCAGGAAATTTTTGCCACAACTAACGATAATTGATAATGATCAAACTTGACATGTGTCTAGATTTTTCTCCCAAATCACTTAACGATAAGACTCTTTTGGTATTAATTACACATCAAGAGATTTGGTCAAAGTCGAGAGTATGCTGAACACAACTTATTGAAGGGAGTCACGTAAAATCTCTTTTTATTTACTCCCTTTACTGTGTGTTCTACATTCGATCGAGCTTCTTTGCCACGTTTGTACACATAGAATTAGACGAAATCCAAGCAAGTTCACGTGTGGGTTCAAGGACGCCTGTATACAACTGTATCGACTAATAAAATCAACCCCTCGCAGTGTGTTGATGACAAAACAAAGTCGAGCAGCTAGCGACGCTCTTGTCCCACAGAGTGAGTAATACCTGGAGTTGTGATAGACCTGATGGATCATATTGCACCACCCCTCTGCTGTATACATATATATACAACAAGTGTGCGGGTGAAATGTCATCAATTAGTTCGTTCTTGCATGCAAAGTAAGCTGCGGCCCAATTGCAAGGCAAACTTATTATGTATACAATCTCAGTTGGTATACACACGGTGGTGTGCGCGCGCGTCTATACGCGATAACGACTCGACGGCAACGGGGATATTTGAAAACGACTTGTGACTAAGGCACGTGTGTGTTTGGAAAATTTTCGTGTCCGACTTTAAAGGGCCTCGGAACTAAATTACGTTGTTTCCAAGGAATTGTTAGCTTTAATCTTTGTTTTTCGATTCTTGAGTTATGGCAATTTTAAGAAAAAAAAAGTTACGACCTATTTGCGTATGCAAGCGCACATTCGTGACTTCAAAGTTATTCCGGATTCGCCGACCGTGCAAGCATACATGCGCATGTAGACATAGCGCTCATATTTAGCGTTGCTTATGAACGAGTTAACGACGTTCGGTACATAAAAATGGTCGTACTCGCGCGTGACCCATCTGGTGCGTGCGCACGTGGCACGCGTGGTGTAAATTTTTCGCTGCCGAATACGATTCGAGCGCGTGTGCGCACCAGACAAGGATTATCGAAGCAATAGCTGCCGAACTGCGTGTCGGCAATCGTAATTTAATGCGATAAATTCGAACGAGGTCATGTAGTTTGTGTATGAGCTTGCGATAAGTCACATATAGACGTGAGCGTGGGTGTGTGTGGTCGCGTTGCACAGTGCGTCTTGCGTGCGCTACGACGACCCCCATCTCTAATTAGAGGCTTCACTGTGTTCTCTTTGTGGTTGACGACGACGACTCGCTGCGACAAGGATCGCAATTAATTTTTTTTCCCTCTCATTTTTCTTCCGCGCCCGCGCGCTTAATTAGCTCCGCACGCCCGCTGCGCGCTCCGGCTCGTCGTCGGAGTTTACATTCTCGAGCGAGCTCGCGGCTTACCGTCAACGACACTCGACGCCCATCATTTTATTGTCTGCTTCTCTACAGCTTGTTCATCTCTTCTCTATCTCTCTCGGGCGCGGCGTAACTCTTCGCGGTTTCATTTACTGCCTTTATATTTGGTGCCCGTTGCGCTGCTACTGCTGCATCTTGCAAGCTTTTATCGCTTTCAACCGCGTGCGCACGTTCGAATTTCTTCTCCGAGCTTTTATGCGTGCATTTCAATTTTTTAGCTTCTCAATATTGTTTCAACCCTTTTTATCTTGCTTTTTTAATGGGACAAAGCTCAAATTTTCATTTTCAAGAAAACCAGTTTGCCGTAGTGCATTGAAATGTGACCCGGAAACAAGAACCGACCGGCATTAAGCTATTTTCTTATTGAGCTTGGGAATGATAAAGATGAAAAAAAATGAAAACTTACCGATAATGCAGAAGGGCCGCCTTAAAAATTTTAGACGGCCCATAGCCGTCTGATACCGTGAACGACATCCCGACGACCATAATCTGTAAAAATAAAGTGTTCTCTTATTTTTCTTGCAAACTATATTGTTTCAAGTTGAATACAAACCTTAGAATAAATTCAATAGTGAACCAGACCAACACCAAAATTTCCATATAAAAAAGAATTTTTCCGGCTTCTTTTTCGTATTCGTCAATAGTACTGAAAACTGAAAGTACTAGGCATGATCCAACCATACAAAATCTGAAAATAAAACAGAATAAATTTTTCAAAAATATAAGTATTTTAGTGGGAGGTCCATTTAATTCAAGTGTAGGCCGGTGAGAACCGAAAATGACAAATAAAAAAAAAATGCTACCATTTTTTTGCTATAATTTGGATAACGATTGTTTTAAGATTTCATAATATTTAAATTAAAAAATATTTCAAATGTGAATAAACGTTTTTCTTCTCGAAGCTATACTATTTCACAAATTGAGCTTTTCCGACAAACTAACGGTAAAATAACGGATAGAAATAACTTGAAGAATAACTTAATTAACATTGTGAACGAGCTCTCTCCGCTGAAGCTTTTTAATCAAATCATTTCAGAGTTCGATGAATTCGGTAATTCAAAGTTCAAATATGACATGTAAAAATGAGTGTCGGGTAAAGATTTTTCTCGAAGCTGATGAATATGCTCAGACACGGGAACTCGAGCAATGATTGTACAGTTGAGTTGTGCGTATGATGCGTCAAAGCGCGTTTAAGAGTTGTACATTCTCGTTCGTTGGACTATCGTGCACAAAGGTGCGTAAGCCACTGTAGTGCAAGCACTGGGAGTATATCTGTTAGGGGAAAGCTCGCATATATGTGTGCCGTGCCGCAATCGTCAGCTCGCAAACGCCAATTGAGTATGATTCTGCAGTCCTTTCTCTACTACATCCCCAATCATTCAGGCTGATTAAATTACCAAAGGGGTTAATTGTCATCTACATCGTCAATGCAATCTAGCTGTTTCGCGTTATATATAACTAGCAGACTTATATATAGTAGACCATTAACCGTGTGTGTGCATTGCAGAGAGATATGCGACTCATTCGTTCTACATCCTCTTCTCTTTTTCAAGAGCTCAATGTGCACATACGACGTCTCTGTGTTTCGATCGTGGATCCGAACCGTCGGTATAGCTCGCTCAACGAATCACAATTCAAATTATACATATATACGAACGCAGTTTATGAGCTTTGGTGAAGGATAACGATTGCAGGCGATTAGTTCTGCTACTGTTGCTACTGCTATGAAATTCGTCATGTAACCTGTTACGATTCATGGAGCATTAATAAACCGTAACGATATACTCTATCTTCTATTTCCTATTTTCCATTTTGATTTGTGCTTTTTGATCCATTAACGACCATGTGACTCGTCTTGTTTGCTCACTTTTAATGTAAATTTTTCTCATGTTATCGGTCTTAAGGAGGTCTGTACCCCACATTTTTTACCGACATAGTCGAAAAATTTGTTTAATTTGTATCTTTAATCTAAATCAAATATCGAAAAACGACTCTGCGGGAACATTCATTTTGTTGCTCTGAATAGCTGGTAAAAATTTTAGCTAATTCCACCGACTAGATTTCCCGGAAAACGTGTTTGAAATTTTCACACGTTTTCCCGGCTTGAAACTTTTAAACACGTTTTCCGAAAAAACTGGTCGGTGGAATTAGCTAAAATTTTTACCAGCTATTCAGAGCAACAAAATGAATGTTCCCGCAGAGTCGTTTTTCGATATTCGATTAAGAGAAAAAGATATAAATTATACAAATTTTTCGATTCTGTTGGGTACAGACCTCCTTAATAATACATATTTCCTTACAGAAAACTCACTCTCTTTAAAGTAAAATAACGGAAAAAAATTCGAAATTGATTTTTTACACAAATTTTGAGTTTTTTTACCGTCCAATGAGTCGCAATTTTTGTACATATCCAAAATTTATTTTAAGTGTGTAAGATTCTCATAAAGTATTAAATTCTATTTCAAAATTTGGTTTTTTGTCGTTAAAATATTAATCGATTTAATCCAAGTATGTTTTGGTTTGTGCATTTATCGTATCGATAAATCAGTAAATTTGTATTCATATTTACAGAAATTTTAAGTGCGAGAATCAGCTTGGTAAGTAATTTTTCATTTTTCGCATTAGCGCTGCACTTGTTTGATTGATAACGCCAGTGAATACGAGCAAGCCCCCGTAAAAGAAATTAATGAAATTCGCATTCACTCATTCGGATGAATCATGAATGAAAGCCTGGCGAGCGAGTTATAATTTACCAATCAAAACATCTGAGTAAGTTTATGTTAAGACCTATTACATATACATAAAGTTGAAGCGATAAAGCTGCATTAAAAGTTCGGCATTTTATTGAAAAATCTTTAGAGTTGACGAAATATATTACGATAATAGTGTTCAGTAATCATGAGCAATTCTTGACAAAAATGAAGAACTTGTACAGAGATGCAAATTTTTCATTTTCTTGTGCTCATGTCAATATAGAGGACGTGTATCAGGATCAGGTGCAAAGGCTAAGTGTAAATACTTTCAGTTCTGTCATGTTTTGCTTGTATATATCTGAAATATAAATAGCAAATCCGCAGAACGTTGCCACTTTTTACTTTGATACTGCATGTATTTTAATTATACTCCGTGACGATTGAGGCACAAAAACTGTCTTGGAAAATCTCATTCACATTGGTATTTGGTGCATTTTATGATATCACTAAAAATTGTGCTTATTTTATCAATTGAAACAAGAAATACCACGGTATCAAAAAACTGGCCACGTTTTGCGGATTTTCCCATATGTATGCAAAAATGTATTTAAACGTGTAACGTGTGCATACGCTGAAAAGATCGAGTCTAATTAAGCATCTAATCAGTTATCCTGTATTTGTGAATCATGTCTTATGAGCACGTTAATGCTCTGCAGTTAACACAGCGGGAAAGTTTGCATCGAAGCCCGGAAATTCGGTGGTTTTTGCTCGCATGTGTATATAACATACTTACACATACACACACACACACACACACACACACACACACATGGAGTATGGACCCTGTTTTATGCGATAGGCTTACTATGTATTGTAGGTGTGCGTGTCTGTATGCATACATGTATACATGCAGACAGACTGCGGTGTGAGTACGACGTATGCATAACACGATATATATGAGCCTAATGTGTACTCAAGATTTATTGGCTTCGCGTAACTATTAAATTGATTTGATCTCCGCCGTCGAGAAAATAAATGCTCCTAAGTTTTGCGCTGTATATGCGCTCGTAAGCCATATAACATGCGTCTGTCTTCTCTCGAATTGTTTATTGCCATAAGTGTAAGCGACCGTTTTCATCTTCTTTTCTCGAAACTCGAATGTCACAACAGAAAGTGGCCAAGACTCGACAGAAATAAGGAAGCAGATGAAATTTCACGCTGAACAACGGTCAGCCGGATTAGCCACGTGAACGTATACTATACCTAGATTATACAAATAACCAAATGAATTCTATAAGCTTGGCAAAAGTACATCTCGACTTGGCTCTAGCATTCTGTACATATACAGCAGCGAGTACTTGGACATTTTCGAGTAATCCTATCTCGCTTGATTAACTCAAATCCTCACCTTGATTCTTCTTCCCCTCTGCGGAGTTTCTATCTTTGTTTGCCTGCACAGATTAATGCACTTTAGCCAAAGTGTAGTGGAAAATTCCATCGAATCTTGAAGATAGAAGCTGCAGCAACTTTCGAACAATCAACCAAATGAGTTTCACTCGATTTGAACGAAAATTTTCTCTCGCTCGTCGCGTGCACGCTGTCTGTACACGTACAACGTACGTGGAAGACAAGTTGCACTCACCCCGGCAAATAGACATCAGCTCTCTCGGGCTTCAAGTACACCCAACTTACACGAAGTAAGTTTCACATGAGCCCCCCAGATCTCCGAGCTTTTATGCATCGACGGATAAGACACTGCATGTAGGTGAGGTGAGAGATAAATCTTCAGCTGGAACCACTGCCGGCGCGATGTAGCTTTACGATACAAGCTCAGTTTCGAGTCTTTACACGTCGTTATACTGCGCATGCTTACGCTGCCAACCCGGCGAGTATTTTACATCGACGCGGCTGGAACAAAATGAATGGAGCCTGATCGCGAGCCACGTCTGAGAGCTATGTTGTGAATCCTGCATAGCAGAGCAGCAGCAGAAAGCGCTTTTAAATGCATCCTAAAAATGAAAACAACCGCTTTGCATCGGAATGCATTTTTGGCTCTGTGTATTTCGCATTGTTTCACCATTTTTTTCAGATCTTATCTGTTGGGATGAAAAAGAGAAGAGCAAATTTCATAGTAGAAAATAAAGAAATTGCGATTAAAGATATTTCTCAGAACTTTCTTGCGATTCTGTGACTTCCAATTTTATTGTACGATCAAAGTGAATGTCATGGCGTTCTCTTGCTAAGTATGAAGAAATGCTCCGTACCGCTTCTAATTCAAACTATGAAAAACCAATCTCTACCTTTTATATATTTTCCGTTTAAAAGTACTTCCTCTCGATACAATATTCGGTAGAGGTATGAAAGTGTCGTTCCAAAAGATTAATTTTTGTTTTATGAAAGACTGCAGAATACAACAATTTGCATTATGAATTTGACGAGAAAATATCAATGAAAAATATGTACAGAATTTTTTGATTATTTTCTTTTATTTTTAAACTAATTTGTACATGTATGTAAGCAAGCTTGCAGATGCTCGTATCCAGTTGATTTTTGAATTTTTCATATTTTTTTATTTTTGTATACTTGTATACAAAGAAACATTTTTGAGTTGAGTTTTAATTTTTTTGAGTTATTTAACTATGAGTTTTAAATTTATTATTCATTTTCCTTAATTCATTTTTAAGTAAATGCTTTTTCGGCTTCGTCTATAATAGGTATTTTTCGATTGTTTATAAGTTTTGGTAGTGAGTACCGATCCATAGCCATAATCGAAAGAGAGACAGAGCGAGACATAGGCGACACTGCATAAACGTTACAGAGACCTGAGCGCCGAGTACTAATCGCTAGTATCGCGTGCCGAAGCAGAAACGAGAGAGCCGACACTCGACATTGCCGAACGTTGACCAATCACTGCGTGCGAAGCGAACCGATACCATACTGATAATAAAAACCTACGATTAATGAGCTTGCTCACTCGTTTTTCACGGAGTCACTCCTATATTCAACGAGCCATAAGAAGTTTTATATCAAAAAGTAAAGATGCAAGGACAGGCCGTAATTAAGACTGCTGTGTCTTGCAAAAAGAACAATAGAGCAAGCAAAGAAAATCAAAGCACCGACAAATGACGTTTTTACGTAGAAAGAGAGAGAAAGAGAGAGGTATATATTCTTGTGAGATATTCTTATATAACAAGTAAAATCCAACCGCAAGTAATACATCCAAGATCTTGTAGCATGAATTCATCTAACGATGGTATTATTAAAATTGAATAGATGTGAAAACATCGTTAGCATTGATACTCGTCTTTGTCTTACACAATTCATTCGTAAGGGTTCATACGTAAGGATTATTCAAATTGATTTATTTTCGCCCATAAGAACAAAAAATTCACTTCAAAATTATATAAGTTGTCAAATTCAATTTCAGCGATTTATCATATTTACACGTAATTAGTTGGAAAATGCTGCATTCAGATGTATTGTCAGATGTTAAATAAAGCTTCGGTACTAGCTCGGTACAATTTGTACGTTCCACATTATATGTTCTCCGGGCAAAATCGTTTATTTTCCTGCAAACATACAGTACATGAAGAATTTCCGTGCGTGAACTATACGTTACAGATTTTTGTCTTGAAGCATTTCGCGAACAACATGGATCAAAATAATACTTTTTTAAATTTTCGTCCGCACGTATGTCACCGATCTTGCCGCACTTTTGGTATGTTATAGTACACGATAGAGCATCATAATAATTTTAACATTCCTTAATGTCTTCAGAAACGTCTTCAGTATTTTGCATTAATCTTTGTGATGCTGTTGATTGAGCTAGAAAGCTTTAATCGAAAACTTAAAACGGTAAACATTTATTAAAATTTGACAAGGAATTCAAAAAAAATATTTTCAAATTTTTTCACCAGAACCATAGGGTTCTAGGAACCTTTTTTTTTTTAAAAAAGCATTTTTCGGCTCTAGAAGCTATCGTCTTCAATTAAAAAATCTGAAAAAAAATTTGAGATTATTTATTTTGATGAAAAAAACAAGAAACAATTTTTTCCAGACTTTTCGAGGCTCCGTATCGTCCTAAAAGAATTACTTATAGCACTGTGTAACATAAGTTCACATTTATGGCACGCTTTTCTGTGGCATAAGTCGCACTTTACGGCACCGCGTCGGTTACGGTGCCACAGGTACTAACCTCACTTCGGGCTACCAGCAGTGCGACTCATGGCTCGGAAAAGGAGGCATAAATGTGAACTTTGCACAGTACTATAAAATGTTGTTCGATACTCGGACCATAGAGGACACTTTTCGGCCCAGCTATTAGGAAAACTAAACTTCGCCTAAACTACGCCGTGCCAAAAAGTGTTACTTATGGCCCTTGTACCGAAAACTACTATTTCGTCAAAAAAAGGTGTTTTTGACTTCGAAAGGTGCGTGCGCTTTTTTGAAAAAATTTAAATTTCATGAATTTTTGCAGATTTTTTAATAGCTTCAGGCCTTCAGAAAAAATATAGATAAAAAATGGACGTTTATAGGGGAAGAGGGGGTAGGAGGAGGGAGGGGGGTCCAAAATTTTGGTTTTGGCACTTTTTTATCGTGTACTATAACATACCAAAATCGCGTCAAGATCGGTGGCATACGTGCGGACGAAAATTCAAAAAAGTATCATTTTGACCCATATGTATACGCACATGAAGATCTCTATTGAGACGACGCCAGCTTATCGCGCTCATACTCATCCATCTCATCGTCGCGGGATTTGACTTTTCTTCCATCTTTTTCTTTTTACCTGTGCTATATCATCCTGATAGTTAAAGCGAGAGCAGACGAATAATTCCAACAAGTTCTAAAAAGCATAACGTGCAATCGTAGCTCTTGCTGTCATATACACACCATCGCTGACCTAAGTCTCCGTGTCGATATGATAATTTACAGTGATTTTTTGTACTTAATCATTTCTGGTGCGATACAAAATTTACGATAGATTACATTACAAACACAATGTTTTTATTTTTCTAAAATTCGCCTCATTCTGCTATATTCTTCACATCTTCACTTCGGTGAGTATTATATTATTGAAGGGTGACTTCGCCGCCCCCCTGCTTGATAAATGTGCTAACCTTTTGTTTATATTTCCATTTTCGCTAAATCTGTAGGAAATTTAAATTTAGGTAAATTGTCATTCCTTTTGTTAATAAAATTGATCTTGTTCCATACATGCATGCTGAAGACTTAGATTGTTATAAATAAATGTTTTGTATGGAAAAGATTTTTTTTTGCTAAATCGGGTGTCACGAAGGGATCATCAAAGCTCGTCTAGCTCAGTACCATGTTCATCTATACTTATCAGATGAAGCTTTCACAGGTATACGTACATTTTAGTACAAACACGCGTGTGCAGGAGTCATTCACATTGCAAAGAGAAGCAAAGTGAATTTTCTATACTGTCAGTAGTATGAAATGCGCTATTTTTGGTCACTTTTTACGAGGAATCGATTTACCGAATCAGAATTACCGTATGTTTTATAGATTTCAAATAATAACGTTAGGTTGTTTTCGCGGGTCCCGAAATCGCGATTCTCGCGTATATGAGGAGCGTGGAGTGACGCTGCTCTCGTCTGCCATACTTGCCATTCGGAGCGCGACACGCGCTCCTCGATTTCGAAATACACTACAAACTATTGTACAGATATAATTCAAAGTGGTACTAGATCCTGAGTAGTATGCTTATACTTAAGTTGAGAAGTAGAGGATTAAAAGGGCTCAGAAAAAGCTGCTTACGGATTTTTTTGTAGCCCATACACACTCGTATCGTATAAATGCATGTGTGCATTGGTACAAGTCGAATCAAATCATATATCGTTCGCAGCTTGCGATGCCTCGCTGTTTTGGGCTATACTTATACATCTATGCATAATAGACAGTTGCGTCCATACATTCAGTACAAATGGTATTCATATAGGTACGCATCAAATATTCATTGATTGACGAGTGGCGCGCGTAGACACGCACGTGTACAAAATATATATACTTTGTGTGTACTTTGGATTGCTGCATGCAGACATTTATCTGTAGAAGAAAGTGTCACGTTTCGCTCACCTGGACCAATTCTCTCTATATAAATTTATACGCTCAGAATCATACGTTAGCGTTTCATTTATAATCAAATAATACAATTTATGAATCCGTTGAGACCAAGTATGGTTAATATTTTACATATTTTAATATTGTTACATAACCTAACCCCAGATTGCTCTGCTCGTACGTAAGCGTTTCTTTTACAAATTGCCCATTGTATTTTTCGCGATCACAATAATTGTAGTGTTAAATTTTGTTGCTATGGTAAGCTCGTTCCCTTTTATCTTACTTCATTACCCGCACCGAGTCTTTCGTACTTGTATTTTGGGTTCATTCGCCTGCAAGCTGGCAAATTTTTAAAAAAAAGTTTCTATTGTGTAGTGTTTTTAATTTCTTCAGCAGTTTTTTGTTAAATTTTAATTTTTACGAACGTATCGTGTACGGCAAAACTTTTTGACTCATAATTTTAACTTACACATCAATAGTCAAAATTTTAATTTTCCAACTAAATGTACATTAGAGAGGATTGATACATAAATTACCTAACAAATGAAATTTCGAATTCTGACACATCGCATGTCTTGGCAAAAGAGTAGAACACCTGCACGATTGAATGTAGCACACAGCGCTATAATAACAGCAGAATTCTTGTTTCGAATTTCTGGCAAGGACTATTTGAACTGCGAAAAGTAATTAGGCGCTCGAGTACGACCATTTCCAAGGTGAGCTTACCAAATTCACTTTGATTCTCTTTCTGATGATAATTGAGTAAAATCGACGGCGCGTATCAGTTCTTGCTCTGTAATGTCGCATAAAAAACGACTGCAGAGTCTTTTTCAGCTGTTATCGATTACATTACTCAATAGCTCTATACAGCAGCGATGTTATCGCAATGACACTTGAGAGTGGCGTTTGCTCGCGTATACCGAGGTCAGTATAACAGCGATGTTGTCGTCGCTTGATCGATCAAAGCTCTCCAGCGCGCCACGTGACGTAGCGTAGCGAATCGCTCGTATAATCGTTGAAGACGTTGGCTGCGCCCATCGGCGCTACCGTGTCGTAATACGACAACTACAACTAAACGATCGGCGTAATTGGAACTCGAGAGGGAGAGCAAATTTGTTGTACAACGAGCTCTCGAAATATTCGCTATAAAACTGCAATTTGTATTCCAAATTCGCATTTGTTTTTTTGCCTCATCGCCCATTCATCATATTTTGTTCGCTTACACGCGACGCTGTCGGGAGACTTTTCTCTTTTTTGCCTGTGTTCAGCGAGGAACGATAAATTAAGTGAGTTTGTCAGACTTGCGAAACGAGCAGTAGCAAAGCTTACGCGCGAGTGATCCATGGGGACAACCTTCAAATAAATTGAAAGCTTTCTCGCGCATGGAAGAAAGATGCCACTGGACTCCGACGCTGCTGATAGCACGAAGTTATCAAGAATTTTCCGATAAACCATTCGGTCCAGAAAGAGAGAGAAAGAGAGAGAGAGAGAGATACAACATTATGATCGCGTATATATGTTGTAATAAAAACAAAAAAAATGGCTTGCGTTCCACGGATACCTCGATGCCACGCGCCTCCTCTCGAGCACGGAGAGGAGAAAATTATGGCTCATAGGATTATATATTTACCACCGGCAAGTCTGAGCTTATGATACTCAGAGCTACTCTGCGGCCTGAGTTAATCGATAATGAAAAGAAAATAAGAAAATAAGTGAGGAATTACGTATAAGTATAATAATAAGGCTACTTACACGACCATATGATAGCAAAAGGCGTAAAAGCCTCGAGGACGCTCGAGCAAGTTGTAAATGCGGGACTGGACTCGTCGGTACTGGGCATCGCGACGAGTCACCCGATAGTTCATCGGGCGTCCCAAAAGTGACATCCGCGGTGCTGCCAGACGTCCACCTGCCCCGCCACCACTCCTGAAATGATAAAAATTATGTTTATTTATACATAACGTACACAGCGCGTATACCTCTATCGTATGTAACCTTATCATCAGTTAACCACGAGCTCATTAGCTGCACATCTTATTAGATGTGATAAGGATTGGGTATAGATTATACCTTAAAAAGTATAGCATGTATGTGAGCTTTCATTTTTATCATTAGACGAGGGGTTTGTTAGTTATCTGTGTGTGAGTGTGTGTATTTTTTGTTTTTTGTTTTTTGTTTTTAACCCGTTAACGCCGAGACGGACAGAATTTTTTTCTCTATTGTAGTCTGCAATTAAATCATCTTATCGGAGCGAGAAAAATTTTTGAGTACTCATTTTCTATGTAAAATTTAATGTACTTTTTGAGTATGGGTTTATAATTAACCTCTGATAAATATTTAAAAAGTTATAAACAATTTACTGCGAAAAACACGATTTCGAATCTTGAAAAAAAACTTTGATTCAAATTTTTTTTTATGAAAGAGACTTGAACTGTGGCCAATAATACCTAAAATTGTGGAATAATGACCTACAGTTTAAAGTACTGTAGATGGGATTTGAAGGACAAGTCTTTGACGGAAAACATTCCTCTCTGAGATAGGTCGTGAAAATACGGTGGACGGTAGCGAAACATACACCCACGGCGGCCTTGAGAGACACGTTTGGGATACCATCTGGACCAGGAGCCGCCCTTCGGCACGCTCCTCGAAGCTTCTCAATTCTAACCTCACGGAATAGGTCGGCCTCTCTATGTTTGCCCAGGCAGGTTGAACCAGGGGGGGGGGTGCCATTCTTGGAAAAAGTGTGGAGACTGCCCGTCGCACGAGCTCCAGTTCGCCTGGAGGCGCACTCCCAAGACCCTTTAGGTAGGACCTGACCGTACGGAATGGTTTACCCCACACATCATGGTCTGCCTCCTCGCATAGCCTCTGCCAGCAAAGGTGCTTTGTGTATGTGTGTATGTGTGTGTGTGCAGTACGGCTGCTGCTAACCCTCTGCATCCTTATCGGGTACGCTCATCGCCGCGAGCAAAAAGAGACCTCGTTTCCTTCTCCTCCGCTTCTCTCATTATTTTACACCCACTAGCTTATACGCTATATCATTCGCTCTCATCACATAAGGCGTTATATTTTTTAATTGGAAAAGCTACTGGTAAGGCGCTGCATGCGCGTTGATATCCGATTTTGATCATACTTAATCTTTTCCTTTCTGCGCAAAATTTCATTTTTCGTTTGACAAATTATTGTCTCCCACACTCATGCTCGATTTCCTATATTCACATTTTATCAAATGAATTTTATCAAATGAATTTTTATTTGTCAAACAGAACAGTGGAGTCCACTTTTACTCAACGCTCATCAGATTTTACTTCAGTTTAATGACTTGTGCGAAATTTCTATAAAAATATGCACGGCTTGCAAACACATCGCATTATATTGGCTCTGTGGTTACTACAATTTTTTGTTGTTTTATGAACTGTTTACAGCAGTTTTTTTACTGCTTATATAGTTAATTTTTTCTCGTAAAACAAACAAATTCCATCAGCTGTGCGCATTGTTAGTGCAATATTTTTTTCATAAAGTTTATCGCTTTTTTTAAGTTAAATAAGTTTTTAAGGAATCTATACGCATATATGTGTTTCTGAAGTAGTATAATTTTGAAGTAGCTCAATAGAAATGCTTCATTCTTATTTAGCTCCTGAATTCAAATGGTCACTCCTGTCAACCTTGCTAATAAAACTTCTTTCGAATACGAGAGTCTGTTCTTAATTCCTTGTGCTTTTTGTAGTTTTCCCATGTTACTTGCAGACTTGATTATAAGCTACAGAATGAATCAGTCTCACCATATAAAGGTACATTTTAGTAAATGCAAAGAGGATGAACACTTGTGCTTTGAGTCTCCATGATGTACAGCTGTATATGTTTGATAGCATTTAAGATTTGAATAATACTAATGATTATGTGAACAGTAGGGAGAGATCGGGTGAGTGCGTATTTGGTATTAAATGACACCACAGGTGATCACATATTCTCCAAAAGTAAATTTTAGTATGCACAGGATAAAATAGAGAATCTCTATTTCAACAGCAACTGCAAGTTAACACACAATAACGAAGTATATTTCATCGAGTTGCTCCATTTCATTTGCTCGTTCAAAGTAAATTATACATAACGGCTGCGAGTGTCTACACGTATATAGATTATACAAAGAGAGAAGAGCGAGAGAGGGAGAGAGAAGTCAGCTGAATCGCGGCGCAAAAAAGCAGCACGAGCTTGCGAACGTGCTTGTCTGCAGAGCTCTGCAGGTGCAGCAGCAACAGCGAGATGAGATAACAAAACGAAACGGCGAATGAAAAAAAATAGATACTGCCGAGGCAGTACAAAGGGAAGCATAAAAGCTCGAGGACCACGAGAGCAAGAAACGAGCTACATTATACACTATACACATGCGTTGTAGATATAGAGAAAGGAGTGTAGGGTACGCGCGGCTATGCGGAAAGACAAAACGCGCGCTCGGCCAATGAAAAGAAACAGAAAGTGTGAAGGAGGGAAATGAACGAGCGACAACGAGGCGAGTTTGACGATAAAAGTTGCCATATACGCTTTGGTAGTGTTGGTACTCGCGGCAGTTACAGCGGTTTACAGTACTCAGCGCGCTCGAGTTAAAACGCGCTGCGGAATCTCATTTTGCACCTTGACCGAGCGCGCGCCACACTAGCCCGCGCCCCGACTCCGCTTAGTTACGGCGCTGCGCTGCAGTATATTCTGCTGCAGCCGCACTCTGTATTAGTCAGTGCGCGGCCCCTCCGGCCTCTGCTCGTTATGTACTGCCTATATTTATAAAACTTGCTTCAAAGTCGAAAAATTTGCGCGGGTTAAAAGTTGCAAGCCCACGCCGCAGTGTATTTGCGCGGTTTCATGCTAATGCACAACGTTGTTTTTTCTCGCGCGCTGCTTACGGAAGCGACTCGAGCGTTTTGTGCCGAGTAATAAATTATGCTAAATTCAACGCTGGTCCGCATACATTCGACTGCGAATGACGCGATATAGATGCCAGCTTACTGATAAACTAAGCTGCGCGCGGTCACGAAGATCGAGAATGTTACGACGACGATTTCGTGCTTGCCATGCTATGTCATGCGTGAGCTATTATATATTCGGCTGACCAGAAACTGAAAAAAATTCCCAATGCAGCGATTTTCAGCTTGTTAAATATTTCCAAGATTCTTTTTTTATATATATTATGCAGGGAAACTTATTATTATACGGGAAAAAAACCGAGAATATCATTTTTCTTTCTACAGCAGCGCGAGCATATAATATCCCTGTATGCAGCAACGTTACATATATTGGGAAGCAAGGAGAATGTTATTACGAGATGAAGCGTCGTTGGTCAAGCTGCAAATGGCCTCATAACAACTTATACACATAGTGTGCGCGCACACATAATATATAAACTGCTCGTGTGTGTGTGTGCGCGCGTGTGTGCGTGTTTGTGCACGTTTGGTTCGCGTGCTATGAGTGAAGTAATAAAAACAAGGCGTTGATGGAGCAACTCGTTCTATACGTGACCTAAAACAATAATTATCGCGCAGGACTCGAGCCACGGTATTAGTGGACGCATGGCCCGAGTGCGCGCTGTATTGTCATCACATAGTATAGCTCCAATATAAGTTTTGCTACATGTATGGACGATGGTGCGTGTACGCTACGAGCTTGCGATAAAAGAACCCCATTTCCCGATCATCGTGCTCCGCTCCGATTAAAATGAATTAGCGTCAAGATCCCTTCGTCAGCCGTTGAATAATTTTCATTATCGATGAAAAACACGTCTTTTATATTTTCATCGCGCTCAAAATCTGGCAGCTTGCTCGAAAATTGAATAAGACGATTTTTAGCTGCGGATCAAATACTCGGCACGTACGTAAAACGACGAACGTCGTAAAAGTCCGAATCTCTCTCTCTCTCTCTCTCTCTCTATGACATCAATCCACGCGAGTCCTCTTAAGCGATCGATCACATTATTGTTTGCTATAAAAATAGAAATTCGTGACGCAATCTCTCTAGCAAATGTTCGTAGAGTACATAAGCCGATTCAATCGCCCATCAAATTAGATTTGCGTAAGTTGGCCGTATGATCGAGTACTTAAGGTGGTTCATTAGTGAAACGGGTCGACAACAGATGTTTATGAAACTTTGCAGAAATGTCATTTAAAGTGCCCTTGATATGCTGTAGAAATTTCAGCATGGGTTATCGAACTAATTTTTGAGAACGAAGCCGTTGAAAATAGCAAATTTAACATGGGCTCTTATGGAAGGCCATCATAATTTCATACATTCTACGCCATAACTTTTTTTATTAAACAACAGATCTTAACCAAAAACGAATATGTTATGATTCAAGTCACTACCCTTCAATTGGTATGTTAAGAATTACCCCTTACCGAACTAACTAATGAGTAATTAAACAAAATGTGCATAAAATCATTGATTTCGAATAATGCGAGCGGTTGCCTGCCTAATGCGAGAAAGAGACGGACAGACGCCTCGCTGTACTATTGTTATGATTGCTGATGAGCCACCTTAAAGCTCGTTCTGGCCACGCACTCAGATAAGCGGGCTCAGGAGCTCTTCCGCAATCGACGACGATTAGACGATTCGATCGTATTTTCTGTAAAAACACTTGCCATTTCCAGCAGATTTATATATGCGGAAGATCAGCACACACGCACACACACATATATAAGGTAACTATTTATAGGATATATGTAAATCGAAAGCGTGTTCGCGGCCGATGATGCAGTTCATCATTTTTCAAGGACGCGTTCATGCTAAATTCAATTCCAAAGTACCGCAGCTTTGCGGCTACTTTGCAATGCACACGTCCGCGCGCTGTTCCGCGCCAAGTGCCTTTTGCGAAAGAAACTTTTCGAGTAGCCACGAAGAGGAAGAGGAGGATCGCGGTGCGCCACGAGTCATGTAGCAGC